CGCACAGGGTTGCGAGTCTCGCTGAGAGCATAGTTGGCGTTGCTGTAACCGACGAAACTCCAAATGACGTTATACAGGGCAGTGACAACACCGTAAGCACTGCCAGTGGTGCCCTCGAAAGCGCGGCTCAGGTTGTCGGGCTTCTCATCAATCTTGAGGTGGCCGCCGAGAGCGACGAAACCGCAGATGATCATGATGAAGACGATGATCAGCTTGATGAAGCCGAGGGCGTTTTGGAGACGAAGACCCCACTTGAGGGCGCAGCCGTGGATGAGGAAAGCAGTTGTGATGCAAGCCAGACCAATAGCACGCTGGTTCCATCGATCGACCTCCTTGTTGGCGGCGTGGAGGATGTACTCGCCAAAGACGACAGAGTTACCGGAGGCCCATCCCATAAGAAGAATGTAGGAAGCGTAGATGCCGGTGACGAGGAATTTGGGCTTGCGGTAGATGAACTCGAGGTAGTTCTTCTCACCACCGTTCTTGGGGATACCGGTACCCCATTCAAGGTAGACGGCGGTACCAGCGGCGGCGATGAGGGAACCCACGACCCAGATGATGAGGGCCAGGCCAGGACTTCCGAGAAGGGCGAGGATGGAGCCAGGAGTCGCAAAGATACCGGTACCAATGACTCGGTTGAAGATGAGCATAGATGCGCTCAGGACACCAATCTGTCGCTTGGCATCGGCGGCATGTTGCAGGCGACCTGGTCAAAGTTAGCAGAGTCCAGTGTACAGGTTGTAATTCACGACGCACCCTCTTCTGTGTCAGAGCCAGAGCCGACATAGTTGGTCTTGTTGGCCTCAGGTGCGAGGCCCTTGAGATCGTCTTTGCTCATGATGACAAGACTGTAATATAGATCAGACAGTCTAGAAAGGATACAGAACTCGATGGACTGGAGAAGAGAAGCGGTGTTGAGAAGGGGGCACGTCTCCTTTAATAAGAGAGTCCATCGCGAAAACCAGTACGGAGTACCCCGTTCCTAACCATCCCCATGGGAAGGCAAAATTAGGAAAACTTGTCGTACCCACCAACCGGCGGAGCCTCCTTGATCCTCAAAAGTCTAGAAGACATTGCAGAAAAAGGCAAAGCCAAGACAAGGGATCAAATTAGAGTAAGAAACGGTTCGGGCCTGAATCGTGCCATTTTGCGGTGAAGCAGCGAATAAGCGCGCAAGAATTGTTGGTTCAATGGCTTGCTTGCACGGTCTTGGGACTTGGGAGGCAAGCTAATGTGTCATGAAAATCTCTGCAGTTGAAGCTTTTCGACATTCTAAAGTGACTAGGACGATGACGCGATCTGAGGTGATCGCACGCTTATTCCCTTGGAACCAATAAACGTCTCTAAAATCGCAAAGTCTTACCCACTCTGGATATTTTAATGGCATGGATCTTTTGAGTCTTGCCGGGCAATGGACCGATTTAGTCTACAGAACCCGGCCTCGTGGGTTCCCGTTTCAATTAATCTCACTTCTCGAGGCTCTTTTGGAGAGGTTCCATTGTTTTAACTATCTACTATTCTTAGGAGGTAATTGATTTGACATGTTGTTTTTTGTCAAACTCCCCGTGGATCCTCGTCTTCGGTTGTCCGGCTGAGTGGGTTAACTGGGGTGAACAGGAGTTGCATGAACTGAACTCGATCATGGTAGTCACAGTACCAATCAATGTCAAACACAACTTCCTCAACTGGTGTTTCAACGGGATATGGTTGGAGAGCCATTGAGTGTCATGCTATATGGTGTGATATCGTCAAATGCTTGCTCATCTAAACGTCCCAATAGTATTTAGGCGTATGACGGACAACAGGGATCGACTACGCCTCAGCACACCTTTGATCACCAATCTCACCACGCTCGACACGAGGTTGCCTCTCCATAAGGCTGGACTCCCCGAGAGCCCCCGGTCTCGATCAAGATGTCTTCACCTATAGACTACTGCATGCAGACCGCGGGATGGCGAGTGGGACAAGGTGTGGAAGAACATCGCCATCCTCGACTTGAACCACGCCAGCCGTGGCATGTCTTGTCAATGGACTGACCTGCCTGATCATACTTAGTCACCTTTTCCCGGTCTGTTGGTTCATAAGATTTACCTAATGTTGTGATCACTTGGTCTACTCGTGAGACAAGATTTGTTGACTGTATCGATGAGGTGCTTAGCACAAGCCAGTGTGTCAGTAACCATGGTTTGAGTTGTCATGAGTCTAGTGAGTCCAGCCCTCGGTAGGATGCTTTCCCTAGGCTTCTTCATAGCGTGAGCACTTGGCATCCATTTCTAGCTGCCTATTCTGTATACACAAGTCCGTGAATGTGGTTGCCAAGCTGAACTGGAATACAGGTCGTAACTGTCACCACAATTCGCCATTCAACCACTGTATGGGATCATCAATGGTGTCGTAAAGGCCCCATCTTAGTGTTGGGCAAAAATACACCAAAGCTCAGTTTATGAACTTTCACGAGAGATATACAAAGCATGCACACTTACAACAAATCAATAGTTCACGAATAAAGAAGCTATCAATTTCAACCCTCGGTATAGTCGACGCTACTGTACAATTGACAAGCTACCTTTGTGGCGTTGGCTTGCAGATGCCAGCCAGTCCCTAACATGATCTACCGGCCACTAAAGCCACTGGCGTCAAAGGCGTCATTTTCCAGCAGCAGAATTTTCTTTCCTTGTTTCTTTTCCTCGACAAGATTGATACAGCTGTTAACCCGCGAATAAGCTGCATTCAGCCATCTGCTCAAGCCAAGAGCAGCCCCTCTATGAGCGCAATCTCTTGACCCTTGTGAAGGCAAGGTAATTACTACATGGTTGGCAAAGGCAATATCATGTTCATAGTACCATGTTAACTTACGGTATCCCGAATACTTCTTTATCTAAACATCGTTCTTGAACCCTTGCTTGACCTTTACCGTGAGAAGCCGCGCGGGAACTCCAGGTCCACCGCGCCTAAAGAGGCTGCCGTGTGAACGCGTCTAGACTTTTACCAGGAACAAGCTGTTCTTGCGATCCACTTTAGGATGTGAATACTACTCTCCATAAACCCCATAGTCTAGATCTGTCTGGACTCTTACCATCCGGTTGGAGCGGCGGGCTAGCGACTGTCTTCCAAGCGATGTTCCCGGGGTCCCGATTTCGGCCCGTTATGGCTCAAGATGCTTGCTCAGGAGGTAGCTAGGCCGAGCTTTGGTTAAAAAAAAAATACACCGTATTGTCTTGGTAGAGACTTTGAGATGTTTGTTTGTAGAGTGGTTGGCATCTGTTCGGGACCGCTAGTCTACCAGACACCTGTCTCGCTGGATACATATGTACATGAGAGAATAAAGATCCATAAGGCTAACCGATAGAATATCTGCCAATACAGATCCGACTGTGAATGTTCTTCGGGCTTAGAGCTTATCCACTGTAGATTGTGTAATTATGTGGTCCATCGCCTATAGGGTATGTCCACCACGATGAGGACAACTGTCACATGGTTGGTCGCGTCCGTTATTAACACAGAAATATCATCATTGGCAGAATTCTGGTGTGTTTAGTTCAATGCTACCTATTCTTCATTACCTACATAGAATATTGTTGGTGGTGGTCAGGGGTACGCTATAGACATGTTGACGTACGGACATTGTCGTGTGTCGACGCTAGATATGATGACAGTGAACATTCAAAACAAGATCGCAAAAGGGTTTTCCAGGGGTCATTAACACTTCGCAATTTAATCTTTGAAATATTCGAGAAACTCTGGAAGCAATGTTATTATTTATGGTCGGTTGGCAGTTGCTAGAAATCCAGTTCTATCAACAACGCTCATCATGACTGAGGAGGACGTGCAGAGTGATGCACATCATGACCCCGAGGAATAGGCTCACTCGTTACATAAATACCATAAGAGCAAGTAGTAAGGGAAGATGGGAAGATTCTAAATGATCATATGGTAGATAGTGTACATAGATATACGATTACCCGCCATGGCCTGATCATGACCTAGACACTAAGCTTGATAGAGCAGCTTTGGATGCCGGGAAAATTACAGTTCAAAGAAAATTCGAGATTTAAATCACGGGAGATTCACCTTCAGGAGAAGATATCTGTAGATTCTCCTGCAAAGTTATTGATAAAAAGTCGCAAGGGTTTTAGGTATTTCCTCGTATCATGACCCTCAAGGTATCAGAAAAGTTGACCGCTAGAAGTATACGAGACGAAATTAGTAGGTCACTTTATGCTCTTTAGGCTATAGTTCTTAGACTACTTATTTCTATACCCTAAGACTTAGGAGGCTAACTTTTCTGCTACTCACTACCATGACACAATAAACCGTTAATTAGGCCCACCTCTTCATGCACTTGATGCGACATCAATTGCCTCAGCCACAGTCGTAACCAGTTCAATTCAGCCTAGAGGTAGTAGGAGAGATTGTAGGTTTGAAGTGTGTATTAAAGTTGAGCGATAGCACCTACTGAATTGGGCATTGGTCCATCATGCATTGGGTTACTATTCACTGACCACAAGCCAGAGGTTAATGCATCGGTAAACACAAACGGTTCAGAGGCAAGTTCTGCGCAAAGGTACGAGTAGCAATCAAGGTAACGCAAGCAAAAGAGCTGTAATCAGTAAAACAAGAAGCAGTCAGCAATTTGTATTATAGCAAGTGGCGGATCTGATCTGATTGTGGCGCTGCAGCCCCCAATCGTTCCTTCACCTTCCTTATCCAACGCGTTGCCATAGTAGTCCTTACGCGCCCACGCCTCAATTTGCGACCAACATCTACACAGTGACGCAATAGCGCACCCACTGCAACTGGACCTGGAATAGGAACCAAAGCTCAACGCGCGAAGCCACGACAAAAGTCAATCGGCGCTTTGCGATATTGTGCTTTATCGCTATGGTATCGCCCCGAAAAGGTATTACTTCTCATCTCCCTTTTATCCGCTAAACGTTGTCGCTGACTTCCTATCAGATCCATACGATTTCCCTGTTTCGCCCCTGGCGAACCGAGACGCCATGCGCCCAGCTACTCCCACCAAAGAAGATAGCCTCGCTCATCGCGAAAAGCCTGACACTACAAATGCTTCTGCTGCTGTGAGACCCGGTACTCCTCGATCCGGCACTCCGAAAGCTGGTACCCCCCGAACTGGCACTTTCAGCACACCAAAGACTACTCCCGGTGCGAAGAAAGTCGTTACCGAAGACGCCCCAGCTGAAGGCCACCCTGCGGAACGCGGCGAGCCCCAACAGGACGGTGATAAGGCGCAGCCCAACGGAGATGCAAGCGGACGAGTCGATCCCGGCTATAAGGAAGACGTGGAGATCGACTCCTTCATCGATCACCGCGTCGACGAGGCTAATTCCACCGTCGACATCCGGGTTCTGTGGGAAGGCGGAGAAACCACATGGGAGACAGAATGGAGTCTACAAGAACAGGTCCCTGCACTCGTCTTCCAGTACTGGGACAAGGTCGGCGGTCGCGATGCTGCCACCAAACTAGAAGTCTACCATGTCTTCAAGATTCTCAGACGCGACACCAGTACCCGAGCCAAGAGGTATGAAGTGCAATGGGTCGGTTACAAGCGCGCAGATTCGACCGTCGAGAAGGAGGAGTTCCTGCGCAGCATCGCCCCGGCTGAGCTGGAGAAGTTCCAGGCCAAAGAGTTGGTCAGCGGCGCTTCCAACGATAAGCGCAGAGGCGCTGCCCGTGGTCCTGGTCGACCTCGCAAGAAGGCCCGTGTTGATGAGGATTAGGAGCTTTTTTATTTGTTTACGATTCTAGGGTTGTTTCGGATGGCGCGCATGTAGACGACCGGGTGAATGAACACGATGGCTAATGGGATTTGCTGTATTCAATGGTTCAATACATTTCATCTAATTTAATCTGTCCTGCTGTGCTCTTCCTTGGCCTTGACAAGAGGCCAATGACCGTGATCCTCCTTGTATGCCATGGCGGTAAACTGCGCAATCACGAACACCCAGTACAAGTTGTATGCGAGAACAGATCCGTAGGTGGCGGAATTGTTCCATCCGACAACAGCATTTAGGATAGCCCAGCCTCCTCCGCCGTTGAGTTGGGGGTTGCAGCAGTTGACATGCCAGATGCTTCGGTCAATATCGTACGATCCAGGACCATCACCGAGTTCCGCGGCGTCTCCGCCGACAACCTTGTTCCACTGCTGCTGCTCAAAAAGCCAAATCGCGCGGGAGAATAAGCCTGCTGCGACAAGGTATAGAAGACAGGTCGAAGCAACGAGGAAATATTGTAGCTTTGCAGATGAACCGCCCCTGTACAAGTTAGATACAACGTTAAGAACAACTGAACTCAGAACTCACCGATAGAGAGCATATCCCACGAGACCACCCAGTGCCAGACCCAAAATGACGGGCAGAGGTACAGCTGAAGCGGGCGCAGAGAATGAAACGCCCGCAACGAAAACGATACCCTCAATACCCTCGCGAAGAACAGTGATACAAGGCAATACAAACATGGCATACTTCTCAAACAAGTTAATCAGCCATGCCCTCTTTCCGTGAGCAGCGACTACGGGCTCCTCAATGGCCTTGGATAGCTTGGCTCGCCATTTATCCTCCATCTTTCCGACGCGCAACAAAGCGCCGCCCATGATGGTGATTATGATGGCCGAAATGAGCGAGAACACGCCTTCATAGTAGTACTCATGGTCTGCCCAGGTGTCACTGCCTAGGATGTAGAATGTGCCAATGATGATACCGGACACAATGGCGCAAACTGCGAAACCAGTCGCAGTTCCAGCCCAGACCTGTCATGTCAATTAGCAATGATCGTGAATATGCCGACAGTAAACTCACCTGTGTACGCAGGGTTTTATAAAGGTTGGCATCGCGCTGAGAGCCATCAAGGGTCTGCTTGAGAAAGGCCAGCAAAACAGAGACAATGATGGCTGTCTCGAGAGTCTCTCGAAACACGACGACAAAGACGGGCACCGAGAACAATTCGAGCATATTGGGCAATGTTGACTTGAGAGATTTGCTATGCTATCGAAAAGATCGGATCAGATAAGAAATAGTCAGATGAGTTTATTCCGAGCCACGACACGCCAAGGCTTTTACAAAAAGGCTTGAAATTACCTCGGCCGGTTCAGGACTAACGAGTCACACGATGCCCACTTAGACCCTGAAATGCCGAATCACGCGCTGTTTTACCTAGTATCAGCTGTTCGCTTGGACTTTTGGAACGAAAACTCTGATGCCCTTGGTGTCTTATTAAATAACCGTGCAGAAGCAAAAAAAATTAAGGGTGCCAACGCGACCGACGTCGGATTATCTGATTGATAAGATCCCTGCTTTCTCCACGCTTAATCCGACTCCGAGGTCTTGGGGACTGTCTCATCTCATTTCTGATCAGTTCAACAACACAATGAGATTCGGATGGGCTGTGGTTTTTGCGCCGGCCGTTTTGGCTGCGACGGTGTCTTATGATTTTACTATTGAATGGGTCAGAGCGGATCCTGACGGGGCATTTGAGAGACCGACGATTGGGATAAACGGGAAGTGGCCAATTCCAAGGATTGAGGCTAATGTTGGAGATACCGTTTTGGTCAACGCCAGGAATAATTTGGGCAACCAGAGCACATCACTACATTTCCATGGGTTATTTATGAATGGATCCAATCATATGGATGGACCTTCACAGGTCACTCAATGCCCCATTCGACCTGGCGAGTCTTTTCTTTATAACTTTACGGTATGTGTTTACGATACACTGAGATGAATGAAGCTGAAACTGATCAAACAGATTACTCAACCGGGAACATATTGGTATCACTCACATACCGAAAGTCAATATCCAGACGGTCTTCGTGGTCCTCTCATCATTCATGACCCAGAGTCACCTTTCAAATACCAATATGACGAAGAAATTATCATGACTATCTCAGATTGGTACCACGACCAGATGCAGACTCTAATTCCAGAATTTATGAGAAAGGGAAACCCGACTGGTGCTGAACCAGTACCTCAAGCTGCTCTTATGAATGAGACTCAGGATCTACAAGTCGTTGTCCAGCCTGGAAAGACATATCTTCTTCGACTGGCCAATATCGGCGCATTTGCAGGACACTTCTTCTGGATTGAGGGACATAATCTGACTATTGTTGAGGTGGATGGTGCCTATACGAAACCAGCCTCAGCTAATATGATTTACCTATCTGCTGGTCAACGATGTAGTGTTTTGGTTACCACGAAAGAAAGCACACTGGACAACTTTCCCATTGTCTCAAGCATGGATACAGTAAGTTGCCCACTCTTTGATTTACTTGACTGACCATATAGGATCTATTCGACGTACTCCCCGATGATCTGAACTGGAACGTCACAGGATGGCTGGTATATGATCAAGAAAAGGACCTTCCTGAACCGTCAACCGTGTACGAATTTGATCCTTACGACGATATGGATCTCGTACCGTATGATGAAATGGCTAGACTTCCCAAACCCAGCAAGCATATCGAACTTGACGTTGTTATGGATAACCTGCGTGATGGTGCCAACTATGCCTTCTTTAACAACATCACTTACCGTGCTCCCAAGGTGCCAACTCTGTATACTGCGTTGACCAGCGGAAAAGAGGCAACGAACCCGCAGATCTACGGAACCTATACGCACAGTTTTGTTCTGGAAAAGGATGAGATCGTTCAGATTGTTGTCAACAACAGGGACGACGGACGGCATCCATTCCATTTGCATGGTCATCACTTCCAAGTCCTTCACAGAAGCGAAGATGATGTTGGCGATTTTACTGGATCGGAAGAGCTTGCTGAGACGCCAATGAGACGAGATACTGTTGTCGTGAGAGGAAATGGAAATGCGGTGCTTCGATTCAAGGCTGATAACCCAGGTATGTTTGTCAATTGAGTGTTGAGCAAATAGCTAATCGTCAGGTGTCTGGTTGTTTCACTGCCATATCGAATGGCACGTCACTTCTGGGTTGATCGCAACATTCGTCGAAGATCCCCTCGCTTTGCAGGCTTCTCTCGAGTTGCCTCAAAACCACCTCGATGCGTGCAAAGCTGGTGGTATTCCTACTGTTGGCAACGCCGCTGGAAACACCAACCTTCTTGATCTCTCTGGCGAAAACGTCCCTCCGCCACGTCTCCCTGAAGGGTATGTCTCAATCTCGCTGTTCAATATCGCCCACTGACATCAATAGCTTCACACTTAAAGGAACCGTCGCATTCGCGTTTAGCACACTGATGGGTATATTCGGCATTTACACAGTCGCATCATATGGAATGAAGAAGGAAAAAAAGACACCCGAGAGAGCGCCGTTGCTCGCCGAAGAAGAGCTTCCGGAGCAGTAGATACACAGAAAATATTATCGCTCGTACATATCCCAACGCCTAACCTCTCCCTACAACTTTCCCTGCCACATAGTGTAGTTTATTTATTCGGCGCAGGCGGTGGTGCAGCAGGATACTTGGAAGCCTCCCTTAAATGGTCTGGTGTACCCAAAGCCTTCATTTCGCCTCTGTATTCGCGCATGGCGACTTTGCGACCGCAGTTCTTGCAGTAGTGGTTGATGTTTGATGCGCAATGGCAGATGTAAGGGCAAACAACGCCGAAAAAGGTTCCGAAAAAGAGCGCGGCGGCGTAGACGCTGTACTAGTTAGACAAGTCTTTTTGTGAGATGCAAGGGAACATACTGTGTCATTCCAGACGCTGACTTCTTGACCTTTGTCTCGGTCTGGTGCTGACAGAACGGGCAGTCGACGGAATCAGCTTGGTCGGCTAGTAAATGTAAAGGCGTAACTGTGGGACCGCTTCGCTGCATGGGAGGTTGCGGTTGCATCTGAATAGACATGCCCTCTTGTCCTGCATATTGCTGTTGCGCAAGACTAGGATGCTGCAAGATTGGAGGCGATTGTGTTCCGTCCCAAGACATCGCGTTCGTGGGTACAGGCGAAACAGTCGATACGGGTGGTGGGGGACTCGTCTGCGGGCTTGTTTGCGAAGGGGGATATTGATGCGCTGGCTCGACCACGACTTCGGGTAGGTTATCGTCGTTAACGTGTCGCTGTCTGCGAGGAAATGTTAGCCAGTCGCGCGATCGTCTGAGGGAGAAGAGAGACAAACTCAATGGCAATCTTCTCGTCCGTAGGCGGTTCAGCGCTAGGCTTAGCTGTGTATGAAGGAGGCGCGATGGTGTCGCCATTCACAGGTGTCGAGGAAGTTGCTGGCTGTGACATTTTGAATCGCGAACTGGACGTAGAAATATTTTCTCAAGGAATGATTCACTGAGGCTGTGAAGAAAAAGAATAAATTTGGGTAAAACGTATTTTGAATAGCTCGCATTCGTGAGTCCGACGGGAATGTGTAAGCTAGGGAACCCTTGCTGAATCCTTATTTCGTTTGGGCATGGCGCAGTTGATTCCTTCGAAAACGGGTCTGAGCTACCATCGAAATTTGGGGGCGTCGCAAGCTTAATGGCCACTGGATCAGTCGAGTTGGCGGGCTGTGTCGACGATCGAAGAGCTGAATTTGCAGAGGATTGACAAGCTGGACTCCCTGTTGAGCCATGTTGAAGCTTAGTGCTTACGCGCTAACGGCATTCTGTAGCCGTTCAAGATTAGAGGACCAGGCTTATCGATAAACTTGTTTCCCAAGGTTCAACTTCAATCGTAGGGCTGAGCAGCTGTTATGTACATTAGTATCGCCAACGCTCAAAACCTTGTTTATCAACAAGCGAACCTAAGAAGTTGTTATACTTAACATAGTAACAGCTTCGTTTGTCAATGGAACAAGTAATGAATTACGTGATAGACACTGGAACGATGAGGCGGAGCCGTATAGTTGCAATTGAGTCTTTGACCGAATTTTTGATCCCTGTCACTTCCCATCTTAACGACAGCAATTGCATTGTTCTTTATATCCTTCACAGAAAATTTGACCGATGGAATCATAAGAGACGAAAGTGGTTGTCCATTTTATGCTCTATAGAGTATAGTTCTTAGACTACTTAGTTTTATACTCTAAAACTTAGGAGGCTATTGTTTCTACTACCCACTAGATATCCAAACGCTATATGACATATATAGAATGGAGACCGTCTTCATATGTCGCACAAGGTAGTGCTGTGAAATCAAATCCGTCTTGTTGAGCCGATTCTGATGAGGCTTCTTGGATAAGACTACTCATAGGGTATGGATTCTTGACCTTGCCTGTCCTTGTACGCGCCATGCCAATCCGACGAAAGATGCCCCGAGAAGGATCTACCAACTTGAACAGAAGAAAGTCCCACATGTTGAAAGGCGCACCAATATCATCGAAAAGATGGTGTCTCGTTAGCATGCAGTATAAGGCGTCGCTTTTGTTGTCCTTGTCAAAGTCTGTCTGCGGCTCGTCAAGCGATACTGATGACCATATATCACCTGTTTCTTCATCCTTATATTGTTGCGGATCATATTCAATGTTGTCAATAATCAGCGACCACATGTCCTTGCCTTCCTCTTGTTTGTGCAACAGTTTCAGCTTTCTCAAGTGTCCGCTAAGGCGAATCCATCCTGATCGGACTGCGCCCATCTTGTCCTCTGTGGCATACTCCAGTTTGTAATCACCCACTTCGTATAGATACTCCTCCCTGTCAGGAACTTGGACTGTAGTAAGTACATCACCGTTGATTGATGCCCATGACCAAGAAGGTGCTGTGTATGCCTCATAGCGCGTTGGTACGCCTTTGTCGCTGGTGTATGCCCGCCATAGCAGACCGCTCTGAAGATGGCTGCGCCACATCCCAGCAACATAGTCGTCTGACAGATAGTATTCGTATAGTCTTGCAACGGCGGAGAACGCGACTAGTCTATCACTGGGAAAGCTTAAAGCGCACCCTGAATACTTCATAACCAAGCTTGACCAGGACGAGTACCCATGCGGAGCATTCATCAGCCCTTTAAAGGGGTCTCCAAAATACAAGATTTCGAAGCCGTCCGGGTTTGTCTCTGAGGCCGCAAATTCACGACACTCCCAGTAAACCTGATGTGCACCAAAGTGTAGAGCCCTTGGGGATAGGAACCGCTCTTGCATGACCCAGCCTCGAGTGTTGATATGTGCGTCCTCGACCGGTTTCCAGTAGTCTTGGTAATCCAGAATATATTTATCTGATAGAGGTGTGTCTTCAAATTCAGAGTCAGAGGGCCTCTTTTGAACTATAGCCTCTGTAGTAGGAGGGATTAGACTTTCTGGATTTCGGTTTCTGAAAATGGGCTCAGAACTATTTGTGTTTTCCGCAGCAGCTATGTTGCAGTGTGAAAAGGAGTAAACCTTGTGCATTAGGGATGCCTCCCTGCTCCAGTCGGAAAGGTCGCCCTTGTCTTGAAATATGCACAAAGCATCGATCCATATGTGGTCTACGCCGAATTGTTGAACAATAAAACAAGCATCGCGAAATGTTGGCGGAAAAGATGACAGAGGCATCCCTTGTAGGAGGCTTTGGTAGGACTGCTTGTTCAGAGTAATGGCATGGCCTTTGCCCCAGGAATGGCTGAGAGTCATGTATGGCCCCGAAGGAGTGACCGCGCTTGTTTCTACAAGGTAGATGATAGGGTCTTTTGCATTATCAGAGGATTTAAAGCTGAGTAGTCGTGTAGGATACCATTCTGTATCAGTCGATTTGTTGCATGTTGGATGTTTCTCCAAGCATTGGCTCATCCATTTCTTCGCTAACGAAAAGACTTCGAATGAGTTTGTGCTGGCTGAGAACTTGATGGAATCAAGAATGAGGCGGTCGTGCCCAAGACGCTTTTCCTCATCCGTCTCTACTTTTGGTCAGCGTACTGTACCCATGTGATCACGCCGTAATAATACCTTTGCGAGCTTCAAATTTGAGTATACGGCGTGGAATGCCAGTGAGTTCGGATGCATCTGGGCCCAATTCGAATGACAGATTGAAGCCTGAATCATCTTCGATGACAGCCATACTCATGAGTCCAAATGTTTCGAACTCGTATCCCTTGAGCTGGTTAAGCTTTTGTTGTTCATCCGGCGTATATTGGAACCAAATGGTTGCACAAATCATACATCTCGACTCTACTGAAGCTCTCCAATGCTCAATGCAGGTTTGATGAGGAAAGTAATCGACCCCTGATACTTCGGCTGAAGAGGCCAAAAGGTCTTGGCACCTTTGACAAAGCATGACTTGGTGATGGTACCTGTGTACAAGTTGGTTCACTCGACTTTCATAGACAGTGAAGTCACAGAAGTATAATAGTCCCCGATCTGAACGTCTCTCTCTCTCTTTGAGAAAAGACGTAAAAGTGTAAGACGGAAGAATATCCCGCTTTCGTCCGTCATCCAATAGTCGTATCTCGTATGCGTATTCCGTATGACCCCACCATAATGACTCGCCGCTAAACCCCTTCTAGTCCCTTGGAGCGCTCCATGTTAGACGGCAAGACCTTATATATAACATGGCCGAATTAGCAGTTGATCATGGAGATGTTTGTTTCTTCATGACACGCCATGGATTCTGACAGTAAATTCGGGCCTCACAGAGTAGGCGTTTTTGACTTTACTATTCTTTTTGAGCAGAGCATCTTGTCGCTTCTGCCCACTGCAGTGTTTCTGCTTGTTGTGCCACTTCGACTGTTTGTGCTGAGGAACAACGAGAGGGCTGTCGTACTTGGAACTTTATTATGGATTAAATTGGTAAGTGATTTGAACATGTATTTAGCCTTGCTAACAGCGTAGGCCACGTCCGCCTGTTATGTCTGCCTGCAGGTGACTCTAATTGTGCTTTGGTCTCGAGAGAGTTCGACAGAGATAGCCATAGCAGAACCAGTGTTTGGATTTGTCGAATCGATAGCCCTTGTTACTTTGATCTTTTTTGAACACAAAAACTCCAGGAAACCGTCCAAGATAGTTGGGGGATATCTTGCCGTTACTATCATTCTCGATATTGCTTTGGTACGCACCTTTTGGATAAGGTCGATATGGGCCATTGCAGCTGTGTTCACTTGCTCCCTCGCACTCAAAGCAACACTTCTAATATTAGAAGAATGGCCCAAACTCTTGGTACGAGAGCAACACAAGATACGAGAAACCTCTTCAGGTGTGATCAGCAGAAGTTTCTTTTGGTGGCTAAACAGTCTCTTTCTTCAAGGACATCGTGGCATTCTTGAAACTGAAAATTTACCACATATCGACAGAAAATTCGATACAGATCATGTGTTGAGACCGTTGGAAGAACGATGGTTACGAGGCAGGTTCAAATCAAGTCATCCTCGGCGTTTCACTAACATCTATAGACCCAAAGAACGGCCAGTTCAGCCTTTTGAAGTGCACCTTCCTCGCCTACAAATGGCAGTTCGCAGCAGGCATCTTTCCTCGACTTTTCCACAGCGGCTTCAACTTTGCACAGCCATTTCTTATACAATCCGTCATTACCTTTGTTGGCCGAAAGGAAATGTCTGTACAAATTTCCAGTGGCCTTATCGGAGCGACTGTGCTTATCTATCTCGGTCTCGCAATATCTGGAGCATGGCACAAGCATCTCTCATTTCAGATGGTCACCATGTACAGAGGTGGACTGGTCTCATTGATATTCAAGAAGACCCTAAGACTGAAAACATCATCCATCAAAGATTCCGCACAAGTCACCCTCATGACAACAGACGTCGAAACAATTGTGGCTGCTGGAGCGTCAGTACATGACATGTGGGCCAATATGCTTGAGCTTCCAATTGGTATCTATCTACTACACCGTCAGATAGGCAATCCGAGTCTTCTTGTGTTAGTTCCTACAATTAGTAAGTAAATCCTCGCCCGAAAGTCGTAACCAAGCTAACAATCAAGTCACAACCATTCTGAGCGGAATCATCTCGATAGCAATGGAGCCGGCGACAGTGCGTTGGAACAATATGGTGCAGAAGCGTGTAGGCGAAACATCAAGCATGCTGGATCAGATCAAAGGCATCAAAATGATGGGATTGACCGATTTCTATCTTCAAACAGTGCAGAGTCTGAGAGTGAAGGAATTGAAGATATCTGCAAAACTTCGATGGTTGCTTGTACAATTTGTCACACTTGGTGAGTTGCCACTCTCTTTTCACTTAGCATTGCTAACGTTTTAGCCATGGTATCTGCACAGGTAACACCAGTCGTTGTGATACTCTCGGCAATCTACTGGTCCAAATCAGACGGAAGACTGAGCGTCGCCGAGGCATTTACGTCATTGTCCTTAGTATCACTTGTCACCCAGCCGCTTGTCTCTGTCCTGGTTTCGTTGATGCAGGTTGCTGGGGTTGTCGCAGGGTGTGGCAGGATCCAGGCATTCCTGGTGCTCAAGGAACAAGATGCAATGACAGCAGAGGTACCCGAAAACGACCTGGCCGTGGTCATCGAGGATGCAAACTTTTCCACATACGAAGGAAGCACACTTCTCACTGATATCAACATGCGTGTTGTTCACGGAACTATTAATATGATCATTGGCAAAGTAGGAGGCGGCAAGTCGTCTCTCCTCAAAGCCATCATCGGTGAGAACACACCCTCACCAGGCATTGTTAAAAGAGAGGCTTCAGTTGCCTATTGTGATCAAGTGCCATGGCTGCGAAACACCACAATCAGCAAAAATATCATCGGGCAGTCGCGAGTTGATGAGAAATGGCTTGCGACAGTCATACGGTCATGTGCGCTTGAAGAGGACCTGGCGCAGATGCCTCAGGGTCAAGAGACTGTTGTTGGATCCAGAGGAGTGGCCTTAAGTGGAGGGCAGAAGCAGCGAGTTGCCCTTGCTCGTGCTGTCTACTCCCGAAGCAAGCTCATCGTTCTTGACGATGTCTTTAGCAGTCTTGACCAAACAACATGTGACACAGTCTTTGATCGACTTCTGGGAGCAAATGGGTTGCTTCGTACAAGGACTGTCATTCTTGCAACCAGTAACGGTAAGTGTTTCCTGTCAACAATATGCGACTACATTCTAACAATCAGTCCGTTTTCTTTCCTCGGCAAACTATATCACTGTTGTTCAAGAGGGTCGCATTACTAGCAATCAATTGACACACTCTGATCTCGAACTTACGGAAACGCTCAAAGCTATTATACCCACCCAACCCCCCGAGATCGTTCAGAAGGACATTGCCACGGCTACCCCAAAAGAAGAAATCGACTTATCACGAAAAACAGGCGATACAGAGTGCTACCTGATTTATGTCCGATCAATGGGCTGGAAAGTCATCAGCATCGTGTTTCCCGCCTCTGTGACAGGTGCGGTCCTGGAAGCCATGCCTCAGATCTGGCTACGAATATGGACAGAGAAAGGTGACGGTTCTAAGGACACCAGGTATACAGGTGGCTATGTAGGACTCGTTGTCGCCTCCATGATTATGGCTCTTCTCAATATCGGTTACTTCCTCATAGAGGGCGTTGAGAGGTCTTCCAATAACCTTCACGAGCAACTGTTGAAAGCGGTTTGCAAAGCACCATTGTATTTCTTTACAACAACCGAAAATGGTAGCATTCTGAATCGCTTCAGCCAAGACATGTCGCTCATTGATATGTCATTGCCGTTGGCGTTCTATCTCACGCTAGACTTGACTCTACGCGGTTTGGTTCAAACAGGAGTTGTTGCATCAGGCGCAAGTTATTTTGGGGCTTTTCTCCCACTTTCGTTCCTTGCATTATACCTCATCCAAAAGTACTACCTACGCACCTCGAGGCAAATGCGTCTTCTTGATCTCGAAGCAAAGACGCCACTCTACACGCAATTCACTGAAATTACGGCGGGATTATCGACAGTCCGCACATTTGGATGGACGGGAGAACTTTTAGACGAGAGTTTCAAACTACTCAACACATCGCAAAAGCCGTTTTATCTAATGTTCTGCATACAAAGATGGTTAGAGCTAGTGCTTGATCTCTTTGTCGCTGGTATGGCGATGTTGTTGGTTACAATTGCACTTCGGATCCCGGGAACCACAAGCGAAGGAGCAATAGGACTCTCCATGGTTAATTTGCTCGGCCTGAACCTAACTCTAACAACTGTGATTGACCAATGGACGACTTTGGAGACGTCCCTAGGAGCCATAGCCAGACTCAAAGCGTTCATTAGCAGCACACCAAACGAGAACAAGGACAGCGAAAAAGAAATGCCATACAACTGGCCAGCAGGCAAAATTGAGATTGAGGGCATCACAGCTTCATACAGGTATGCTGCTACTTACTGTGATTTTGAGACTCGCTAAAGCTTTGATAGTGATCAAACGCAACCAGTCATACATGACGTGTCTCTAGTTGTCGAACCAGGACAGAAAGTCTGTCTTTGCGGCCGCTCTGGAAGGTACAGCACCACCCCCTTTTTATTGAAAAAGCTAACAAGACAGTGGCAAATCTTCCCTCATCCTCTCAATTTTGCGACTTCTCGAACTCCATACTGGAACTATTCGCATAGATGACAAAGATCTTACGACGATACCACGCCAATACATTAGATCGAAAATCACAACTATACCTCAAGATCCGGTTAATATTTCAGGTACGGTGCGGCAAAATATGGACCCCGAAGAGCTCGTTCAGGCGGATGAGGTGCTCATTGCAGCTTTGAAAAAGACAACTCTATGGTCAATCATTGAAACCCGTGGAGGGTTGGACGCTGATATATCGGCACTTGGCTTCTCAGTTGGACAGCGTCAACTCTTCTGTCTTGGACGAGCGTTGCTCTCCCACTCCAACATTATTCTTCTTGATGAACCATCAAGTAGTGTGGATGACGCCACAACCAAGGAAGTGCGCCAAATCATCCACAAAGTTATGCACGGCAGGACAGTCATCGAAGTTGCGCATCGACTTGGTTATGTCACAGACTTTGACGTCGCAGTCGTGATGAAGGATGGCAGAATAATCGAAACCGGCAATCCAAGAGATTTACTAACTCGAGATTCGGCATTGAAAGCGTTGCATGTATAGACTTTGAAAAGGACCCCACTCGACATGTAGTATTATCTCACATCTTCACTCAACCAATTGCAACTCATCTATAATTATTGTACATTACATGCTATTATATACTTTTATCTATCCATCCAAATCTATTCTATGTCTTTCCTGTGTCTAATCGCTCTTTGATGGCCACTTTATTCTCTTTTCAGCCCTGACATACAGGTTATTAGGCCTAATCAACTGGAACATGGGATCGTACTCGACAGGCCCATCTTGAGCGAGATTGAACTTGTATCGGTATACAAGCTTAGGCAAGAAGACCTTGACCTCTTGCAGGGCAAAGTTGAAGCCGACACACATGCGAGGACCAGTCGCAAAAGGGATATAAGAATCCTTGGGACGGTTCTTGACTCGGTCAGTATCCCAACGGTCGGGGTCGAACAGAGCAGGGTTGTCCCAGATCTTGGTGTTGTTGTGAATGTGGTGGAGGGCGGGGATGACGATGGAGTCCTTGGGCAGCTTGTAACCACCAGGAAGGATCATGTCGACAGCTGACGTTCTAGCGGGTTGGTAAGAGGGGTTGTGGCGGCGTTGTGTCTCCTTGATGTACTTGTCAAGGAATGTGAGCTTGTTGGTCAGGTCAGCGGTGATCTGGGTGTCTTCGTCAAAGCCATTGTCGACCAACTCCTGAAGAAGTCTCTCTTGCATGCCGGGGTAGGCAACGAGACCATACAAAAGCCAAGACAGAAGAGAGCTGGTTGTGGTGAAACCGGCACCAGTGGCGACGACGAGGGGTTCCATGATACGCTCTCGGGGAAGCTTGTTGCCCTTGCTATCGCTAGCACGGAGGACATAGTCGACCATGTTCTCAGCCTCAACAGCGGCATCCTGAAGTTCCAAGTCTCCTTCACCCTTGGCGGCGGCGGCGACAGACGCTGTCATCATGGCCTCCATGTGAGCACGAGCCTCTCGCATACGCTGAGGGTCGCCGAAAGGAAGACTCTTGTACCAGCTGGGCATGGATGTGAGCTTCTTGTTGAGTTCAAGAGATTGGGCAATTCTTAAGACCATAGCATGTGGTCGGGCATCAGGAGAGGAAAAGTGCTGGAAATCCATTCCAAGGACCAGCTTTCCAACAGCTTGGGCTCCGAGCTTCAGCATATAAGGGTACACGTTCCAGGCCTCATCACGCTCATCAAGTTCGTCAAAGACCTTGAAGGCATCTTCGACAGTTCGTTGCATGGTGGGTGCGTAATGTCGCACAGCCTTGGGACCCAGAGCAGGGGGCAAAAACTTGTGTACCTCCTTCCACTCTTCGGTATTAGTATCACCAAGGAAGACACCGGCCTCCTTGTTTTTGATTGGGAACAGAGGGTGGCCCTCAATAATTCGCTTGGAGAAGAAATCTGTCTCTGAGAAGACAATAGTGGCTAGCTTGGGGTCGTTTGTGTGATAGATGGTGTTACCCATGTTTGTTGTTTTGAAGAGAGGACCATATTTCTCAAACAGACGTTGATGGTTGCCGAGATGGTCGGGATAGACCTCGAAATAGTTGCCTACAAAAGGCAGACCATTGGGGCCTGGAATCTCACGGACGGCCTTGCCATCGATGGTGATGGAAATGTCATCAGCAGCGAGAACATCAGCGACCGTTGGCAAAGCCTCAGAGTCGGTAACAAAAGCGATACCTAAAAAGTCAGTAATTGTTTGGCTGTTTCTTTTATTCAATTGACGTACCGCTAGGATCAACAATTGCAAAATGCGACGCTATCAAGTGTTGGAGACCTTGCTCGTCTAGGGTGGCGGGTAGCTCAATTTCTTGGGCTGTTGAAGGGTCCTCGCCCATAAGATGAAAACGTTTTGTAGCCATGATGATGATGAATATAGTATAATGAGACGAACAAGTTTACAAATGGCTAGTCGCTGGCTGGTCTACTGGTCTATATAAAGCAAACAATGACATTGAACATGCCGAGGCCCAGGTTGAGCTACAGCGGATTCGTGTGGATCAAAGATACGAACCTTGCAATCTGCCGGTACATTGGAAAGGGGCCATGAAGAATTTGCGTCTGCAGACGGCATTGACATGATGAGGTGGCGCTTTGGATCCACCAGATATTCTCCGCAGCCCTGTTAACAAAGTACAGATGTTAGCGAGCAGCTTGCCTGTTGGAGTAAGTATCTTTTATTAGTGCCGGACTTGTCGGGTATACTAACGGGCACTACAGGTAGTATGAGTCAAGATAGCTTGGTTAGCAATTAACTTGAATCGCAATCCAATTGCAAAAACACGTTTCAAGCATGATTCTATGTACACATCATTATCTTTCATCATGTCCAATACCGTCGGAGTATATCTCACCACCGAATTCCGTGCCTCGGATTGATAATCCATTCGTGGCCCATGATAAAAAGCTTTGACCGACGGAATTCATGCCCATTCAAACATCACAAAACGGAGACAGGCACGGAGACTCGGCCGTTCCGGACCCACAGTCGGCCGAGAAAGGGCCACAAGCCTCGGCTCGTACCTAAAAGGGGCAAAAGTAGAGACCAGTCAATGCGACCGTGTTTGATAGCGATTAATATAATGTGCTGTCTCCTCTTGACCCGGATATTTGTCTATCTGTCTATCAATTAATTTCTGTACAATCAAAATGGCCTCATTTACTGCAAAGGAAGTGGCTGCTCACAACACCCGCGGTGATTGTTGGACAATCATCAAGGGACAGGGTAAGAAATTTTTAATCCAACAAAATAGCATCGCTGACCGCTTTAGTTTATGATGTTACAAAATACATGGAAGACCACCCTGGTGGTGCAGATGTCCTCATTGAATCAGCTGGAAAAGACTCAACAATAGAGTTTGACAGTGCTGGTCACTCTGAGGATGCCTTTGAGATTATGGAGCAGTATCGCATTGGAGAGTACAAGGGTGCACCTGTGCGAAACGCTCCCAAGGCTGTTACTCTCAAGAAGGCCGCTCCTGTCGCTGTTGCCGGAAGCAGCTTTGCTACAACCGCTCTTACAGCTACTGCCGCTATCTCAGTCGGTGCTGTTGCTCTTCATCAAGCATACCGACTGAACCCTGAAATTCTGTCTGCTCTCCCCAAGATCAAGCCTGGATCTGGATCTGGCCCGGGCTTCCTGGAAGGTTTCATCATTGCTTCTGCGCTTTTCACCGTTGCTGGTACTGTCACCGTCAAGAAGCTATCGAAGCACCTTCACTTTGAGGAGGGTGGTTTCATGAGCTATGCTCCTCACAAGAAGATGCCCAAGGTCACAAAACTTAACCCTCTACTCCAAAGAGGATGGCTCGACCCTACAACATACCACGCTCTTCCCTTGGCCGAGAAGGAGGAGATTGCTCCCAACGTTTACCGTCTGGTTTTCGCCCTTCCCACACCTACAACAGTCCTCGGTCTACCAACTGGTCAACATCTCGCCATCAAGGCTGAAATCGATGGCAAATCAGTCAACAGATCCTATACACCCATTTCAAATAACAGCGATCTCGGAAAGCTCGAGCTTGTCATCAAGTGCTATCCCGACGGTCTTTTGACTGGCAAGTACCTTGCCAACCTCGAACTCGGTGATGAGGTGCAATTCCGCGGACCCAAGGGAGCTATGCGATACCAGCGTGGTATGTGCAAGAGAATAGGCATGCTCGCTGGTGGAACAGGAATTACTCCCATGTTCCAGATTATCCGTGCCATCTGCGAAGACGATCGCGATCTTACACAGGTCAGTCTCGTGTACGCCAACCGGTCGGAGCAGGATATTCTGCTTCGCGAGCAACTCGAGACCTTTGCCCGACGATACCCCCAAAACTTCAGACTCTACTATCTTGTTGAAAAGGCGCCCGAGAATTGGGCGTACGGAACTGGTTACGCTACACAGGCGCTTATGGAGGAGAAATTCCCCGCGCCTGGGCCTGACTCCAAGATTATGCTGTGCGGACCTCCTGGTATGATCAAAGCGGCCAAGACATCTCTTGGCAACTTGGGATTCGAACAGCCTGGGGCTTCTTCCAAGATGACTGATCACATCTTTTGTTTCTAGTTAGAACTTACATGTACTTTTAATAATGAACCAATTAGACACTACTTTTCATCTCATAAATAGCCTATTGTACCCCTGTAAAATGATCAGCAGCCACTCGATAACCTTGGGCTGATGCTTAAGAGCTTATTTTGTGGCCGGGTCAATACGCCCGCTGACGGGTCTTTACCTTCCCCTTGGGGTAGATCTGCGCATCTTGGCGATGCTAGGATTCGATGTCGACATCGCAAAGCTATATCATTTGCAGAACTGAGGGGAACTTTTGTCTTGTACTCCATCGTCATTGTAACACTTTATTGCGTGTGATGCATCTTTATAAAGGCTCACATCTCGTAGTATCATGATTAAGGTTTGTCTTGTTTCGAGGCAGACATGGCCGACACAAAGAAAACTCAAGCCGTTGATGGCTTGCGCGGTCAGCCCTACGATGGCTTCAACAGTGATGAGAGGCCTGTCGCTGATAACGCCAGTACCATCGATGCGCAAAACTTTGCGTTCACCGAAGATCGTAAGATTGGCGTCACCGGCGCTGTCTTTTTGATTCTCAACAAGATGATCGGTACCGGAAGTAGGTTTACCACCATCATATTCGAAAGAACAAAGCTAATTATTAGTCTTTTCTACACCCTCTAGTATCTTTGCAGCTACTGGTTCCGTGGGCATATCCCTAATGCTGTGGATCATCGGTGGCTTCTTGACCTTTTGCGGTTTGAGCGTTTTTCTCGAATTCGGACTGGCGATTCCAAGATCTGGCGGAGAGAAGAATTACCTTGAAAGAGTCTATCGACATCCCAAATACTTGGCTACATGTGTCTTGGCTAGTCAAATGATTCTTCTTGGCTTCTCCTCAGGCAACTCTCTAGCATTTGGACGTTATATTCTCTATGCATCGGGTAGAGAGACACCTGATGGATGGGAGGCTCGCGGTATAGCAGTTGCATGCATCACCTTCTCAGTCCTCCTTCATAGCACGCTTCCAAAGTGGGGTATCCGATTATTCAACGTCTTGGGCGTTTTCAAAGTCGTTATCCTCTTGTTCATCGTCTTTTCAGGCTTTGCTGCACTGGCAGGACACCGTCGCGTTCCCAATCCTCACAACTTTGACAACGCGTTCCGCATAGAAGACGGCGACGGATATGGTGGTGGAGGAGCATACGCTTACTCGAACGCCCTCCTCAATATCATCTACAGTTACAAGGGCTGGGAAAACGCGAACTACGTCCTCGGCGAACTGAAGAACCCCAGAAAGACACTTGCTGTCGCAGCTCCCATCGCCATCGGCGGCGTAACGATTCTTTACGTTCTCGCAAACGTGGCGTACTTTGCAGCGATTCCCAAATCTGACCTCGCCAAGTCTGAAGTCATCGTCGCTGGCCTCTTTTTCAGGAACGTTTTTGGTGAAAGCGCCGCGGCGAGGAGTCTGCCTGCGTTCGTCGCGTTGAGTAACTTGGGTAATGTTCTGGCTGTTTCGTTTGCGCATGCCAGAGTGAACCAGGAGTTGGCTAAAGAGGGCATGTTGCCTTTTAGTCGATTCTGGGCGTCAAACAAGCCTTTTAATTCGCCTGCTCCATCCGTAAGTGTCCTGTCTATAAGGCGTCGGTGATGTGGCTAATGAGTGTAGTTGTTTCTTCATTGGATTGTCACTGTCGTTGTGCTTCTTGCACCACCTGCTGGACCAGCTTATAACTTTATCGTCAACTTGTATGTCATAACAGCCCGTCACGAAACTAAGCTAACAGACTCAGATACACTTACCCTGGCGCCTGGATCAACGGTTTCGTCACGGCTGGCCTTATCTATCTTCACTGGAGCAAATCAGAAAACTGGAAATCGCCATGGTACACATACCTTCCGATCTCGGTACTTTATCTACTCGCCAACATCTTCCTCGCTTTCGTGCCGTTCATTCCACCTGATGGCGACTGGAACGCGGATGGATATCCGTACTACGTGTTCCCTGTCGTCGGTGTTGGTGTTTTGATACTCGGTGCTGTCTACTGGACATTCTGGACCAAGATCTTCCCAAAGATTGGAGGATACAAGGTTGTTGCTGATAGGACATTCGATGATGCTGGTGTTGAGACGGTGCGGTACCGTAAGGTTTCTGTCCGGCATCATTAAGTGACCTCAGCGTATCAGAGAAAGTGAAAGAGAACGAGTGAAGCCTATATATGGAGTGGTACGGTGATAAAGTGTATCGATCGTGGGGTTGTATCAGGGTATCAGAAAAGTTGGTCGCCAGGAGCATAAGAGACTAAATTACTAGACCACTTTATGTTACTTAGACTATACCTCTTAGGCTATTTAATATTGCCGCCTAAAGCTTAATGGTCAATTCTTTTGCTACCCGCTAGGTGAGTGAATTTCTGTAAGAAATACATAACGATTGTCTTGTCACAGTCAATAAACGAAACTGAAATTCTCACATTGATGCAGACAATGAACTCTCTTCCTCAACTATAAGTATTTGTCTTGCTTGTCATTTCAACAGCATACCAAACTATCTCTTTTACTTTGATTACTACTTCCACATTGACATTCTTCATAATGGCCTCCGATATGAACAGCACTCATGTTCCCCAAGAACCATCTTATATCACCGATATCAAGGTGTACCACAATGGGCTTCCTGGTAATTTCCGAGTCGAGAGCGACAGCCTAGATGTCCGTTTGAAAGCTACAGTTGACTCACGTGGCAAAATCTCCGATATCGAATTCAAGCACCGTAATGGAGAGCAGATAAGGAATGGGATATTTACTGATAGGCGGGGAAGCCTTTACTTTACGGGAGATGCTCGCCTTGCGCAAATTGTTATTGTAGTCATGGGAATTGCTTGTGAGGCAGTCCGTGTGCCGGAGCGAGTTTCTATCATGGTGAGTCCTGAACTTGATGGTTGATAAATATGGAGAATTGGAAACCTCGTTCGGGATATCATTTAATATTCACTAAGGTATTCACTAATAAAACTACATTTCAGAAAGCAACATTTTCTATGAGATAGGAGTGGCGGAAGGCTTGAGCTTGAGATATAGATAGATAATAGCACAAGATATCTTTGTTTGTAAAGACGATGGAAACTTCACGCCAGCAGTATAGGCGTGAAAACTACTGCCTTTGTGCTGATCGATAATCTTGCCAAGATATCCATTAAGTTTTTCTCATGAGAACCGAGGTACATTTATCCATCGTCGCTTGTGTTTAACTACAGCTATGAAGGCGTTTCAGACGTGCCTACACAGTTTTGAGAATAAATTGCTAGGTAGTTTCTATTTGCATCCTTCGGAATATAGCCCATTCTCGTTATCCAGAGTCTACTCGGACGTGAATAGCTTCTCCGTACTACATTCCCTGATGCTTAACTCGATGCCAGTCAGCTCCCCACCAACCATAGTTCCCATCGTGCTGAGCCTCCGGTGACTGGCACTTTGTTTCGGATCATGGGCTGATGTTATCGGAGAAACTAACAGTGAACCCATCGACTGGCTAGTACTAAATTTCGTGTACCATAGTTTCGTGGTTATCAACATTACGCCTCGGGCAAAGCTCTGAAAACATGGTCTCATTGTCATAATTGCGGCGACAATAACGGCAGTAAAGATCTCTGACATGGCGAGGGTGTTGGGAGTGGTATTGTACCCTGATAGTGTTACAAAAAACTCAAAAATTCAGAACACCTAACATACAATGCGGATCTGTTGTGGCCCCTGGGTTGGGCACATAGAGTAGAACTACTCGGGACGAAGCACAGGCCGTATGCCTACTCAGTCAGCGTGAAATGATGGCCACCAGAAGTGACCAAACTTACAATAGACCGACTGCGATAAGACCGAGGAACTGCCATGTTTCCTTGCGTCGATTTGTCTGCAGTAAAACAGGGAAAGGCATAATGACGAGGAGAACAGAGGTGATAACATTTATGTAGGCATTTGCCACACGGAACTTGTTATTGTCAATGCATTCACCTGTCACATCTTTGAGCCACGCCTTGTGTATTGGTCTGCATTGGAATGTTGATACCAGGGTGCCCGAGGTGTAGTAGGCGACGATGACACACATGAGGGCAAAGTTGCAGTATCGAGCCAACCTTATTCGCCACAAGATGGGGTCCTTGAAGATGCTCATATAGATCGTACAAATTGAGAGCTTTATGACACCGGCGGTGGCCTTGAAGAAAACCTGGTTCAGCCAGAAGCACTATTGTTATGAGCGGCAGAACAAGCAAGTTGAGGATAATGGTAAATACCTACGAGTTTTGGTGTGAGTGCGGCTTGGATTTCGGGCGGTAGATCGGCTTTGTGATATCCATATCCCCATCGGAAGTACGCTATTTGTTATTCAGCTAGAGGTAGTAAGGGAGACACGAAACTCACGGTCCAGGTTAAAGCCAGCAAGGCATAAGCTCAGACACTACATATCAATTATTATCGACGGTGCGCAAAAGCGGAAACAATATCTTACCAGACCAAGAACCAATAAATAATCTGATAGCACAATAACTCTCTTCCACACACGCCACGATATTCTCCATATAACCAGAAAGGTCGCAACGATTGGAAGTACAATCGTCACAGCCTTGAGTTGAGCCGAGTTATTGGGGCCCTGATAATACTCTGTCATGGCTGTTGAACAGAGTTGGAGCATGCATCGTTGACAGATGACAGATAGCAACGCGGGTATTCGGGGTAGGAGACATGTTTAATTCAACTATGGAAAAAATTTCCCAAAGCCATACGCCGCACAACCTAATGACGGGAAAACTAACCGACAATTCATTCAAGGCTGCCCGGCTTCGCTGCCATTATTAGATGTTCTATCGGCACACTCAAATTGCCAACGTGCCAGTTGGTTGACATCTTTTGCAGATGATGAACTTAAATGAATGAGAGCCGGGATAGTAATGAGAGAGAACGACAAGTATTAGGCAGGGACAAAAACAAGGGTGGCGCGTTGTTGGTAGTGTTTGTTGGTTCAAGGTTGTATACATGAAGGAGGCACAGTTCCCCCTTACATGGATAGTACCCACCATTGAGATTGATATTGTACCAGACCACTGTGGCCGGGTTCTAAACCAGCTCTTTGCAGTTATCAGATTTCTTTACTTAGGCAGTTGTAACTGCTTGGTGAATAGCTCATACGACTTAAAAACCATGATAACATAGCATATGTATAACAGGGGCTGTTGAGATACCTTGAGCCCCCTGTCATAAACATCTGCAAAGGGTTCAAAACCGTCACGTCCGTTAATTTCGCTTGTGGACTGCTGGTTCACGGTAAAAATAAGCCGACTACTACGCCGCTGGAAAAGCCTGCAGAATGAGAAATTCAAATATGGATTTCGGTCTCCTGCTACGGCACTTGTCCACCTATGGTTTACCAGAACATCATTTTTTGTATTGCTGACTCTTGAATTCTACTGAAATTATCAATCAACCTAGATAATGAGATATTAATACGAGTTTCAATTGAGCGTGAAATGTCTAAGTGATCGTAGCCAAGTATCTATGATGGAGGGATTGGCGTTATTTGCATCGCCAACTGGTGACCTTCTTGGGATCTCCACCAAGGTATGTCTGCGTCTTGGGATACAGACAATGTTTGCGGCGAAAGTCAACACCCTCAGTATACGTGTCGTTGATAAACTTGGTACCCGTAAGGCTCTCAGGGGCATTTCCCTTCTCGACCCACGCCACTATGGCAGCCAGCACATTATGCTCGGGATCAAAAGGGACTCCGGCTGCTGGAGCACCCCCACCCTGTCCTACAGCCCAGGCACCGGGACCTGTATTGCAGTGGAACATGCCCGATATGGGAAAGTAACGGTAGTAATCATGCAGATTGTGGTCGGCGGACGCCATGCGATTCCAAAAACGATGTGTGCTGAACTGCGTGATCTGGTTGTCCTGACCGCCGTGGTAGCTAAGAAGCTTACCGCCACGCTTCTTGAAAGCTGGAAGTGATTTGGGATAGGTGCGAATGTTGGAAGGGTTCAGTTCGTCGGCCTTTCGAACATCGTCAGAGCTGTAGGTACTGGCATCCCACTCCGGGTCGTTGTACACGGCGTAACGGAACCAATCCACCGAATAGTCAAAGGGCTTGCCAGCTAGGAGTTTGCCCACTGCCTGCAACTCGTTGCCAGGATTCATACGCGGGAAAATAAGTTTGCCGTTGGGATATTTGTATGGGGCGTAGATCATTTCCAGTTGCTTTATCTGGGCCGAATTAAGGCAGTTGCTAGTTTGAGAGCCTTTGCAGAGTAGTGTCTTGGGGTTGAAGATGCATTTTTCAGGAACCTCGATGATGCCATCTTTGACACCATCAATCTTGTCGCATTGTGCAAGAACTTCGTCATGGATGAGGCCACTCCAGGTGGTTAGAGGAATGTAGTTGTCAGAACTTGCATTGCCTGTAATGGTATAAAACATGGCTCTCTGTCCTTGAAGATTGTTAAAGTCGACGGCGGGACATCCAGCCACGATGCCGTCGTAGTCCTCGGGGTATGCCTCTGCGGCCTTGACTCCCATACGACCGCCTAGTGAACAGCCGATATAGTAGTTCTTCGCAGAAGGCTTACTGTAGAAGGACTTTATTATTTTCTTGGCCGATGCGGTACCAGTGTGAAGGCTTAGATGTCAGCTGTTGTGCTTGTGATGGATAGAGGCATACTCACGATCTGTAGGAAAAGTCCTCGATAACGTCGGGATTGTTCAACATGGTGATGGCTGTAGTGCCATTGTGACCATTGTTAGTACCCATTGTAGCAAAACCATTCGATGTACCATATCCAAGATCTTCATATTTGATACCTAGTCAATGTTAAGCTTAAATCTTGTAATGCACAGTTGGTAGAATGCTTACACCCATCAACGCCGCCATTGCCAGTAGCAAGATATCGATTTCCCTTCCACTCACGCGGTAACCATACCTCGAAACTGATGCTAGACCGTTTGGAAGTAGGGATCTGAAGAGCGATACGGCAGAGGTCGACCTTAACAAGTTGGGAGCGACGGTTGCATGACGGGACGTTATCGGATAAATCTAGTGTTGTATCAGCCGAGATGAATTCTTGGCGCGTCAGAGTCGAGTTGTCGATGAGTCTTGCAGGCTTGAAGGCCAGACATCTCTCGCGAAACGAGTCGCGGGAAATGTCGCACACAACTGTTGCAACCAACAAGCTGATGGCAACAAAATGCCAGTAGAGATATCTAGTCAATGCCATGTCGCCTGATCTCTCAATCGAGGTATGCCTAAATTGAGCCTTTGTCCTCTGAATCCATTCGAGTGTATCGAAGGGAGACGATGAAGGAAAAGCGAACAGAGATAAATCTCAATTGTTGTTGGTTATATAAAAAATGAACCCTGGAATCTCAGAGCCCCTCATATCAAGGATGGCCGGACATATGTACCACGTTCCCCGAAATTGGATGCGGAGAAACCACTACCCATGTATATCATTTCCCAAGCAAGAAGAACTCAAGTACCTAGTTTAGGTACATACGATAAAGTTACCTGTCAATTTCATATGTTGCCGCAATTGCTCACAACTTCAAGATTAGCTATTTTCTGCGATTATCTGTTGCAAAGAGATATTGTCGACCACATGGCCCAACCCTAGGTATTTGATACCTTCTCCGTAAGATCTTACCTCGTCCGTCAACAAATATCTTTCAACTCTATCTACTCCGCTCTAACCCTCAAGTATCTGACTCAACGCCATCTCCCATGTTCCTCGCCAGATAATTGACGCATATCCATCTCGTCGAAAGTAGGTGAAATAACAAGCCTCTCCTTTAGACTCGTTCCATAGGGTCATCGTTTCGAGGTTAGGCATCCTTTGTGAAGCGTGTACTGCCACCATCAAGAGGTCATCGGTCCTGTCGGGCTCATTCTTGCACATCGTTCGGGAGGTCAAAGTGAGAGACTTCAACTTGTCCCATCGCCGCAGTCCACACGCATCAAAGAAATGGCGAGCATCGACAAGAAATGAGATTGAAATGTGCCCTAGCTCTCGGCGTCTAGCGAATGCAGCTCCCACACCTGTACTCGGTTGACGAACCCGTTCCGGATTATATTGCACGTCAGGCCCTCGATCAAGTTGAAACAGGTCAAGAAAGTCCCTCCGCTTGGCGGGAACCTCGAACTTATCTTCGGCAGGAGCACCGAAATAACAGTCTTTGAACCAATGCTCCGAGTCGCTTGGGGAATAGGCGTTCAGCTCCAACGTCAGACGTCGTCCTTCGTGGGTCCACTTAGTGAGGATGGAGAACAATCTGGAGACTGCTGCGACTATGATACCGTTGTTCGAATAGGACTGTGTCAGTGACTCCCACTTTCGGCAAGCTCTACAAGTGTAGGTTGTGAGCTCTATGTTTAGCCAAATGTGATCAATCTGCGGCGTTGCTTCTTCAGAAAGCTGGTCCAGAAACACAAGACAACTTGGATGAAGCTTGAGGTGGCTAAAGTTCCTCTTCTGTAGGACTTGTTGCCATTCCTCGGATACAGATGCATAGACTCCTACTCCTGCGTCGAGCCATGATAGCCGGTCGAGGATACTATTGCGTATCTCGGGGGGCAAGGATAACCAGTTAAGTATAATAGGGCGAGGAATAGGCAGATGTAGCTAGTGAAACAGAAGAGTCAGACTAAGCTCTAGGATACAAAAATAAATAACTTGAGAAGTATGTTCAAAAACAAATAAACTGACCTATAAGTTTCTTCTCTAATGGTTTCAGTGGCTGACGTTACTGATATACCAAGAAAAGAAAATGGAAGAAAAGCCACGAATATGAAATAGAACACCAACATTATACATGCTTCTTTACACATTATGTATTATGACTCACCGCCACAGTTTGAAGGATAAACTTGGTATCAGACTTTGAAAATCGAAAAGAAACGATTTTCTTTTACTACTCCAACCCGAAATCTAAACCTTCTGGGGATCAAGGATTTCAGAACATGCAACATGATATTGATAACTTATTACACCACCCATCTAGGCGGTGTTACAGATTGAATGGGAACCTAAGTATACCTTTCTTGACTTGCTTGTCTTGCTATCAAGCTATGGCAGGTAGAGTCACTTTCATCTTCGAGGCGATTAGTGGCGGTAGTCTAGAGTACGTCTGACAGAAAGAAATCAACGCAAGTGCTCCTCATGAGTTGAGTGAAAACAAAACTATACGCGCCATGACAAAACAGGTTCATTTTGTCTGGAGTTTAGATACCTCAATGCCTTCTCGATAAACCTCATCAAATAATCTACATTTGTGTTACGATGAAACCCCCGGGGTCTCGTTCTAATCACACGCAGCACATTCGAAACTTCTGAATATTAAAACTCTCTTTTGGAACAACCTAGGTTCGGTTTCCTCCATTGCCAACCTTGCCGCAGGGACCATTACTGTAGACATAAGAACTTGGAGCGTCAGCTTTAGTAAAGTATGTTAAGGTTAACACCTGAGTGTTGCTGCACGTAAATCCTGTGCCTGAAGGAGTGTAGATCAAGCAGCTCGAAGAATCCAACCGCCATATAGTGAGTAGACAATCGGATTTCTTTTGACACAAAACACAGCAGTCATAAGCACTTTTAGGACCACTCGTCGGAGTACCGACGGTGTTCATGTTCCGGGTTGCTGATACGATGTTATAGCCGCCATTGGCAGTCATCAGCATGTTGCTATCACCACAGGCCTCATAATAAGAGTCGGCTGGAATGACGCTCTCGACCATCACTGATGTCATCTGTTAGTGCATTCCTATTAATCGAAGAGAATAAATACGTACCGATCTCAGTTTTAGTAGCTGTCTCAGTGCGATCGTCATACTCGGTAACAGTAGAGACCGTAGTTGTAAGTGATGTTTCAGTCACCTTGGGAGGGTACTGGGTCTCAACCGTAGTCTCGATTGATGTCACAACCTTGGTGTTCGTCTTTGGGTTGACAGTGACGCGGGATCCCTGAACTGTGACAGTGGTAACCTTGACTGTGGTGGTGGGGACATTCTTGACACAGTCTATGCGTTGGACATACTGAGGGTTAGATCCAAGACCGGGCAGGGAAATGTCTGATGAGGCTCTCTCTGCATGCGAGTTTCTAGCTTTGATTTTTGGTCGCCAGTCAGGGCCTTTAGCGACGACGAAACCTTGCGAGGCTTGGACAGTACTAGTAGTATACTTTGTGGTGGTGCTGGACGATATTGAAGTTGAGGTGGTAGTATGTAGTCGAACTTCATTCTTGGTTGTCGTATCTGTAAAAAAGATTAGTTAAGCTATGTCTCAGTCGTAGTGAGACAAAGTCCGTACCAGTCTTTGTTACAATAGCAGTCTCGACACCAGGATCAGCCTGTGTTGTTTCCGTAATAGTCTTGACAGTGGTGGAAGTAGTTGTCTTGGCCCTGGGCACAACCACGACGTTGACCTTGCGGATGACCTTCTTCTGGACTGTTACTTTATTATGAACGGTTGTGGTGGTCCGAGGGATTCTGCTTGCAGGGATACTCTGAGTTCCAAGCTTGCTTTGGCAGATCACATTTGAGGAAACAGCCAGACCCTCAGCGGCCAGAGCGAGGAGAAGCAGAGCAGACCGAAGAGCCACCATGTTGATGAACAAAGACAGATGAAATGGCAGTGGAGAATGATGGCCAAGACAGAAGGGATGATTATTGTAAGTGGGAAAAGACGGATTTAAAGTGCATCTTACGAGCTGGGAACAAAACTGCTCAGCTGGATAACCATGAGAGGCCTAGACCAGTATATTCCTTAAGCGATATTGAAATATTGACCTTAGCACACGATTTACAGTGGAACATGACCAAACTGATAATAGCAACATTTAGTATTATGCGCTAGTTCCCAATTGGTATCGAATAATCCTTGCAAGAGAAATTCTAGGTGCAGATGGATTGAAACGATTGAGTTCTAGACGCTCATAAAAACAAATATTAGTCAGTAGGCGAAAGCCGCTCGACGCGGTCGACTGGCAAAAGCGGGCGGTGAGCCAGCTGTTCTGTAATTTCTTTCCATGCAAAGTGTTGAAGATACTGGTGGTCTATATATCAATAGACCTGCTGTCCCGTATGTTACGGGATCGAATCCATCTCTGTTATCCAAGCATTCACTTGTGTAAATGACATGCTGTTTATGCCTAGTGGTGGGGAAAGAAGCTTTTGTAGATGGTTGATAGCGGAGAGTGATGGATGTTGTTGGCATCCTTTACTTGATTTATGGAACATCATGCTCAATTTGAGTGTGCGCTATTCCTCGACTACGTTTAAGCTACTTGACAATATGCCAACCGGTAGTATCCAACCTGATGCTATCACAGTGGGAGACGTATGTCTACACCTGTTACTAGTTGCACTTTCCGCAATAGCCGCATTCAGCATCACATGCAGCGTAATCACTCTGCTCATCACTGTCTGAGAGTGTTGCCATGAACTCTTCCCAACGTCCTGAGCCTTCCAGATTGAACTTCTCCTCATCCTCAACTCCCAACCAAGCCTCCCATTGCTTCCTCACTGGCTCCGACAAGACGTCTCCCCCGTCTGGCAATTGTTTTCGAATCTCAAGAGAGCCGTTCTTAGACCAGACTATCTCCAACTTGCCATCATTGGATCTTCGAGTGTTGTCAATGATGACGTGGAGGAGGGCAGCAAGGCGATTGAGACATGGCTGATTCTGATCTTGCCATTTTTCGATATCGGACTTGATATCCTTGATCTCGATATCGCTTTCCCGGAAGAGCCCTTTTTCGTGGTAGGCGAGGAGGAATTGCGGGATCTGGGATATCCACAAACGTTGGAGTTGGTCTCCGAGATGATCCTTCTTGCGGGTGTATACCGATCGTGTCTTCAAGTCAAAGATGCTGCTTTGGGGGATATTCTCGCCGCCTTCCAAAACGACAAGCTTGTTGCTGATGTTGACTGGTGAGTCACTGACGCCAATATCTTCAATCTGGTAAAGGCTATTTGCGTTGGAGGTTTCATCGTATGACTTGATGCGAATCTCGGGTTTGGACGGACCAAGAAACCCATCGCCTTCGAAGCGGACAAGTAGATCATAACCGGCGAACCGATAGGAAATGATTCTTTGGTGTGTCTTGGATCTCTTAGCTTCAGGACCCCAAGTAGTGTATGCCTCGGGAAAAGTGTGCCCAAATCCTCGAATATCCTCGATCGTCTGATCAGGCGCGTCCTCCCTACGAATGAGATGAACCGTGTCGCCAACTCTCTCGACGAGAATGCGAAAGCAGCGATCGAGGTCGACCCCTCTGGTAAAACGTAAAAGGTTTCCAATTGAGCTTCCGCATGCGACAATATTGACGGGCATGGACTCTGGATGCATCTTCATGACAGACACAATGGCAGGCTCCAATGGATGCTTGGGGTAAGAGGCGGCGTTGATGTCGCGATAGTAATCACCGGAATCTTGAGGCAGTTTGTTGGAGCCCTTGAGTGGTGTCCATCTGGGAGGTTCGCCTATAAATGTTAGACGTGTTTCTCAATTACGTGGTTCACGTACCTGGGATAATGATCTTGGGTGTTGAAGAGCTAACCCAGTTGTAGGATGCCACACATTGGACATTGTCAATCTCAGCGCGGACACCAGTGTCGGAGAGACTGTCCCTAGTGATGCGCTCAATCACATCTCCAAGCGGATGTGTTTTAGAGATGCCTGGTTTCTTTTCATCATCGGTTGAGAGGGAACCTCTGTTGCCTCTGTACCGTCGATGCATAGCGAAGACGGATGTGATCAATTTGGCGGGTGAGTAAGCAGAAAGTATGAATGGGACTGAAAATTTAAGAGTGAGAGATCAAAGTCTGAATTTAAACAGTTTATTGATACTGCCGACAGAAAAAAAAACAAGAATGGTGAAGGTGGCCGGCCTCTTGCATTAATTACACTTGCTGCGCAGTGTTGGCCAGGTGCGACCAACAGTGGGCTGTGAATGCTGGACATTGAGGCCTCCCAATCTGACCAACACAAATGAATCACTTGTGTACAATCATTTTGCAGGAAATAACTCATGCCTAAGAGCAATTAATTCTTTGATCATCGCTGTTGGTCGTAGCCCACATGCATTGATTGCCAACATCCCCCCACCATTGTTGCTGTGGGAGGCCCATCAACCCTCCAAAGCCTGGTCGTATGACGAATAGGAATCTGTTTGTTACATCGCACAATGAAGCCTTGTCGGCCTCGTGCATAATCAATCATCGTGGCGGTTCTGGTTGGATTGGTCCTAGGCAGACTGTGGAATGCCGCTTCATTCACGGGCAGCCCAATACAAAGAGAACGCACATTCATTGCACCTTAACCTGACACTCTACCTTGACTACTCTGAATTGTTCTTCTTCATCTCAACTCTTCTCATACCATCTCTCTTGATTACATTACACTTCCATCTCTACTACCGATCATGGTTCTTGTGAAAGACGCATCAGGCTCACGAGCCGCCAAGCTCATTAAGTCTTTCTGGGCTATAACCAAGGGAGAGCAACAGATCACCAATGCTCACTCGGCTAAGCTCTTTCTGCAAGCCTGTCAGGCCTTTAGTGACAAGAACACGGCCGTCAAATGCGTAGAAGTCCTTATCTCCAACACACCCGGCTTCGCAGCTCTCGAAAGAGCTGTACGTGCCGACCTGAGCCCCGACTTCATCAATTCGGCCTCATTACCTCTTATCCTGACTCTAGCAGACGATGGTGTAATTGCACTCAACAACGGCGGGTTCCTTCGCCAGATCCTGTCTGCCATCTTAGATCCTTCGACATTTTGGAGCGCTTCAATGGATGCATACAGTAGTGGCAGACTTGACAGTCTTGGGCTAGAAGCTTTCGCTTGGCTCTGCTTGCAAGTTGTATCCGACCAAACAGGCTTCGAATCCCAGAAGCTTGAAGTGGACCAAATGATGAAGCGTCAAAGTCTTCTAAAGTCTCAATTGCCTGAAGTTCGGAAAATTGCCTATCGCATTGAGAAGATCATCAAGATCTTTTCCCAGCCCCAATCTGTAACACAGGGCATCACTCCTGGAGGACGTCACGACAATGATCATGCAAGTTTCCGTCAAGTCTCTATCTATCCCACCTCTGATGAGCTCACGTCTACCGACCCTCCGTACCTCCAACGACTTGGAGAGGTATTTGACACGCCAATGGACACCCGAAGTCAGGTTTACCGCGATTGGCTATTTCGGCTGCTCCGCGAAGACATGCTTTCAGAGCTTCGCGATGACCTCCAAGTTGCCATGGGCCGGAAGAAAAGCAAGCGCAAACCAGTTACCCTTGGCGAGATGAAGCTTGTCAACATTGATGTCGACAAGACGACCATGCGACACATTCATCCTTACAGCCTGTTCGTGGCCTGTGGCCAGGGAGTAAATTTCCCTCGCAATATGTCCAAAGACAGAAAAGCAGCCTTTGTTGACAACTCCAAGCATTTCATGAAGCATGATTCTTTTGGCGCTCTCTGTTGCGACGACAAAATTATCGCGTTTGGATCACTCGTGCGAAACAACACCAATCTACTAAAGTCGCCGCCTATCGTCGGTCTCAGATTCACGGACAGCTCTGGCTTAATGTCCGCTCTGGACGCTTTCGAGAGTCCCATCAAAGATCAGCTCAAGTTTTTGATCGTTGGCACCGCTACTTTTGCGTATGAGCCTATCTTAGAACGGCTGAAGACGATTGCAGACCTTCCTCTCGAAGCTCAATTAATCGACCATGAGCAGCCATCGCTTGATGTTCTGAAGCCCATCAAATTGGATGCTTTGCTTGATAGATGCCGAACAACCTTTGAGGCAGGTTCTAGGATGACCTTGCCTTTAAACTTCACGCGTTCCAAGGAGATTCACCTTCAAGACGCCCAGCTCAAGTCCTTCATCCACGGATTGAGTAGCGATCTGGCTTTGATCCAAGGTCCCCCAGGCACTGGAAAGTCGTTCCTGGGTGCCATCATCCTTTTGACTATTCTACGCCTGACCACATTCCGTGTCCTTGTTCTTAGTTATACAAACCACGCGTTGGACCAATTTTTGGAAGATCTTATGGATATTGGCGTTAGTTCAGATCAGATCGTTCGCCTCGGGTCTAAATCTACTGAGGCCACCAAGCCCACCCTTTTACACGAGTACGATGGCCAGAAGAGATACTGGCTGACTATGGAAGAGAAAAATATCCTCAACGCGCTGCGATTTGAAGAAACTGAACTGGACGAGGAACGCCATGAATACAGCAAGAAGCTCGCAGGACGCGGCGTCAACCCCGCTGATATCCTCGAGTACCTTGAGTTTTCTGAATCGTTTACGTCGGCATGGTCCGCGTTCCAAGTCCCTGACGATGATGGGTTTCAGATGGTAGATTCCCGCGGTAAAGCAATTGAGCCCGAAGCAGTTTATGACTATTGGCTGCGCAACGGCGACGTCAACGGCATGGGAAGACTGAACGACTTATTAGAAGGGTCCTCTCGTGCTTTTTGGGACCTGTCGCGCGAATCAAGAACTCAACTTCATCATGAGTGGGCTCGCAAGGTCCGAGAAGAACAAATTGTCAATTTTGTTGATCTGAGCAAGAGATTCAACGACACCAAGGCCAAGATCAGAAGTATACTCGACGAGCGAGGCCGAAGGGTACTGAGGGACAAGCGAATCATCGGATGTACAACTACTGCTGCGGCGAAGTACCAATCCATCATCGAAACAGCAACCCCCGACATCATTCTCGTCGAAGAAGCGGGAGAAATCCTTGAGGCTCATACCATCACCGCTATGAGTGCCTCCGTCAAGCAACTCATCCTCATTGGTGATCACAAACAATTGAGACCCAAGGTTGGCAACTACGCTCTCAGCAAAGAAAAGGGCGAGGGATACGATTTGAACGTTTCTCTATTTGAGAGACTTATTACCCAGGGTCATCATTTTACAGCACTGCAAGAACAGCATCGCAGCCATCCGGACATATCGCAATACCCCCGTATGCTGGCATATCCTGAGTTGAAAGACGTACCATCCACTGTCAAACGCGACCCAATTCGAGGACTTAAATCCCGGGTCACGTTCGTTCACCATGAAAAGCCCGAAGATACCATGGATGATGTAAACGACAGTCGAGATCCCACTGCAAAGGCCACGAAGAGAAATACCCACGGGGCTATGATGGTTCTCAAGATGGTCCGCTTTCTTTCCCAGAATGGATACAAAACCCAAAACATGGTTGTTCTTACGCCGTATCTTGGCCAGCTGTTCCTACTCAGGGAAACCCTACGACAAGAAACCGATCCCGTGTTGAGTGACATTGACTCACACGATTTGCTACGCGCGGGCCTGATCACACCAGCAGCGGCGAAGGTGAACAAGAAGACCCTTCGTTTGTCAACCATCGGTGAGTGCTTAAATTAGGAGCGATCGACTAATTTTATGTCCTAAGCCTGTCTAAACCCCCTAAAAAAACATATAGTTATCCCGCTTTAGACCAGGAACAGAGTCAAGCTAACATGTATAGACAACTACCAAGGAGAAGAGTGCGACATCGTCATTGTTTCGCTCACACGCAGTAATGACTCTGGCGACATCGGATTTCTGTATGCTCGCGACCGACTTGTTGTCCTCCTATCGCGAGCGCGAAACGGCATGGTTCTCTTTGGTAACATGGAGACATTCATGAAGAGTAAGAAAGGAGGGAAAATGTGGACGCAGTATTTTGATGCACTGAAGAGAAACGATTCTCTATTCAATGGTGTTCCGGTACATTGCGAGCAACATCCAGACGTCTCTATGCTTTTGAAGACCCCCGAAGACTTCGATATGAAGTGTCCCGATGGCGGGTGCGCAAAACCTTGGTATGTTTGGCTTTCTTGACTATTACATCTTCCTAATCTCTATAGCGGTGCTGCTCTGAGCTGTGGGAAACACTATTGCAATCGACGATGCCATCGAGTACAGGACCATTCAAAGGTTGAGTGTTCCGCAAAAATCGACAGGACCTGCGCCAGAGGTCACACTTCCAAGGTTCCTTGTGGAGACAACTCCAAGAGCTGTAGGGCATGCACCAGAGAAGACGAGGAAAACCGCCGTCGTATAAAACGGGACTTGGACATTGAAAGAGCCCGGCAGGAGCAGGAAGACAAGTACCGACTAGAGCTGCAAGAGATTGATGATGAGATCCACCATCTCCGTCGGACCGCCAAGTACGATTCGGAAAGAGAGAAGAAGATGGACGAAGTCGAGCAGAAGAAACAAGAGCTTGAGGCTCTACGACAGGCTCGTGCCATGAAGACCAAGTTGGCAGCGGCCCAGGCAAGCAGGCCAGCGCCCCAAGCCTGGGTTCCACAATTTGATGTTATTTCTCAGGCTGCCTCTGAGTGGAAGCACATGAAGAAGGTCGAGGGTGCATTTAATGACGCTTTGGACAAACTGATGGGTATGATTGGCTTAGAATCAGTCAAAGAGGAGTTTCTTTCTATTAAGTCAACTGTCGACACGAAAATACGTCAAGGGTTTTCACTTGGAGACGAAAGGTTTAGTTGCTCGCTACTTGGAAACCCGGGGACAGGCGAGTTTCCCTTCTAGCCGCTGAGTCAAAATAATGAGGAGGCTGACCATTCTGACAGGTAAAACGACGGTTGCCAGGATTTACGCCGAGTTTCTCAGTTCTGTTGGGGCCGTCGCCGGCAGCTGTTTCAAAGAAGTTACTGGATCAAAATTGGCCAATATGGGTGTCTCTGGCTGTGAGAAGCTTATCGAAGAAGTCAACAACAACGGTGGAGGATGTGTCTTTATAGACGAAGCGTACCAACTTTCGTCAGGCAACAGTCCTGGTGGAAAAGCAGTTCTCGATTACCTATTGGCTGAGGTTGAGAACTCTCGCGGCAAGATCATATTTGTTTTGGCTGGCTACAACAAGGAGATGGAATCGTTCTTTTCGCACAACCCTGGCATCCCCAGTCGCTTTCCTATCGAGATGAAATTCGAAGACTACACAGACGATGAACTTCTGAAGATCCTGCAGTTACAGATTCATCGCAAGTTCAACGGCACGATGGCTGTAGCTGAAGGTGTGGATGGACTCTTCTGCAGAATTGCGGCCCGTCGGATCGGCCACGGTCGCGGTAAAAATGGTTTTGGCAACGCGCGTGCTGCAGAAAACCATTTGCAGGCAATCACAAAGAGACAGGTAGCACGAATCCGGAAAGAACGTCATGCAGGAGGCAAACCAAGTGACCTACTATTTACTCAGGAAGACATCATCGGACCAGAGCCTTCAGAAGCACTGATAAAGAGCAAGGCATACCGAGAGCTCAATTGCATGATCGGACTCAAGGAAGTCAAGGACGCGATCAAAGTCCTGATGGATACATTGAAAACAAATTTTGAGCGCGAACTCGCTGAAGAGCCTCTAGTTGAGTTCTCTCTCAACAAAGTATTCCTCGGATCACCCGGAACGGGAAAGACAACCATTGCAAAGCTTTACGGCGAAATCTTGAGAGACCTAGGCTTGCTGTCCAATGGCGAAGTTGTGTGCAAGAATCCTGCAGATTTTGTCGGAGCTGCTCTTGGGCAGTCCGAAGCGCAAACCAAGGGTATACTCGCTGCAACAGTTGGAAAGGTTCTGGTAGTCGATGAGGCATACGGATTATCAGGAGGAGGGGGAGCAAACGGTTCCATGGCTGATCAGTATAAAGAGGCTGTTGTCGATACCATTGTGGCCGAAGTACAAAGTGTGCCTGGCGAAGATCGCTGCGTCCTGCTTCTCGGCTACAAGGACCAGATGGAGCAAATGTTCCAGAACGTCAATCCAGGTCTCAGTCGGCGATTCCCTCTTTCATCAGCATTTATTTTCGAAGATTTTGATGACGATGCCTTGGCAAAGATACTCGACATGAAGCTTGGCAAGTCAGGCTTCAAAGCAACTGAGAAGGCTAAGTCTGTTGCCCTAGAAGTCCTTGGCCGGGCGCGAAACCGACCAAATTTTGGGAATGCTGGCGAAATCGACATTCTCCTCGGTAGGGCAAAGGCGAGCCACCAGAAACGCCTCACCGCTGGTCTTGTCAACAGGCGTACCACCCTGGAAGCCGTGGATTTTGACGCGGAATTTGATCGAGCCGAAAAGGGAGACACTGACATCAGCAAACTTTTCTCCGGCGATGTTGGTCGGGATAGCCTCATAGCTACTTTACAAGACTACCAGAAACGTGTTCGCCAGGCTAAAGAGTTGGATATCGACCCAGAAATCCCCTTCAATTTCCTTTTCCGTGGCCCACCTGGAACGGGCAAGACAACAGCAGCTCGCAAGATGGGCAAGGTCTATTACGATATGGGATTCTTGGCAAAGCCAGAGGTTATTGATGTCTCCGCAACTGAGCTGATTGGTCAATATGTCGGACAAACAGGACCCAAGGTGCAAACGCTCCTCGACAAAGCTCTTGGAAAAGTACTCTTCATCGATGAAGCCTATCGTTTGGCATCAGAGACGGGATCATTTGCTAGAGAAGCGGTTGACGAACTAGTTGACTGCGTCACTAAACCGAAGTATCATCAGAAGCTGATCATCATCTTGGCTGGCTATGTCCAAGACATCAACTCTCTTCTCGCCATAAACCCAGGAATGTCCAGCCGATTTCCAGACAACATAGATTTCGATGCCTTGGCTCCTTCGGTTTGCGTTCAGTTGATGACAAAGCAAATGCAAGCTCACAAGGCCAAGCTCAAGGGTCGGAGGATCATGGACTTCTCGTGCTTGGAAAGTCCAACAGAGTTATTTTTGAACGACTTAACCAAAGCTTTCGAGGCTCTTTCGCAGCAAGATAGCTGGGCCAATGCAAGAGACGTCAAGGAGTTGGCAAAGAAACTTTTTCAAAAGTTTGACCTTTCTTGTCCTGAATTGACGTTGACGGAGGACATGGTCCTGGCGACACTAGACGACATGATGAAAGAGCGCCGCGACAGAATGGAAAACAAGAAGCCAACAGCAGCGTCTGAGATCGCGAAGGCGTTTGTTAATGGCCCGACCTTCACTCCTCCCACTATCACTACTAGTAAAACAGTGATTACTCAAGAAAAGGAAGCGGAAGAGCCAGAAGAATCCACCGAAAATCTGTCCCACGACGCACTCCACAGCATTCGAGATGCTGGAGTCAGTGACGAAGTATGGGAGCAACTGCAGAAAGATAGGGAGAATGAAGAACGTGATAACGAAGCGCTGCAACGTCTAAAGCAAGCACAGCGAACGGCAAAGGAGGCTGATAGAGAGAGGATCGTGCGGGAGATCTTGGCAGAAGAGGAGAGGCGCAAGCAGATAGAGGCAAGAAAGGCGAAGCTAATACGAATGGGCATCTGTCCTGCAGGATTCCAATGGGTCAAACAAAATGGAGGGTTTCGGTGTACTGCGGGTGGGCATTGGATTTCCGATGAGCAGGTAGACAGGATGTAGGTCAGAATCACAGATAGCGTGTCACTTCTTCAGGATAAGGTATAAAAGATTTAATCAATAATTCTGTTCTCTACCAGTGCTAAGGAAAAATACTTAACTCAACACCTTTCCCTCAATTAAAACCCCCTTTACTCTCGCCTGTCCTTTTTCCTCGGCGATACTCACGGCAGACCAAATCTTTCCGCTATTCCCCTGTGATGGTACGTTAGAAGCGGTTAAAGGTACTCTACTCATGCCTCAATTTTGTCGGAAGGCAACAAACAGGCTAGGGACAGGGTATATACTCACTGTGTTGTATCCCCACTGAGGCAATGTCACATTAGGGTCAGCTCCCTTCTCAAGCAACAACCTCAAGCCCTTGATCTTATACTCTTCCTCGCAGTCACACAAGACCAGAGCAATAAGTGGGCTAAATTCATTATGAGTGACGTTTACATCAGCACCTTTATCAATCAACAGTTCCAGCATATCATGTTGCACCATAGACCAACCAGGCGGGTCCTGGAGGTTATACTCTTCATGAAAGCTCCACTGAAATGGATAATGTGACGGGCCTGCACAGACGGCAATCAGTGGTGTCCCAAAAGGGCTATCTGATACAATGGCGTTGACATTGCATCCGTAATCAAGAAAGTGCAGAATGGCATCTGCGCGTAGCAATGCTGATGCTGCGATAAGTGCGGAGCCGTAAAAGCTCCCTGGAATAACCTCATTTGGGTCGGCCCCTTGTTGAAGGAGGAAGGGAATGGCCATCGGCACGTTAACGCAGAGTGTGATCATGTTGCCCCAAAAGCTATTATGAATGGTCAAGCCGACATTTTCTTTCACAATGTCGCTGGTCAAAGCCCGAAAAGGGTGAGTAAAGTTGAGCATCTGACTGGCCGATATCTCAGTTGCGCCAAGCTTACGGAGAGGTTCCGAGACCCTGTAACTCTTCTTCATGTCAAGAGTCGCGATCATTGCTGTTGGATAGATGCCGCAGCTCTCCTCACGGTTCACATCCACACCTTCTTGTCCAGCTATCAGTTCCAGTCTATCTTCGTCATGTCCCTGAGTCGCAGCAATGAAGACGTTTCCAAAGAAAGGCTTCGCATACTGTATGGAGGGTCCCGTAATTTTGCAATCATCCCACATCCTCTTCCACAGCAATGAGAAGTGCAGAGACTTGCTGTATTTTAGAAGCAAGGACTCAAGACAGGTCGGTTGTGCGGCTTCATTCTCAAACGAATATGACATATCGAATTTAGCTCCCTTTCTCATAAGGAGCGACACAATCTCGTCTGCGCCGCTGCTATACGAAACCTCTACAGCAGCGATGAGGGGGCACCACTTCTCTCGGCCAGGGTTGCATTTGTTAACATTGTGAACCTGTTGAAGGAACATCTCAACCGCTTCAACATTTTCAGACCCACAGGCTGCTGTCAGAAAGTCCCCAAATGGTGCTCCTGGAGCTAGTTCTTGGGTCGCCCCAATGTGCTGTAACTTGTTGATCAGGGTCAGGTTCCCAGCAGCACATGCGGCATACATCTGGGTCCCTGATTCAGATAGAAGCGCCTTTATCTTATCCATGTCGGTATGGAAAGACTCTCTGATGTCATATAGTAGGTAGGACGAAGCTCCCTGGTCTATAACGAAGTTGACATCGACACCGCCTTCGATCAACTTCAGAGCAACATCTTGGTTATCCGATTGAATAGCAAACATGAGCGACATTGCCCATTTTCTCCATTCTTCGGGGGATTTGTACGACGATACGTCAAATCCCTCCAGAAACTTCAATGCCAAATCCCAATGTTCGGTAAGAATAGCAGCAAGTGCTGGATGTGACCACTCGGTTTCAGGATGCCCTGGAGTATTAGTGGTTGCACCATGTTGAATGAGAAGATCAACCACAGATTCACTACCCGTTGCGGCAGCAGCAATCAACGGAGTTCCATATTCATCACCTGGTAGATACTTATCAAGGTTGTCCAAGAGTCCATGAGACTTCATGAACTCCACTGGCATATGGTACCTCATGGGGCTTGTGATTATTGCAGAAATTACAGACCCATCTCGAGATCCATAACCGTATATATTGAAGGTAGGCGGCGGACATAATGGCCTCTCGATACTTGTTTTCAATGCTGGTGTGTGTTGCTTGAGAAGGTCAAATATCCGCTTCCGATCTAGCACGGGGCACCAAGAGTTTTCAAATAATACCACCGAGGGAAGCATACCAGACTTTGCCTCAAGGTTCGGATCAGCCCCCGCATCCAACAAAACCTCGACGTTTGCAAAGCCTTCTCCTCGACAAGCCGCCACGAGAGGCGTACTGAAATCGCGATAGTTCTCACCAAGAAGTGAGCTGTTTGGGTCTGCACCTCTCGCAATGAGCTGTTTTATCACCTGGATGCCTTCCTTTCTGCCCGCCCAAATGTTGAGTGCCAAGTTGAGCTTTTCTTTGTTCTCCGGTTGCTGCAGATAGTCATACAGAAGAGATTGCAGGATTCTAAGATCCTCAGTTTGTCCTTGTTTGTCGACCACAGGAAGCCAGGACCCAATAGCGTGTAAGAGAATATCTTCGTCATGTAGAAACTCTTCATGTGCTCCTTGGACAAGAAGTCGACTGATTCTAGTATTGTCCATCGCAGTGGTGGATATGATCCTGGGCTCTTCTTCCGCGTACTCCCAATCTCTGGAGTGGGTGTCAATCCTATCTAGGAGTACCGCAGGGTCGAGATGGCTAAGCCAATATTTATTGACCTCCTCCAAAGTCACATTGCTTGTGTATCGGCCTTGTAAAAGTCTCAAATTAGAGGCTCGGTTAATTCTAGCGGTTGGGGAAACTCCAGAGGCAAGCAGTTTTCGAACACATTCTGCGTTCCCTTTACAAACAGAGACGTAGAGTGTCTCTTCTTTGAGCTGTTTGAATGCCAGGGCGTTCATTCGTACGCTTCTAGAAGCATGGGAGAAAAGAGATGCCAGGAACTCTTCAAGTCCCTCCTCAGCGCTAAGTATAGAGCATAGTCGTATCATGATGAGATATACTTTAGTGCCGTAAGGACGGTCACTAAATAAATCGAAATATTCAAGAGCTGCTGCAAAAAGCTCGTGACATCCATCGACCCATTTGGCCACGATGGCTGTAAAGAGCCCGTTGACGGTGCTTTTCAGGATCGACTCCAGAATATTTTCAACCTCTGGTATATTGCTGATTGTAGCCCTTTCATAGCTTTCTTTGTTTTGAAGTATACAGCGGCGTACAAGGTCAATCCTACATGTAGCCACGATGAAGGCGAAAGGAGTCTGTTGATAATCATCAATCCCACTAAAGCCGACTGTGTTTTGGATCAACGAAATGCACGTGGGATACAATCCTGCCACGATAGATTTTGATAGGAAGCTCGAGGTGTGTCCGATTCGTAATGGACCGTCCAAAAGCTGTGTCATTGATATACCCCAAGGTCCACCTCTGGCATCGATGTGTAAAGCCGGGTTGAATGGTGAACGATAATCCGCCCAATAGTTGACTAGAGCGCAATTTTGATCAAGGTTCTTCAACCTGTGTTCCTGTTGAATCAGGCCGGTTATATAATGGACGAGGTCATACTCAACGTTTTGATATTGGAGATGGGAAAATATGTCTCCACATGTGTAAGCCAAGAACTCGACCACATCCCTATCATTTTCAGCAACAATATCATTCTCAGAACCTGATTGTTTGATTGATTCCCAGATAGGCGAGGTACTGTACGCCAAACAAGCTCTGGAAAGCTGAAGGTGAATGTCTCTCAAGTCGAGTCTGAATTTGCCAGCTTGCGGCGAGAGAAGATATTGTTCAACGCTAAAATGTGCAAGAGTTATGATCTTGTAGTCATGTCTCCGAAATTGGTGAGTGTGGTCGGACTCTCTGACGAGACTTCTGCAAATGTCGCGAATTTCACCCTTTTTGACAAGACATATATCATCATCCACCCGAATATGTTATCATTTAAGACTTACCGGATTTTGCAGACGATCCTCCTCATCAACCTCCAACCTATCCTCATCAATAGTCAATGCTTCGACGAGCATGTTGGCGGTCATTTCTCCATCCGTTCCAATTAGCCACGATAGTATCCGTCGGGCTTTGCGGAGATCAGAACCGGACATTTTCATAAACATCTGTTCATATGTCTCTGTAAGGGTTAATGGCAAGTTATTGATAGCTTCTCGTATCTCCCGTGCTGTTCGACAACGCGATATCTCGTCAAGTTGACACTGCACCCAGCGGAACCTGTTTTCAGTTATCAGCAGTCATCCCGTACAGAGGGCATCAAAGTAACACGTACATTCCACCAGACTTTTGCACTAATGTGGTTATCACATCGCTTCGAAGTCGTTCTGGAGAGTCGCGAAAGACTCTGAACTTGCCGTTTGTATCATTACGCATTGTCTCTGTTATAAACAATTCAATATCTTGAACCACTGCGGCATATTCCAGTAGTTGTATGGAGAAGCCTGAGGGCTCAAGAGATTGTTTGATGCCACTCTCATCACGACTGAAACACATAAACCGTACATCTGCCCAAGGCCCAGCGTTGCATGTCAAATTTTTAAGGACACTCAATAACTGACCAACTTTCTCGCATTCATCAAGAGCATCGATGAACAGAAACACCGAATCAAAGTTGGAATACTCCTGTTGCAGAATACTTACTAACTCCGAAACAGGCACCAGATCCGCGGTTGGATACTTGCTTCGCAATTTCTCGATTGCTTCTGGAAAGGTCGGCATGTCGGTGATGAGCTGATGTAACAAGGACAGAAGCATAGAGGTTGGCAGTAATTTTTGAGAGCTTCTGAAGTCGAAGTAGTAGTACCCAACGTATATATTGGATGACAGTAGAAATTCCGTTGACAGAGCGGCCTGTATGGCAGTCGACCTACCAACGGTTGGTTAGTCACGATATCGAAATGCATTTGAGTAGCGGCCTACATAAGTACTGTTTTCCCAGCTCCGGCTATAATCATGGCGGGTTAGTGAATTTCGCGGAGATTATAATTGTAGACAGAAATTAGAAATCACCTTCGCCTTGAACCAAGATATTTCTGGGTGAGTCTGCACCGCATCGCAGCCACTGCGCAAAAAGTCCTGTTTCCTGAAAGAACCAGGATCCTGTGTTTGAGACTGCCAGAGCGACGTTATCCCGATAGTTCGACTCACAGTCAACAGCATTTAGCCACTTCGTAAGCTCCTTCCTTTGATCGTCGCTCATTCTTTCCTTGATGTCGCATAGATGCGCATCTATCACCCCAATACTGTCCGATATGAGAGCGCAGTCAGACTCGCGTGCATCGCGTAGTTCGAGGAGCTGTGCTTTGATTTCTGCTGTTATCTCGAGTGTGCTGACAGCAATAGCTTTTTTGAAAATGTTCAAGTGTCTCTGAATCCGCATTGACGCATTTTGAAATTCTCCATCCTTCTTAAATGGCCAGACGAGAATCTGGCGGATCCTTCTAAGACCTTCAGCCGGCTGCAGCTTTGCCTGCAGTTCCAAAAGGTCATCGTGACAGAGTTTGATATCTGACTCTAGTTCTATCTTCAGGCTCGATGACACCGAGGGAAGTTGAAGTCGAGATATAATGCGTAGGAGAGAGCTTAGTTCTTCATGTAGTGCCGTAGCCTCGTTGGCCGCGTTGCTTACTCCTCTGATGTATTTAATACATGCAGACGAGACGGAGACGGAGAGGTCCACAATCGCTATCAAACTGGCGGCGACTTCCATTGTGGCGAATGCTCACCAAGGTATGGCAAAGCGTCTGAATGAATGTGTCATCGATGTAGTGTACAATGTGTGTGCTGGGAGAAGGCTTCGGTACTCTTTATAAGTCGGAAATCGAAGCTTCAGCCACCATTTTATAGACGCGGGGGTTTCTGCAAACCTCTTAACGTCCGACTCAAAACGGAGGACAGACGGTCTAGAGCAAGCCACTATTGTAGAGAAATACTCCCAGGCATTTAATTTTGCGGCAGATCCACGACTGAGACAATTCCATGAGCAATGGTCTTGTAGCATTATCTACCTAGTCCTTATCATTCACCCGGCATGACGCTGACTTGTTTGTCGAGGTTCAGCCCATATATGAAAGCATGAGAAACATTAGGCACAGAGCATGAGAGACGAAATTAGTGGGGCATCTTACACTTCTTAGACTATCATGCTTAGACTACTTATTTTTGTACCCTAAGAATCAGGGGGCTAACCTGGATGAAAGCTCTGGACTAAAAAGAGACGTACATATTACAGTAAAGAGGTAAAGAGCTGTCAATTACCCTGTCTGAGTATCTAAGCACCTTCAATTCGCATCTGCCAAAGTGACGTAGGTGGGATTATCTCACAGGGTAGGTTAATATGATGTATAGCATCCCCATAAGAGTTGATTATCTCTTGAATACGCTCATGCCCAATCTTCAGTTCCAAAGAATAAAGCGCGACAACAGCTTCCCATACTTCTAGAGCTTCCTGGCAAATGTCCATGACCCACGTCCCTCGCCATAGCACTCGGGCGTAGTACTTGTTTCTGGTGTAGATAAACGCACAAGAGTTTCCCCGACCTCCATTCCACAACACCATTGTCTCCAGCTTCGGCATCCGCAGTGCCAGTTTCGCTATAGAGAGCAGTAGACTGTTAATACTCCCCGCATAGCGCTTTCCACTTCCCTGGAAAGCCAGGGCTATTGATTGCATGTGATCCCATGTCCATTCTTCCCTGCAGGCTGCGACAAAATCCTCGGCGTTAATAAGGAACGAGATAGAAAGTTGTTCGAGTCTCAAGCTTGCCAGAGATAGATTTTGACTGCTACTAGATGCATTATCAAAGTCCTCGTAATACCGATTTCTTCTCATACTCTGGTAATGAAGATCTTGATAGACGGGTTGTGTAAAACGCTCAACGTGATGTCGAAACAAAATCAATATCTTGTGTTTTAGGTAAAGACAAACCCATTACCCCTAGATTTACTAGATAAATTAGCTAATTGAATTCCTACGAGGGGTTCTACGGACGGGATCGTATAGATTCGATATAAATATATGGAAATGTCTTTGTATATGCTGCTGACCATGGCTCGTAGATGATGTCCGTTAGGCAGACCAATTGCGACAAAATTTTGTCTAGACTGTCAGGTGCAAGAAAACGACGAAATTGGCGACGAACCATTAGGCTCGTGACTGCGGTGACAGAGACGGAGCTGCTGTGCTCCAGTATAATAAGCCCAAAGACCTGCTGCATAGCAAAGAAAGACGGGGGCTTCACCTGGACGCCATCTACCCACCTATGCTTGGTGTCGTACCAATTAGACTCTGCCAAAGTCAAGTCTTGGTTATCTGCATCGTGATCGTCGTCAAACCGAATGTTTTTAGCCCAGTGCTCCGTATCACTGCTAGACGTCGTGTTCAGTTCCAGCGTTAAAGGACCTTTTGTCTCCCACGTGCTTAGGACCGTCAGAACCTTGGCAATGGCCTTACTCACAACAGAGTCGATACCGTTGAGTCGACCAGGAAGAGAACGACCCTGGCAAAGGCCACATTTATACTTCGGTAGCTCAATGCAAAGATAGATGTGCCTCACAAGGTGTCTCTGTCGAACAACTTGCCCGAATCCGTCCAAGCAGGATGATGATTGGAGTTTTAGCTTGGCCATGTTCTTTGCTCCAATGACGCCTTGCCATTCTTTAGAAACGGAAGCTAAAGCAGCCCAACCTGGATTTTGGAGGTCGACTATCGTGTTTAGATTCATGTGGCGGATCTCTGCAGGGAGAGACGACCACCTAAGGAACCCTGAACTTCGAAGTCTCATGTTGCACTGCCGATTCGTTGGTGGCATTATGAAGAATAATTGAAGATGGTGTGTGAGTTATATGAGGGCTGTGATTGAATCTTATCTGCGAGTGAATAAATCAAGGTTTCGCGAATAGAACACAGTACATTCAAATTCCATAAATCTGAACACAAACCTTGCGAATATTGGATCTCTTCATATCCAAACACAACAGGTCCCTTTAATTTTGTGAAGGCTAGCGGGTATTTACACAGAGGCTATCAGGGTTGGCCTTGCCACATTATAGTCAAATAAAAAACAATCCTCCTATATAGAGGGTTTTAGAAAAGACTTGGAAATTTTTTTATTCAGCATGCCCACGGACTTTATCCCAATGACTTGCATTTTGATACAAACCAGATGTTGAACAGATACGAACTGTCTCATTGGTTCGGTGGTTGGATGGCTAAACTGCGGTGGAAGATGCCGCCTTAGCTACCTCACCCTCAGTCTCAGAACAGTTGGCTGCTCGAGGTACAAGAGACAAAATTAGCAGGTCACTTTATGCTATTTAGACCATGATTTCATGTCATTTATTTTTGTACCCTGAAGCTTAGAGGCTATTTTCTGCTACCTACTAGCTTCCTAACTCACCCTTGCTCGACCCTTGATCTACAGTCAATAAAACCCTACTGGGAAGCCTACAGGTAGACGACATCTGTGCCACGCAATTGTCTCGAAATGGTGCACATCAACGTTTCACGCGGCGCGGATCGTAATGTGATGGACATGTCAAATCAGACAGTGCCTCTATTCGTGAAAATAGGGGATCAACCAATACTGGACAAGTCTGGCGCGCGCCAAAACATGCTCCTTACGCACCCGACACGAGCCATTGAAGGAAGTCTGGGGAACGGAACGAGACCAATTTAGCGTCAAGTCGCTCAGAGCCAAGCTTTTCAACCGGAGAGTGGGCGATTGTCAGACCGAAACGTGGGAATGAGATCGACAGGACCAGGTTGAAAAAGCTTTTTTTTTTTCTCTTACACAGTATCCGGGTCAAACAGCCGATACAATACAAATAATACTGCTACTGAGGTCACATTGGACTCATCTTACGTACAGTTAGTTGGTTAATGTAGGTACTTATGACTTGCGTGCTTTGCAACCCCGCCTTACGATTAAGACCATTACGCAAGCTCGTTGGTGGAGAGTTTTATCGGAACTGGAGGAATGGTCTGGATCCCGGGTAGTAGTGAGTGTGTGGAGCGGAGGTTGAGTCGATTTTGAGGGGGACCCGGGGCAAAAAAAGAGTGAATTAATTTTTTAAAATTTTGGGTTGGACCTTTTTAGGCGGCACGCATTAATTGTTAAGCTATTCCCAACATGGCTGGAGGCTGGAATAGGAAGGTTGGTTCTTGGAAGCAATCAGATAACGATTAAATTCTTCTGCCGGGGTTGATCATTTGCCTGTCTTGCGGCTCTATTCCATAGAAAGCGGGGTTGGTTCATCACCCCAAGCATAACATGATGGAAGAAAAGTAAGAGGTTGGAGACCAATGGGTTGGACGGGCCGAAAATGCTGTTTGACTAGAGATCAAGAATCAACAGAGGATAAAAAAGAACAGAGTTAAAAATTGTTGGTGGTGCCGTGCAATCTCTAAATGGAAAGGTTAGTTTGATGGAGAATAAAAATGGTATGCTTAAAGAAGATCCAGAGTTTTCGTCGGTCAACTCTAGTGGATGGTATGTCGGGGTAGATACGGAGTAGATAAATATTCACTCATCAAGATGGCTGCTGGCCTGATTAACACCTCATATTATTACATTAGTATGACGATGATAGATTGTACAGTGGCGGTCTATGATATATGTCCTTGTCCATATCCAAACAGTCAGTCACCGTTGTACGGTTCCATCTGGTCTATCTTTCAGTGGAGATGACCAACTTGGCTTTCCAGCCGGAGACAGTTCCCGTTGTTAGTGTAGCGGTATCGCAGGTCATTGGGCGCCGTTGTCTAGGTCCGTCTCAGGGGGCATTGGAACTTGGAATCACGGGCCACCAAGACGACTGTTAGGTGTTGGGTACTCTGTACGTGGTTACAGAATTGATCCGTACTCGTATCAGGATCCATCTCACCTCATTCAGAGACTCGTTACGAGTAGATCGTGGGTCTCGCTAACAATTTCTGTCTCTATTTTTACAAACTCTGACTGCGCAGTACGTCAACGCGATACATCCTCTGTTTGATGTCTAGACGACTTCTAAAAATCCTCTGGACACTGGGAAATCTTTAACCGCGCCACGTTCGGCAGCGCCTAGCTTGTTGACCAGTCCAGTCCAGCCTGTGGTGAACTGAACGCAAAGTTGGGGTCGGTAACCACTCGTCTTTTTGCCGCTTGAATCTCCTCATGCCATTCTAGGCTTTCCCATGGGACGCCAAGTTCCCGTCCCCAAGGTACCCATGACATGGCATATTGGCAACAGCAGCACGATACGATAGGTTCAACGTATCGCCTCGCCAAACGTAACCATCAAGATTCCAGAGAGGCTCAATAATACGTCACAGAGATTGTTGTGTTTCAATAATTCGCCCATTTTGCTCGGGCTTTGTTTCATGAAAATGAGATCTAATTCCTGCGACTTCTCCAGGTCGCGACTTCAACAGTGTTTGGCTACTACTGCAAGACGATAAGATAAGCTGGAGCTACTACTCGTGCAGGGCCGAACGCCCTGTATTTTGGTGACTTTCAGGGGGCCAGCCTCCCCAACCTCACTCCACACGGGCTTGGAGCCACTACGGTCACACCCCGGACACGCTCATCCAATGTCGCATCACAACCTTTTGCACCAGGAATCAGACTTCAAGGCCGGGTCGTGTCCTTTCCATCTTTGCTCATACGCCCCAACTGTTCGCCACCCTACCTAGCCTCCATCTTCCATCCCTCTTCTATACCCCTTGCTCTGTCTTGGTTATCATTCATTACCCCGTCTCTCGCTCTACAACTCAACTCAACTTTCTTTCTTTTGCACCTGTTCTCTGTTCCCTCGTTTGATCCATCTTACTTTGCTTCCTAGTGACGGCGCAAGACGACCCCGCGAATCAATCAATCGGACTGGCTCCGATTTAACAATCGATAACGAGAACACCAAAAATGCATTTCACAAAGAAGATCGACCGAGCCTTCCAATGGGCCGGCGAAAAGATGGGCGCTGAAGCCCGAACTGCTCATTCTGATGAGTTCAAGAATCTCGAGACCGAGATGGCTTTGCGACAAGATGGTACGTAACATCAACACCGACCCCAGCAGTCACCATGATGGCTCTAACATTATTAGGCATGGAAAAGATGCAAAAGTCAATGAGCGGCTACGTCAAATGGCTGTCTCGTCGCAATGAACTGATGGAAGACAAGGAGCGCGGCACCCCAATGTCGTCTCTTGGTCGAACTATGGCCACTCATGGTGAGGACTTTGAGCAGGATTCCGAGTTCGGAAACTGCCTCTTATCTTTGGGTCGTGCCAACGAGCGTATTGCTGGTATCCAGGACTCTTATGTTGACTGCGCCAATGCGACCTGGCTGGACAACCTCGAGAGGAGTTTGGCAATGATGCGAGAGTACCAGGTATGTCAATCACTTCAAATACACTTTCCCAACTAACAAGAGTAGAACGCTCGCAAGAAGCTCGAGAACCGACGCCTCGCCTACGATGCTAGCACAAATAAGCTGCAAAAGGCCCGCCGTGACGATTTCCGTGTCGAAGAAGAGGTTCGCATGAACAAAGCCAAGTTTGAGGAGACGAGCGAGGATGTTCTTCGTCGCATGCAAGACATCAAGGAATCAGAGGTCGACAACATCACCTCCCTGACCCAATTCCTTGAAGCTGAGCTCGACTACCATGAGCGCTGTGCTGAGGAGCTGCGACGTGTGCGCCAGAGCTGGGCTGGCGGTGCATCATCACCCACCAGTGCTCCCAAGATTGGCCGCAGTCGATCCAACACCGCTCGTTCTTGGCAAGAGCCTCGTCACCAAGCCGTCTACGAAGAACCCGAGGCTGAACAAGAATCTGCCCGCATCCCTCATCGTTCTCCCGGCAGCCGTCTCGCACCTCCTCCTCCTCAACCTGCTCGACCCCCGATTGGACGCGCCTCAACCTTTGAAGGCCGCTCCTCTACAGCTACACCACTTGCCAATCTCAGAGTTCCCGGTGCGCCCCTGACACGCGTCGCTACGGACGGCGGTTCATATGGACGACACGACGATGTATTCTCTGATGATGTCTCAACCAGCAGAAGCGGCAGTCCCGACTGGGAACACCGCGCTGCCAGCCCTGCAACTAGCTATGGAAGTTTGAGTCGAAGCACAAGTGGATTGGCTCTTGGAAAGAAGCCACCACCACCTCCTCCCAACAGGGCCAAGAAGCCCCCGCCTCCTCCTCCTACGAGAAGGGAGAACCTGGGATACTGATGATGTATTATGAGACAAATTGGGTAAATTGGGTACATGGGTAACTGGCGTTAGGGAATAATCTGCTTGACAATAGAGTCATTGTACGCGAAATGCGTCTAATTGAACATGTGATCCTCATTGACGTGATTGTGAAAGCCGTTTGGTGGTTGTACGTGATTCTCAAACAATGTCCTCAGACGTACAAACTGCTCAGCAACTGGATCCTTTTTCTCCTTTTTTTCCCCACCACAATAACCTACTTGAATATCGAGCATTCGACCAAAACACCAAGTCTCCACTTCAAGTTGTCAGTTGAATTGTGAATGTCATGATGCTAAGTTATTGTCGCGTGAGATAAGATAAGGTCACGTGAACTCCTTAAACAAAGAGGCTTCCATGATCACGAACACCATTTTGTTGCATCATCATCAACATGGCGACTGAAGACGAGCGCTACCGGCAGTCGAGCCAGTTTCGGCTCTGGTCATTTACAACGGCCAACCTACAAGAGCTACGCGCAAAGACAAACTCGCTCGCTCGAGAACAGATCGCTCCTCGACTCGCGACAGATCCTCCTCCCGACTTCCTCACCCCCGATGAAGAAATCCGTCTTGTTAAGTTCTTCACCGTAGAGCTTATTCGCGCGGCTCAGTTCTGCGAACTTCCTACCGAGATTCGAGCAACGGCCGCCATTTTCCTGCGACGGTTCTACGTGACCAACTCAGTCATGACATACCCAGCGACCGACCTTCTCAAGACATCACTATTTTTCGGCTGCAAGGCCGAAGGTTTCTTCTACAAACTAAACGCTTTTTCGGAAAAGTTTCCCAACACAACAGGCGAACAGATTCTTGCCGGAGAGTTCCTTCTCTGCCAGGGAATTCGCTTTGCATTCGATGTGCGACATCCTTTCAGAGCGCTTGAGGGTGCCATTCTAGAACTCAGGCGAAGGCTACCTGATGAAGAAACGCGAATCAATAAGGCACACGCTCAAGCGCGCGAAATTCTCAAATTCAGTCCTTTAGTGACAGATGCGTACTTTCACTATGCGCCAAGTCAAATCATGATGGCAGCGCTTTCCATGGTTGATCACGGATTGCTCGACATTCTGATCACTTCTCCGGGTCAGGGCGGGAATGCCAGCCAGGAAGCAGTCTTTGCAAACATGCGGGATAAGATCCTTGGAGCTGTCGACAGCTGTCGCAAGATGCTTGAGGAGGAACCACCAGAGAGGATGACGGATTACTGGGGAACGGTATGTAACGCTTTATACTCAAAGATGCGGGATGTTGAACTAACAATGATAGCCCGAAATCATCAAGGCAATGAAACCCCTTCGGAAGAAACTCCAGAAATGTCGCGATCCGGATCGAGCGAATCTCGTCAATCTTCAACGAGCGAGGCGAGAGCAGGTCATGAACAAAGAAAAGAAGGCAGAGGCAAGCGAGGATGGAACGGTATTTGGGGAGGATTCAAGAGAAACAAAAAGGGTGAAACTTGAGAATGCAGATCCTTTTGGCCCTCCTCTCTGAGTTGTCGGGTCAATTAGATGATACCTTCATCATGTTCTACGAGCAAACCAATCGGCACCTGCCAACACGTTTCCTAGGATGATTCCGCAGAGTCTGGACTTGGATCGGCCAGTTTTGGCCGATGCATGAGCTGGCAACCAGATTCTTGCATCCCTTGCTCCCTTGGCAATTTACCTTGGCCAACATGGTGAGTCCAAGGGAGCTTTCTGCGTATCCTATGAGAGAGCAGGAATGCGACGCTAGTATTGCCGAGCTCTTGGCAGCGTCTTTAATTCTTTCAATAGCTGAGTAGCGGACGCACCTTTTGCAAACAGCTGTTGGGCTGTGCTACAAGCTAAGCTGTTGCGATACCTTAAATCATGTCTATGACGATATCAATATACCCGATCGGCGTGTGGGGAGTGGGGACCCGGCCGAAGGAGCTCAAAACTGGGGGCCTAGGCCGAATTGATTCAACCTCCAGCCTATCGCGAATTCCGGATATTGCTGGCAATGAAAGAAGCTATCGTTTTGTGTAGGTTGTTCGTTACGCGGTCGTTGCGCCTCCATGCGACCAGCGTCTTCAGACCAGTGGACAAACAGGCTTTTGATCAGGTCGATACGAGCAGGGTTAGTTACAAACTTACAATAACAATATGGAATCGCCCTTTGTCCAATTGAATTCGTCCTTCGGCTTTGCCATTGGTGCTTCGCAACTCCCGAGCACAACGCTGCTTCGTCTCGCCCGGCTTTCGGCACGCGGCAAAACACGACAGCTCTCAATCGAAACCCGACCCTTGCTTGGCTTTAACATTGAACCGTTGCCTCAGACAGTCAAGAGCCTTGGCGCGTTGGCTAAGTTGAGTTGCGCTCTTGCAACCCTGTCTAGCCAGTGAAGATGTGGGAACGACCTTGGTCTATGTCATTGACTCTGTTTTATTCTGCATCGAGCATGGTCTCGACAAGGCTCGTGCTGATGAAGCATTCGCAATTGGACAGGAGTCTGCCGCAAGAGCTAAGACATGTCGACTGCGAGCTTCCATCGAAATGGTTCATAAGCTCTATGTTTCCCCCCAACTTTTGGTCAATTGTTTATTCAGGATAACTCTATTTAAGCAAACACATCCAATATGAAGCTGCAGACTATCACCACTCTTGCCCTTTCGGGTCTTGCTGCTGCTCAGAGCCGTCCCAACCTTACTGCGGCTATTGAATCTGAGAACTCTACTCTCTCCTCGCTTGGTGGTATGTAACCAACTAATCCAGCTATGATGTACTTGGTATGCTGACCCTCGCAGCTCTTGTCGCCGCTCAGCCAAGCCTTCTTCGAGACCTTGGCCGTCTTCGAAATGTTACTATCTTGGCCCCAAGCAACGATGCCCTCGAGGAGCTCCTCAAGGATACCACCGTCGCTCGCATGGTCGATGACAACCCCAGCTTTGTCGCCAACCTTCTGTCGTACCATATCCTAAACGGCACCTACTATGCCAGCAACATCACCGACATGGACGCACCTGCCTTCGTTCCTACCCACCTGACTAACTCGACATATGCCAATGTCACTGGCGGACAGCGCGTCGAGGTCATGGCCATGAACGATACTGTCAGCTTCTACAGTGGATTCCGTGCTCAGTCCAATGTCACCAAGGCTGTAAGTCACAACCCATTTATAGCATTGACTTTGCTGACTCTTTAGGACCTCAACTTCACTGGAGGTGTCATTCATATCATCAACCGTGTTCTCAGCATCCCCCAGAACATCTCTGATACTGCCGTCGCTGCCAACCTTTCCGCCGCTGCTGGCGCCCTCACAGAAGCCAATGTTGTGACCAACCTCAGCAACGAGAGAAACGTTACTGTCTTTGTTCCCAACAACAGCGCCTTTGCCAAGGTCGGTTCTGTCCTCGCCAATGCCAGCGAGAGTGATGTTGCCGACATCCTTGCGTACCACGTCGTCAACGACACTCTTGGCTACAGCAGCGACCTCAAAAACGGTACCCTCACTGCTTCCGATGGCACCAAACTCAACATTGCCATCTACAACGGCACTGTCTTTGTCAACGAGGCCAAGGTCATCGTCCCAGATGTCCTCATCGCCAACGGTGTTGTCCACGTTATCGATGCGTAAGTCTACTTCAGCCACTCTCAAGTTCCAAGCTAACATCTTCAGTGTTCTCAATCCCGAAAAGTCTTCTGCTACCGCCAACCCTACTGCTAGCACGCAAGAGGCTGCCTTCTCTGGCGCCAGCTCTGTCAGCGACGTTCCCTTCACCTCTGGTATTCCCGCGGGTACCGCTCAAGCCACTGGTCTGACTCCCTCCACCTCAACCGAAGGTGCCGCTCAGGCTACCGCTGCCATCGCTCTCGGTGCGCTGTTTGGTGGTGCTGCTCTCATGATGAATGCTTAAGCTGTGGTTAATTGTAATTATGTTAATTAGCTAGGGATTAATGGTCGTTCATAGTAATGGTGGATTGAATAAATGAACATGGTTTGAATCCAATTGTATCACTTGTCGTGAATTAAGTTTGATGTTTCCCGATCAACAGCCTCGCCGGTACATGCCACGCGACGTCGCCATCACCGTTGAGACAAGATTTATACCTCTATAGCCGGTCCTTCGTTACCATATACAGGATCTTTCCGAAACCATTCTAAATCCTTAATGACATTAACCTTCTTCTCCTCTCCGTTCTTCCCATAACACATGTCCCAATCGTATCCTTCCGGGTAACTCCCCACCATTTCAAACCCACCATCCAAATCCTCCAACAGCCGATGTCCAACGCCCGCAGGCACAATGACAACGTCTCCCTGTTCCACCACAGGCTCAACGCGCCCATTGTTCTCCTCGCCGCCGAAGCACAACCGCGCCCTGCCGTAGCTGATGCAGAGGACCTCGTGGGATGTGCTGTGGAAGTGCGTCTGGCTATACATTGTGTAGCGCCATTGAGGTTTCACTACACCAATTGACGTGAGGTGTGCTTCGATCTTTAACGCTGAGACGGGGCGTTGAAACGCGCCATGGTAATGAAGCAAAGGTTTTTGCTGGATGCTGCAGTTGGGAATGAGATTATGTGCTGGTATGAGATGTTTCGAGACGCGGAGAGATGAGAGAGGCGTAAGAGACATTGTCATGGGTGATGTTTGATGTTGTGATTGTAGTGGAGGTTAAAGTGAGACGTTTGGAATCATTCACTTTGTTAAGATATTTCACCATCACGTTATTTGACGTCACAGTAGTCTACAACCACCAGCCCAAATAACAATTTCCATATCAACTACAACTACAAGACACAGAATAATGTTCAATTGCATTTTGATACAACCAGAATGAAGCCATGAGTATTTCGTCGACTACATGCCCATTTTCCCAACACCTACCCGGCAGCTAGCGTCCGGTCACCCCGCAAATTGGCATCTACAGAGTTCAGCTAGCTGCACGCCAGGGAAGCGGAGACGGCGAGATCGAGAAATTAAGGTCTTGTCCAGGAGACGATCGACGTTCTTCATGATCGCCAAGCTACGATGTTCCAGTGATCGCCGGGTGTGCCTCACCATTGCGCAAGCAGCGGGGACGCATTCAGCGCTCACCAAAGCATCAACGAGGCCACACTCCCACACAGAGGTTTTCCCTGCCCGGAAACTCCTCCAGGTTAAAGCCAAAAAACATGATGAGTCGATAGAATGCCGTAAAAGGTATTGATAATTTCGATTCGACGCGAAAAAAAATTAAAAAAAATTGCGTAATCTGGGAATCGAACCCAGGGCTCCCCGATTTAAGTCACGTGACTGGCAACGGAGAATTTTACCACTAAACCAATTACGCTGTGATCTCGTATAATCAGTACGCTACAAATCAACTACATACGCCAAGCCTGCATACCACGACATCTCTAAAGGGCTGTCAACCTTTACCTGACCTGGCCCTCCGTAAATGTCATTATAGAAAAATCTAGGTCGATTGATTGGGATAGAAGCCGTCCTAAGGTAACTAATTTTGAGCTCTGTGGTGCTGCTGCTACATTGTTGAGATCAAGGCGCTGTATCTCCCTACAATCGCCTAAGTAGCATAAACTTAGCTCTCTTATGATGAGAAATAGTTTAGTTACTTTATGATCTCTTAGACCGGAAGATATAACAAGTGGGTGGGCCTTTGTTGTACGAGAGAGAATATGTCAAGCTTCCTACTACCTACCCAATTGATGGATGGAAATTTGACCATGTCGAATTAGGCCAGTATGTCTCTGGTCTTGATAAACTGTCGACTCTTTCTTCAAGGTTATATATATTACCGAGATACGCTTAGAATTATAAGACATATCGAGCGCTAACAGCCATGATTCTGGTTGCACTTATCCTTGGAACCACAACCATTGACATTCGGAGACAACTAACCACTATGAACGATGACACGAAACCTGTCTGAAGGCAAGTCATGCCCTTCAACTTTGATTGAAATCAAATACAGTAATGAATACCTCTAGATATATTTGATGTCAGGATGTTGGCCGTGCTGAATTTGTGAGTAAGTTCTAAAATCCAGGCCGTGTCAGCATTGCCATATCTCGACAATAGCTAGTTTGGAAAGACCTCTCATATTTGGGTCTCGATTACCGCGACGCTGTAGAGAATTCCATTGTTACCCTCTGGAAGCTCTGGAAACGGCGGGCGTCGAACATATCACATAGTCAAAGGGGAGTTGGGCGTCAGGAATGTGTTTGTTCAGATGAGACATTCAGAAGACCTTAATCATGGGGGAACAATGAATATGAACACAATCTTAACCTGAGCCATTTCAAGGAACACTTAGGTAACGCAGAAAAATAATCTGTGATGTGGACTACGTAACCATGATATTGTCACTAGACAATCAGAGTTTATGTAGGTCAACGGAAACAGTCATTGGGTATCAGTGAGGCCAAGTGTTCCTAGTCCAAGTATTCCCAGTCCAAGAGTTTAATTCAATTTCAATATATAGAATCCTATGCGACTACTTAAACTGAGCCTTTTCCCAACCACTTCGTCTGGCGAGGTTAACCTTGATGTCACCCGCTGGCTTAAGCGAAGTCAAAGGAAGCTTAGATCTATCCATCTCTGGCAAATTGAAAGTCTCTGTGGTAGGAGTCATGTCAAATCCCAACAGAATACTCCCCGCAAAAGTAAGAACCTCATACGATGCAAAGTGACGACCGGGACAGAGTGTGTTGCCACCACCAAAAGGCCTGAAAGCAGCAGCTCGTCGAGCCTTTTGTTCCTTGGTGAGAACCTTTGACTTGAGGAACCTTGTGTGGTCAAAGACCTCTGCATCTGCACCCCAGGTCGTGGGATCAGCGTGGATGAAGGCTGTGGGCATCTGCACTTGCGCGCCCTTCTTGAGGAGCCAACGGTCTTGGATGAGAGTATCCTCGTTGGTGTAGCGCACCGTTGCGATACCACTCGTCATACGAAGGATTTCTTCATATGTTGACATGAGGATGGGGCACTTTTCCCTGATGACAGTGTAGTTGAGACTAATTTCCGATCGTGATGAGGGGTCTTCCAGGGTTGCTTCGAGCTCTGATCGAATCTCCTTCAGGAGGTCAGGTCTGGAGAAGATTTGGATAAGGAGCCAGAAGGTTGTGGGGATTGTGTTTCCAACAATGGCCAGGATACTGCCGACCAGAGCGCGAGCATTGTTCTCATTACTCAGACCTCGACGGATGCCGAGGTTAGACAGCTCTTTGATGAATGAGCATGCAGTATCTAGTCCATCGTTGTCGAGGTATTGGAAGAATGCATTGACAAGCTCATTGCGAGTTTTCTGTGCAGTTGAGTACTTCTTGGGACTCAGGAACCAAGGAATACCCAAAAGAAGGACTTTGATGTTTGCTTCCCATAGCCTGTTCACGTTAGTCGAGACCTTGTAATGTTGTGAATTACTTACCAGAATGTGGAAATCAGGGATGGGTTCAGGGTGAAAGGGTCTTTGTCACCAAAACAGGCAGAGTTATTGGTTCTCATGTACAGATCTTGGACCCAGGCGTACAGATCAATGGTCTGACTTGAAGGCATGCCATTGACAATGGTCAATAGCTTGCCACGAATAACAGTGCACAGCTCGTCCAGAGATTCCGTACCAGGTAGCAATGAAGCTTTCTGCACCCGGTGAATCTCGCCATACATGCCCTTCTCTGTGTGGGCATCACGGAAGATCAACTCAATACCTGCCTCGTCGAAGCCCATCATTCGACGGAAAGCAGGGATCATGGCAGGACTGAATGACAGAGATGTTGTATTGCGTTGAACCGCCTGCACGAGTTCTGGAGATGTTACAATGTAGTTCTTTTGACCTGACATGTCAATCGTAAAGATTGGATGTGGTTGTTGGGCGCTGATCTTATTAGCAGCTGTTAACGATTTCTGATATTAGAGATACTTACCTGACAACATCGAAATACCGCAGACCATGCTTCAAGAGTCCATAGATGTGACTGAAGTACGGAACTCTTTCCTTGACATAGGGTGGTTCCCTTTGGTCTGGTCCTTTACGAGTAGCTAAAGCAACGACGGCCACTATCACGCAGCAAACCAGCCCAAGAGTGATGTTATTTACACCCATCATGATGGTTGTTTTGACAGGATGTACCCCAAAAATCTGAAAAGGTATGCAGTCTTGGTTTCAACGTGGTGTTGTGGGTGCTATCGAGGGGATTGCTGTGAGGCCCAATGTCACGTAGAGAAAAGACTAGAGAGGAAGACTGGACTCAACATGAGCTATGGCCGATTTACCCAGTCGGAGATCTAATTTTGGACTCGACTAATCAAGGGTCAAGAAAAGCAAAGAGTAAGCGCTGTCATGTCATGAAGGAGCCGTTTCGAGTCCCATTGCGTAGGTGGAGTTGCCAGGGCCACGATGGATGCACCAAGATGGATTCACGCACCCTTGTTCATGCGCCTCACAGACTCACACACCCAAGCTTTGGGTAGTTAGTGACAGAAATGCCATCGGTAGATGTTTGTTCTTTCTACTTTAGCCCTAAGCGAAAAGGACGGATTGGAGCTCGACAGCTACGCCTCGTCGGTGCACTGCGGAAGACGTCTCCCGCCGAGCCTAAATGCTGGGTGGTCAGCATGGATCAAGATAATGAAGTTGTATTTATTTGCGTCAAGGGGAGTGAGAATAGACAAAGGGTAGGGATCAGTCGGTTATCTAAGCGTCTAGTTTAGCGTCGGTTAGTTAGTTACAAGGGTTGTGAGAGTTGCATTAAAGGATCTCGCTCTAACTCCACACCAAAATCTTTCTAAGCCCTCACGATCCCGCTACGTATTGCCAATGCTAATGCGGATACATGGATGGGCAACTGAGGATGGGTTTCAATGCATTTGAATTTGCTTCTGCTTATCTCAGAAAATAGACTCGTCTCGGCAGCTCGGTCAGGCTCGAAACGGTAGTCGAGACCTTTTGATCCGCCTCGGCCTGCAAGGTCCACATTGTTTATCATGGCAACGTTTCTACAGGACGGACAGCGTTTCATCAGCCACGGCGAACAGACTGTGACAACTTTTCGTTGTTCCTCTATGTCTCTGTTACAGACATCTCTTCAAACTGTCACCTTCTAAACAAAGTTCTGTGTAACTGCTACTCTACCATCCAACGTCAGCGAAAACAATGGCTTGCCGTCTGTATCTTCACCCGCTGGTCATATCGACAGCCCAGCAGTTCTTCTTTATCTACATCGCAGGCTTCACATCCAGCAAGTCGGTTCTGCGTCCAATTGGCTTTATACTCTTTCTCATTTCCACTTTCGTGGCACTTTCCTCTTTTGAAGACTTTATCGAACCACCAGGATGGGTCTCGAGAGCCATCATATCTGCCTTTCCTCAGATCTCACTGACTTACTTTGAGCGCATGATCGTGCGCAAGATTGCGTACGCCGATGATCGAGAGAAGAAGGATCAGCCTGCTCAATCAAGACTCGTAGAGTTCCGCTCGCGATATGTCTTTGGACAAGAGGTTGCGTCCTCAATGAGAGGTCTGGGCACGGCGTGGGAGATCAGGAACATCCACAACTTTGACTCTCGTGATCCTTCCTATGTCCCATCTGCGACACCATTTGTGTGCATCAATCTGCTTAAGGTGCTGCTTTGCTTCTTTGTTCACAAGTTGTGCATCACGACGCAGCTGAGTCTGAACAAGGAATACATGGCGCCCGTTTATGTACCCGTGTTTCGTCGTCTCGGTGATGTTACTATGGACGAGTTGCAAGTTCGTTACATTGCGACTGTTACAACTGTCGTGTCAATCTTTTGCTTCATCCAGGGCGGTTATTCGCTGGCCTCAGCCGCTTCGGTCATTATGAACCCCAAAGCTGTCAAAGATTGGCGACCAATTTTCGGCGAATTATCCGAATCGTACTGTCTTCGACGTTTCTGGTCGTAAGTTTCGAGGCTCTCTCTCCCCGACGTTACACAACTGACAGATGTAGAACCTTTTGGCACCAGGGCCTTCAGAACAACCTTCGAGGTACAGCGACATGGATTGTCAAGAACGTGTTTCGTCTCAATTCTTACTGTCTAACCTCGAAATATCTCAAGATTCTCCTTGCGTTTGCGCTGTCAGGTCTCGTCCATGTCCCCAGTGACATGGGAAGCGCAGTACCAGCAGCCAAATCCGGGGCCATTCAGTTCTTTTCGACGCAACTGATTGGGCTCATGCTGGAAGATACATTCGGAGATATGTTTCTTCCTCTCTGGAAGTACAAGGCTACTAGAATTCTGGCAAAATTGGCTGGATACTTTTGGGTTATTAGTTTTCTTGCTTGGTCGGGCCCTGTGAGATGGTTCCCTGTAATTCTTCAGCAGACGCCTGAAACCGAGCTCTTTAGACTGAGTGCTTTTAAGCCTATGGCCAAGGTTATGACCTGCTTCTAGATTATAGATGAGATTTGATCATTGAAATAGAATATCTTCAATTTGATTATTAAGTCTCTCAAATTTAACCGCTTCGCTTTTAAAACGGGTAAACTAAATGAATATTCATGTGAAAGCCCAGGAGAGATAAGGCGAGCAGGTTGATTACAGGGCTGTAGCGGTGCTGAAGCCAATAAGTTACTGCTGCACAGTGGAAATTGAGCTCTAAAATTAGCGACGCCCACTGTAACTTGGCAGGTCAAAGTACTTAAAAATCGCACCGTCCATCCAAATGTACACTCACCCTCTCACTACATATACATATTCACAACACACAGATCACCATCATGATCACACCTATCCAGGCCATCGGAGTTCTCTTGCTGGGTTACAGTGGCCTCTGTACTGTACAGCTGCTATGGAACTACAGAAAGGCCAAGGCTATCGGCCTTCCAGTACTCATCACACCCATTGATCCTGTACGTCAAGCGATAGTCACCTTGTGATACGAATACTGATGAACAATAGTCAAACGTCCCTTACCTACTCTGTTCCAGCTGGCTGGAACCTCTGCTCCGCAAGATCCTGCCCTTTGGATTGGGAAACTTTGTTGAGTACAACAGTCGTGACTGGAATTACAGCCAGATTCATGGTCTCCAAGAGCGCATTGGTGATACCTTTATCATTGTCAGTCCTAAGCAGATCCGTGTCTTTACTGGCAACGCCAAAGCATCTGATGATCTCTGCCGCCGACGCAAGGACTTTGTCAAGGCTGTAGCTCTTTACAAGCCGCTTGAGACCTTTGGTCGCAATGTTGTAACTACTGAGGGTGATGACTGGGTGCGACACCGAAGAATCACCACCCCTCCGTTCAATGAGAGGAACAGCGAGCTCGTATGGGATGAGTCAAAGCGACAAGCCACCGACATGCTCAACATGTGGGCGTCGAACCCCAAGGGCGTTGTCAACCCCCAGAGCGACACCATGGTGCTTGCTCTTCACGTCCTCACAGCCGCTGGCTTTGGCAGAAGCTACAAATTTGGAAGCGGACTCGAGAGCGAACTGGAGAACCACAGTCTCAGCTATCGCGACGCCCTCAGTCTGATCCTCGGAAATCTCTTTACTGCCGTCTTTACAGCCACCCTTAATCTCCCCACCTGGATGCTGCCCTCCAAGTTCAAGAAGGTCCAGGACGCTGTCATCAACTTCCGTCAATACATGGCTGAGATGGTCGCCGAGGAGCGTGAGGCCATGAATGCCGGCGCAGAGGAGCAGGACAATCTCATGAGTATCCTTGTGCGCGCTTCAGAGAATGAGAATAAGCAGGGCAAGGGTGCCCGCCACTTGACTGATACTGAGATTTATGGCAACCTGTTTAGCTACAATCTTGCCGGACACGAAACCACATCCAACACCCTGGCCTACGCAACTGTCCTCCTCGCAGCAAACCCAGAATGGCAGAAATGGGCCGCCGAAGAGGTTGACCAAGTTACAGCAGGGGTTGATCTCAAGGACCTTGACTACGAAACTTATTACCCTCAATTGAAGCGCGTACTCGCGATCATGGTATGCGAACTCTCCCCCATCAATTGACAATCTACTAACACGCCCAGCACGAGACACTACGATTATTTGGAGCAGCAAGGGCTGTCCCTAAGACTACCATCGTGGACCAGGTTCTCAAGGTTGACGGTACTTCTTACACGATACCCAAGAACACCTTTATTGGCGTTAACCTTGCAGGACTGCACACATCATCCGCATCGTGGGGCGACAATGCGCTGGAATGGCTCCCCAGCCGCTGGATTACACGGGATGAGACGGAAGGCGAAAAGATGACTACTATGCCCACAGGGGCCTTCCTCCCTTGGGCCGCCGGTCCGCGTGTGTGTCCAGGCAAAAAATTCTCGCAAGTGGAATTCGTGGCCGTGCTCGCATGTCTTCTCAAGGAGTACACCGTGGAGCCCGACGCAGACGGTGAAGGAGACCTCAAGACTGCGGCGTCAATGGCGCTCATGGAAGAGGCGAAGCAGTCGAGTTTCAATTTTCTGCTCAAGGTGAAGCACCCTGAGAAGATCAAGCTGCGCTGCGTGCGGAGGGGCGAGAACAAGGCTTAGTTTAGTTAGGCAGGCAGGGGTGTGTGCCCAAGGAAGGATTGTTGGTTGGTAGGGCTAAGCTAGGGGTAGACTAGGCTTCGGATACTGTACCACTCTGCAGGGAGAGGAGGCTCCATTATGGAGCGTTTCTATTATACTACATGCATACAACAATGTTTTGTCGTGTCACGAAACGGATCCGCTCAATCAATTTCTGACTCTGTTGGCTGTCTCTGACCGTTCTATACCGCACAGACAGGGTCCTGTCATCATCAGCCTCCATTCTCATAACTGGGTCATATCATGATCTACGCTTAAGACTGGTAGACTTGCTAAGATTTGACCCGCCCCAATGGCTACGTGTCCGGCCCCATGCGAATCTAATCCTTTCTCGAAGGTCTCCGTGGTCCACTATCAAGAATTTGTTTTTTTACCATGACGGCTAATCAGCATTGCTGTACTGTAATCTAAACGCTTGGAACAAGGTTTCGTTTTTCCTTCCTTTCGCAGCATAGCCCTGCTAGTGATACTTGTAACGTTTGTTATTGGAGGACCTTGAAAATCGCTTATCCCTGCGTAGTATTTCCTCTCCCCTGTCCTTTTTCCATCCTTGTCGTGACAGAATGCAGTCAGCAAACCTGCGGGCCGTCTTAACACCCTTTGGGAACTTCGGCTCTTGAAGGGCTCACCACATGTATTGGTGTTTTTTCCCCCCCTCCAGGACACATGCATCGGTAAACTTACGATAGAGGTTGATATGAGTAAGACGTGACATAAAATTGCCCGTCAAAAGAGGAGGAGGGGGCGTCGATGATCGAGATGATCTGCATGCAACCCTCAACTTTAGTTGTACTCCTCCAGGTTCAAGTCTCAGCGCTGACGATAAACTTGCTCATGATACGAGTTGCACTTGGTCTTTGAGAGCTTTGGGTTTCTGTAATAGATGCCTAGATAAACATCACGAACACGAAGCTTACAGCGGCAAGAACCAAGAGAGTATCTCCAAGACAAAGGCCGCATGATGGAACACACCCTGAAGCAAGGACATGAACACCATCTTTACCTTGTCTGGTCCATTGTACCCTATCATTAATCTGCATCAGATCCAGGTTAGACGACGGCTCGCTCGGTATGTGGGCATGGAAGTCGCTAAGACCGACGAGCCGTGCCCCCTCGTAGGATTTCGACTTGCCCCGAGCTGACAAAAGAGGATGGTGAGTGAAGTATGGTATCTGTCTACCTAAACGAGATCCTGGTCCATGATAAGCTCCTCTGGCTGTGCAGTGCAGAATGTACACATGTTCCCCGTACCTTGGGTGCCAAACCAAAACCAGCCTTGTCAGGATGGATGGGGTCATACCCAAGTTCGGTTCAAACATGGAGTTTGCTTGTTTTGGAGCCCACGCTATTTATGGGGTCGTCTAACCTGTCATCAGGTCCTTGCATAGCGTAGTTAATTAATATTCCATGCCAAAGACGAAAAAAGAAAAAAGCTCGAGTCGCACTAAAACGATTTTGAGATTAAACTATACCTTCCCTTCACTTTGATCAAACATGCTCTTCTTTAGCGCCCCGCCGTTGAAAGATACCATGTCCGTCTTGAACTCCAAGATCATTTTCGACTTCAATTCCACAATCATGAAGATCACTCACTTTTTTGAAACCTCTCCCACGGCCTACGCCCTTGTTTCTCTGCTGGTTTTACTTTTCTCAACATATTGCATCACCAATATTCGTTATTCACTGCAGAGACTTTCCAACAGACGCTATCAAGGCAAGGAACCTTCAACACTTCCTTATGGAGTGCCTGTACTTGGTTCGGCCCTTGGCTTGATGCGAAATCCTCACGGATTCTTCAAGTCCATTCTGTAAGTCTTTGCCGATCTTTCGATTCATCTTCATATCTAACATCTTCCAGTAAAAAGGTTGACAGTGGAGAACCACTTCGAATGCGTCTTGGTCTTGACCATTACTACCTCATTCACGGAACGAGAAGCGTTCAACAAGTTTTTCGATGTTCCAAAGAGCTTACCTTTGAAGAATTTGCTCTTCGGGTCGCTCACAAGGTCAAACGTCTTCCAGAAAAAGATGTTGCTCTGGTATCAAAGGACAAGTCGGGCTCTGCACGAGTTCCTCTGATAGAGTCAAAGGAGGAGGATCGCATATGGCGAAAGTTCCATGAACTCTATGAGCACCATCTTATTGGGTCTAGCGCAGTTTCTGGCCTCACAGAATTGTTTGTCGGTTTGATGAACAACGAGCTCGACACTGTTGCCCTCGACGGACCCATTGAGATCGGTATCGACCAGCTTCTGAGAAAACACATGTTCAGAGCGTCTACCATTGCTCTTGCTGGTCACGGCGTGTTTGAGGTTGACCCCAACTTTGCCGATGTCTTTTGGGAGTACGACGTGGACTTCATGCCTCTTCTCTACGGTCTCCCCAAGGTTCTCTGCCGCAAGGGCTGGAACGCCAGAGACAAGTGTTTGGAGACTACAAAACAATATCTCGCAAATGCTTGGCAAAACCTTGACTGGCAAGCTGCCAAGGAGACCAACCCCGAATGGGAGCCCAACTTTGGTTCCAGGCTTGTCCGCGAGCGAGAAGTGGCCATGGAAAAGTATGGACTCGGCCTGGAGGGAAGAGCATCTTTCCAAATGGGTCTCATCTGGAGTATCAACTCCAACGCTATCCCCATGACATCCTGGATTATTATTGAAATTCTCCGCCGGCCAGAGATTTTCAAAAGGATCAAGGAGGAAGTCGCCATGGTTTTCGACAAGGAGAGCAAGCATATTGATATTGCAGAGATGAGAAAACTACCACTGCTCAACTCAGTGTACCTCGAGTGTCTCCGTCTCAGGTCTTCTGTTTTTGTTGTTCGCAAACTGCGAGAGTCTATCGAGCTCGACGGGTACACACTCAAGCAGGGAAATCTCATCCTCGCACCATCATACCTGGCTCACAGCGCTCCCGAAGTGTGGTCATCAGACTCTTACCCACCAGAGGAGTTTTGGCCTGAGAGGTTCATCAAGAAAGGCTCGGCTGGTATTACGGCAGGCAACTACTTCCCCTACGGAGGCGGCGTAGCCATGTGCCCTGGACGCAACTACGCCAAGCAGGAGATCTTGGCAGCCGCAACTCTGTTCTTTGCACACTTTGACGCTGAGCCGCTGCGATTCGTGGATGACAAGGGCAAGACGTCTGACAGGGGACCAGAGGTTGGCAATGAAGCCAGGGGTGTTGCAAGGGTTGATAGGGATATGGTTGTTCGGTTATGGCGCGCTTAGAATTATGTTACTCAATACCATTTGGAATTAGTCAGTTAAACTTGCAGTTTATGGGAATATACGTATATCATGATATCTACACAGAGAATCAAATTGTCTAGGCTAGCCTATGAATTACAAAGCAAATATCTCACTCTACAGCTTTGAAGTTTCCAATCACCGAGTACGAGACAAGTTGATCTTGCGGTCGTACAACCCTCGCGGCAGGATACCCCCACGAAGGAGTCATCCAATACATGTAAGCGATAACCCAGACGTAACCGAAGTATTTTCTCTTGTTACCTCCTAACCCCTTTGAAATGTGTTGCACGCCGTCCTCGCACATTATGGCCAAAGCGGTTACGAGGAAGTAAGTGACAGCATTCGACTCCTGAACAGAAATGCCAAGAGCTCTGTCAGCGGGATAATGCAGGGCTCCTGAAATGAAGAAACTGATGATAAGCTTGCAGTACCGGGCAATGACTGTTCCCCTTGGCATATGAAGCAGGCCGTGGACGAGGAAGTCGCTAATGCTGGTAAGATGACGTCGCAGCGTTTGATGCCAAAAGTCACCCCAGAAGCGCCTGATGGTGTAAGCATCCGACAGACTACCCCAGACGGGGGGTAACATTCGGACAGGGTAGAGGCCCAAGATAAGGTACACGAGTGAGAATACGCTGTTGACAAGGTGGATAACACAAAAGGTGTTTGCCCAGAAGCCAAGAACAGCAAAGAGACGGAATAAGGCTTCCTGTGCGTCAATTTCTCCCAATCGGGTGAGAAGCAGCTCATTCCGGGGTGACATGAGGTTCTCAATGTCTGGTGGCGGTTGGTTCGCGAATACGTCGAGAATCAAGTAGCTGAGGGTGGCATTTTTGACATGTCTCAGCAATTCTTGGCGGCGGGACGGAACGAGAGATAGCGCGGCGGGAGAGGATGACCAAGACGGGATTTTGGAGATCTGTTTGACTGTGCCGACGCCACGCATATTCCAAAGGTTGCTGACACCAAAGCCCAGCCGTGTTGCTGTAGACGACGACGTGGGGGATGATTTCTTGGCGGTAGTTTCCTCATCACCAAAAGACAATTTGGTGAGGCACAAATCGTCGAATGATTTTAGACACTGAATCCACATGCCAGTTGATAGCAAGGCAATGTGAAGACGGCTCGGCAAGGCATCATCAATAGCCTGATTGAATATCCAGGTGAGCCAAGAGACGACCAAGGCAATTGCCGGACGGACAAGGTTGCTGGGCGCTGTGAAACTGAGAGCAAAGGCAGTCAGGGCCTGGGACGTGGCTGCAAAGCAAAGGGCAGTCTGAGCCGTCATGGTTGTGGTGACTTGGTGATAGTGGCAAGCCTCAAAGAAAGGAATTGTCTTGTCATGTCTTGTCTCGTCTTGTCAGCACGGGATGGGCATTCAAATGTTATTTTCAACACGGCTTGCCAAGTAGACCGTGCAGTTGATGTAGCGAGACCCTGAAATGTCACACCTGAAGCGTCAAGTACGCACAGAACAGAACAGGAAACAGGTGTCTTGTCCAGGCATGTCTCGACATGGTCTTTGCCTCACCGTCAGCAAGGTATCCATAGAATGTTGGTGTTTCATTAAAGATGGAGTTACAATAAGCGCTAAACCAAAAGATACGCGAAGGATCTGCAGAGTCCAGGGGGATCCTTGTGGCTTGCATTAATCCCTGCGATGCATCATCATAGTTGCCCAACCGCATTAGGTGAAGACAAAAAAAAGAACAGTTCGTCTCAGATAAAAACACGGGTAATCACAGCCGGTAGTTGATAAAACACTGCCCATACGAGGCACAGCCTTTTCCTTTCTTTGTCAGAAGCACGGAGTATTATTATGACACTACAGCAAGTAAGAGTACCTGCGCCAAGCAAAGCAGCCGCCGAAATATAAGCCGGCAAATAGACAGAGCCACACCATCGATCCCACTGCCATGGCAGTCCTCTTGACGTTCCGTAGAAAGGCAGCTTCGTTCACGCGTGGGAAGTCCTGATCCACAGGTACAGGCTTATCCAAGAATTTCGCAAGGGGCTCCCATCCCATGCTTGGCTGGTACTCAAGGAGCTGACCAGGCGGCACAATGTCGTGCACCCATTGGTTGTGCTTATGGTACAGCTCCTCACAGGGCACCTGCTTAAGACCAAACTTTGACGAGTAAAAGTTGGACCAGGCAACGATGAGATCGCTCGAATGGATTACCCCGGGAACCCAATACCCGAGGATGCGATACCAGGAGGAGCGCAGATCGATGCCCAATCCGTAGTAAGAAGCCAGCCAGACCTGGGGATTTTTGCGTACAGAGAGAATAACCTGAAGGATTGTCAGCAAGCAAGTAACAATCAGCGGGGAAGTCCACTGCTTACCTTTGCGTTGGGGTAGATTGTCAGCATGTCGTCTACCAGTGTACTGGCAGGAGGCTCAAAGACGGCTTCAAAGCCATCGTAGAGCTTCTTGAGTGCTTTGAGCCTCTCGTTACGATCTTGAATGGCGAGAACGCGAGCACTCTCCTTGACGCGGGCAATGGGAGCCGGAGGATCACCGAGATGGAAACATGGGTTGATACCAAGAATCTCGAGACCTTTTTTGAGACTTGTTGTTGACGTGCGTGGTAGACCAGCCTATAGAGTTTGTCAGTGATAGAAGTGAGGTGGATGTCACATTAGACATACAACGATAATCTTTACGTCTTGTGTCTTTTCCTGTGCCATGTTGTTTGATTGATTGAATGATTGATTGGATTGCTGCAGAGATTGGGTGATCGTTTGTTGGAGCATTTATTTCACTATCTATACAAGTTTTTTTTTTTCCTTAGCCGTCATGGTTACCCCTAGTCCTTGTCATTTGAGTACAAGCCTTCCCTGGGTCTTGGTCCTGTCAGTCTTACATATCAAGGGTGTTGTTGGTGTTGTTTCTGCACACGCCAAACAAGGGTCATCGGCCTGATTTTCGGCAGGGGCGTGTGCATGAGAGATGACGGAAACTAAATATACTGCATTAGGGGTGAGTGGGGACAGAAATGGGCTGTTTCGGCTAGGGCTGATCCGCTGGAAATGGGCTGTCGGTGGGTGACCGGAAGTCGGCGCTTAGATTAGCAGTAGGTACGTACTTTCCATTGAGACAGGGAGCAATGGCTTTGGGTCATTTCTACCTCCAAGACTTTAATCAAGCAATCATCGTCAAGGTGTTCTATTCTCACCATCAAGAATCCCAAACATGGAGACATATTTGCTAGTCGCCATCTTTTTGGCTGCAGTCTTTCTTGTCAATCACAAAACCTCTCCCAAGGTTCCCTCCACTATACCACGACTTCAAGATTCATCCCCCTTTCTTCCATTCAAGCTTTACTGGCGTTATCTCACTGATTGTCGTAGACTATTTCTCGAAGCATATCAAGAAGTAAGTTTCTCCACTCCACAACGAGTTCTACTAACGGCCTCAGTTCACCAAAGATGGGAAAACATGTGTTCTACCAAGTATGGGCTTCAAAGATGAGATCCATCTAGCACACCATCATACCCAATGGGCAGCTTCACAGCCAGATGGTGTACTCAGCCCCTTTGAAGGGTTCCGTGAAATTGACAAGGGAGATTGGAATTCCGGTCATGCCAGCTACATCCAAGACCCATGGCAAAGTATCGTCATCAAAAAGGAGATGGGTCGTTTCCTAGAGATACTCGCTTCTGAAGTGGACGATGAGTTGAAATATGCTGTACCTGAATATGTGAAGCCTGGTCCAAATGATGAGCTCGATGTCTATGAATCCATGAAATGGATTGTAGCTCAAGTTTCTAGTCGTTTCACTGTTGGTCTTCCTCTCTGTACGTTTTTCCATCTCCGTCAAAAACATCACCTAACGGATTTTCTAGGCCGTGACAAGAACTATCTCAAAGATTCTCTCGCTTTTGCGGACTTGTTCATATTAAACTCTGGTCTTTTGATTTACACTCCTTCTCTCCTCAAACCTATCATTGGGTTCCTCATCACTCTACCAACACGGTATAACCGATGGAAAATCCAAAAGCACATTCAGCCTCTTTACGAGGAGCGCACCAAACATCTGTTGAACCCTGAGCTCTATGAGAAGAGCGAAGAGCCAACAGACAACCTGCAAATGATGATGAAATACGCTATCAGCAAGTACGGCAACCAAGTCACTCCCTCTCAAATCTCCGACAGGCTGTGTCTTGCGAATCTTGCATCCTTTCATCAGACTGCTGTTGCGACAAGTAATGTTTTGATCAACATTGCCGCCTCCAATGCAGAGTTCAACACCATAGAAGTCATCCGAAAGGAAATGGCTGAAGTCCTTGGTGAAAAAGGCGTGTTTGACAAAGCCGCCGTGTCAAAGATGGTTCAGACCGACAGTGTCCTACGAGAGTCTATGAGAACCCACGGATTCGGAAACAGAGCCATGATCCGCAAGGTAGTTTCGCCAGCTGGAGTAAAAACACCAGATGGTCAAACTCTTCCCAGCGGTTCAACCATGTCCATTCTTTCGTATCCTGTCCACAATGACCCAACCATCTACGAGCACCCTGAAAAGTTCCACCCTTTCCGTTTCTCTCAGTTGAGAACTGAAGGAAACGGTGCAAACCTGTCATTTGTATCTACATCTCCTACATATTTACCCTTTGGCCACGGAAAGCATGCTTGTCCGGGACGGTTTCTGGTGGACTTTGAGATGAAGATGATCTTATATCACGTCTTGAAGGAATTTGATATTGAGCTTCTTCCTGAACATAATGGCGTGCGACCGGAGAGTCAATGGGTGACAGAGGCTGTTATGCCACCTGTGGGAGTTAAGCTGCGATTTAAGAAGCGAGAGCTTGCATGATTTATTGAGAGTAGAATAGATGCGAATTGAAGTTATCATGGTTGAATTTAGCCTATGTTTTGCCACTTGAATGCAAGCCGTTATCAAAAGCCACCAAAATAGAACAGCAAAAAGAAGAAAAAAGAATGCTACGTATGTGTATGCAATAGCGTGGCGGTGCATGAAACAAGGTCCTTGCTTACTTTGGGACTTATCAGGCCCCTGCTCGTAGTAGCTCCTCCTCAAGTGGACTGGTACTGTAGCGCTACCTAGACATAAAATAGCCAGCCCAGTGAGATTCCATTCCCTCCTCATCCACACTGCAACCACCCACAATGGCACCAATTGCTGTTTTTCTGTCTTACTATCGACCATGGGCTGCCGTCGCCATTGCTGTTGCTGTTTACTACCAGATAATCGTTGATCAAAATTACAATGTCAAAAATGCACCCTTTTATTTGGCAAAGTATCTACTAGGCTTTTTGAGTATCTGGGCCGTATACACGACTTTCCTGTATCCTGCCTTGTTCAGTCCGCTAAGACATCTACCTCAGCCAAAGGTATGTGCATGATGGATAATACTGGAAAGATCATCACTGACAAAGTACAGGTCGGTAGTTTCATCAATGGCCATTGGGCCGAGTCTGTCCGTGAACCTGCCGGGCTACCATTCAGGCATTGGATGAGGACCATTGAAAACAATGGACTCATTAGATACAAGTGAGTCCATCAAATATTCTTCACAAGCCAGGTGCTGACATACACAGACACCTTTTCAATCAAGAAAGAATTCTTGTCACTAGCCCAGAAGGCTTGAAAGAAGTCCTTGGCCAGAACAGCTACGATTATGTGAAGCCTCATCTTCTCCGAGCAATGGTCGGCAAAATCTTGGGCTATGGACTGCTACTCTCAGAAGGAGATGTGCACAAGGTAATTCATTCCATCCCCTATAACCAAGTCATCTAACAATTACAGATGCAAAGGAAAAATCTCATGCCAGCATTCAGCTTCCGCCACATCAAGGAACTTTACCCAGTCTTCTGGACAAAAGCCCAAGAACTTGTCCAAGGGATCGAAAAGGAAATGTCAGAAGCTGCAGGCTCCCAGATCGACATTGCAGACTGGGCGAGTCGCGCTTCTCTCGACATCATTGGCTCTGCAGGCATGGGCCACGAGTTCCAGTCACTTTCTGACCCCAGCATCGAGGACACCATGAAGATGTACGGCTCAATGGTCAAGCAGAGTCGCGGAGCTAAGCTTCTGACGGTTTTGCAGCTTGTTCTACCCTCCGTCATCACGGATTATCTTCCCTTCCAAAGGAACATGGGCGTTTTGGCTGCGTCAAAAGCTGCGAGGGATACTTCTCAGCGGCTCATCAACGCGAAAAAGATACAAATGGCTGCCAAGGAGAAATTGTCGCCTGATATCATTTCTACAGCTCTTGAGTCTGGTCATTTCACAGATGAAGGTCTTGTTGACACTATGATGACCTTTTTGGCTGCTGGGCACGAAACAAGTGCTGCGGCGTTGACTTGGACAATTTTCCTGCTTGCCAAGAACCATGATATCCAGGACCGCCTACGAGAGGAAATTCGTCAAAATGTTGACGGTCTTGCTGACAGCGTTGACGCCAAGAAGCTCGATGGACTTTCTTATCTCCACGCTGTCTGTCAAGAATCTCTACGTCTGTACGCCCCCATCCCATTCACAGTGCGCGACTCTTTGAAAGACACCACCATCCTGGGTACATTTGTCCCAAAGGGAACAATGGTTATCCTCTGCCCGTGGGCCATCAACCGCGCGCACGAATCATGGGGAGCTGACGCGGATGATTTCAATCCCGAGCGTTGGATGGCGCCAGGCCAAGCCAACTCGGGTGGCGCAAAGAACAACTACGCGAACTTGACGTTCCTTCACGGGCCGCGGAGTTGCATCGGGCAGAAATTCTCGCTGGCCGAGCTCATGGCTCTTACGTGCGCCCTGGTCGGGAGGTACAGGTTTGACATTGACAAGGACTACGAGGTGAAGGATCTCACTGATGGGATTGTTGCTAAGCCGCGGGAGGGGCTCAAGGTTTCTGTGGAGGAGATTCAGGGTTGGTAGAGACGATTTGATTAGAGTGTACAGATTAGAGATGCATGAAGCAAGGGTAGATAGTGTAAGGCTGTTTAGACAGCGCCACAAAGATGCAGTTTCAACCGTTTTTTCACGAAATGTCTCACTAGATTAGTGTATCCGGTACTTTTCTCGTCTAGTTTTTTTCCGGACCACTGAGTGATTAATTATCCGACTTGTTTGCTGAGGGGGCTTAGCTTAGCATGTCACAAAGCTTTATCTGTGCGTGTCACTATCCATGTCAAGGGTCTGGTACCATGTCCATCATATCTTTTTCTCCACAGTCTAAGTCCACCCCGTAAGATCTAGCGTCTCACCCCTAACAAGAGTGACCCTGTCCTGTCTTTGTATGAGAAAAGCACAACAAAGATAATGCACCGGGTCTATGCTGGTTTCCATTTAGCCTGGCAAGAGGCGGAAAACATGAGTCGCTTGGCTTGTCGGATCAGCAACTGGCTCAAAGCAGCACCGGTCAGTACCTACAGCATCGGCTTCTACTTTTGTACTACAGACCCAGCACCAACACAACTCTACAAGGTCATGAGATTAAGTTGAGCGACTTGTTGGCCCTCTTTTCCCCCGTTTGTTCTGTTCTGGGGTCTGTTGCAGATCCTCACTGTTTTGCCTCTTGTCTCTGACTCTGTCTCTATCCCTTGTCCAACCTCGCAGCCCCATCCTGTTCCCTTCTGTCATTATTCTTCAACCTTCCCCGACAGTCCGGTTTCTCTCTTTTCTCTCTTCCCATCCATCTATCTACATCATCATCTCACTCATCATCATAATCACAAGATAAACAAGAAATGTCGATATCTGACGGTAGTTACGCTCGGGGTGACCTCCTCAACGGCTGCAAAGCCCTTATCCCAGGCCTTGAAAACGCCTACGGATATGTCCCCAGCCTCGCAGCCGGTATCGTCTTTGATCTTATCTTTGCCGGCACTGGAATCTACCACATTGTTCGCTCGTTCCAAAAGCGCAAAGCCACGTCTTACCTCTTGGCCATCGCGTCGTACGTTGAGCTCGTGGGATGGATTGGTCGTACGTGGTCCAACAAATGTCCCTACAACAAGATTGCCTTCCTTCTGCAAATCACAACCCTCGTCGTCGGTCCAATTTTTGTCGCTGCTGCCATCTACGTCACTCTCGGATATCTCATCAGATCCATTGGACCTCAGTACTCTGTCATCCGTCCTAAGCTCTACCTCTGGATCTTCCTCGTCGTCGATGTCATCGCCCTTCTCATCCAGGCGGGCGGTGGTGCTCTCGCTGCGGCTGCTGCCAACAAGGGCAAAGACACCCAGCCAGGTACCAGGCTGATGGTCGCCGGTATTATCTTCCAGCTCGTCTTTATGACTATCTTCTGCAGTCTCTTCGCCGTCTTCATTAAGCGAACTCGTGGTCTTACCCTCCAAAAGGGCCAGCGTCTATCCATCTACTCCACCATCATCTCTGTCGTCTTTGTCTACATTCGATGCATTTACCGAACGGTCGAGCTTCTAGAAGGTTGGGAGGGACATTTGCTCAAGACAGAGGGGTACTTTATCGGTCTTGATGGTGTTTGCATTGCCGTTGCAATCTTGATCTTCTGCATCTTTGACCCGGCTGTTCTTCTTGACAACCAGGAGCCCATCACTGCTGAGCAGTCCTTCAACGAGCTCAACACCGTGTCTACCAAGTAATTCCACGTGTAGAGCTTTGGGGTTCGTCAGTCATTACTAGCATAGCCAAATTCACATGCTTTTCGTGTTTTTATCTTCCAGTTTCAACGGCCTGTGTCAGACAGGACGCTCTTTAGTTACAAGCAGCCTGTATCCAAAAGTTTATGCTATTCAAATCCCCAACTGTCTCTCTCCATCTTCTCTCTATAAAGTGACTGCCGAGTCTAGATTGAGCCTCAGCCTATTTTGTCCCTTGCTTAGCCCGTTGGAGTTAGTAACAACGTCCCTGCCGCCCTACCGGCTTTTCGCATATGTAGCCTTGCCACTAAGGTCTAGCTTCAATGACACCATCGGAGTATTATAATAGTGCCACAGTGTTGTAACTCCTACCAATCGTTATTTCCTCGGGAGGTACAGATCCTTTATTGTGGCCTGGCATCTCAACCACAACACTCCCACGATTTGGCACGGTTCATTCTGCTGTTCCCTTCTGGGTGGTGATGTTGGACTTGTGATTTGTTGATGTTCAACCCATGTCAATTTGTCAAATGGAAGGGTAAGAATTTGCGTCCAATAGAGAAGGTAGAGGGTCTCGATCCAAGAAGTTCAACATGTGGTGACAACTATAATGGGTTTCTCCATCAATAGTAAGTGAAGATAAAGATGCCGGCTCAACTTGCTACCATCAAATGGGATCCAGTTTCTACATGAAGACGTAACGTCCAACACTTTCCTGTACAACAGCTACGCCATCTCATCCCGATCGCTCGATGTATTATATCCAAAGAAAAGTAATTGTCTATCCTCAGGTTAATGTGAGCATAGCTGCGATGTACCCCTCCCCTGCTCCCCAGCTTCGCAGAATCAAGTGGGTTGTCACCTTGCTTTCTCACATCCTCGAATGCACGTGGGTAATCGGTGTGTCACAGCAGAGACTCTGTTTGAGGTTTATGATATCTGAGACCCGAGAACGACTTACAGCCTTAAGCAGATGCACATCTGATATGTTCAGTGGTACTCGTCAAGAAGGATAGTGCGAATTGGCTGCAAGGCAATATATAGACTCACCCCTTTAGTACCAGGTGTTCAGACCGGATTGATCTGTTTACTCCAACCAAAAGTAGGTAATACGTTATAGCTAAGTGTTCCAACGTGACGGGAATCCTGGGGAGAGGCGGGAAAGGTGTGGCACTCCATTTTATGGACAGCAACTACCATTTGCAAGGTTTTCTGAGAAAGATACTTGACTTCCTGTAATTCATAACCAATGTGCTAAGATTATCTAAGAAAAACATAGCGTGCTTAGCTACTTTTCAAGTCGCAACTGGCTATGACACTATGCTATCCTGTCAGAATTTGACACATGTGACTTCCTAAGCTTCTCGAACTTTTGATGTAACTTAGATAGGCACAGACATCATAAAGTACCTATTTTGTAGCGACTCAATAATTCTTTATGTGACGAAAAACCATCTGAATCACCCCAGCAGCACTCATGTTAGAACCTCAGAGTATCGTCACACTTCAAATCCCTAAGACGGCGAGTCTTGCATCGTCGCTGTGACTTGGAGTACTGTCCTCAGTTGAATTGTACATGTAGGGCACGTACGAATTGTAAGTCTAGTTGTGTGCCACACATGGTTACACAGCTCATGGCTGACTGGTGTGTTATATCAGCCAAGGCGAACTTGGAAACAGTGACGAATGAAGACACCTGTTATGTGACACATAAGGCAGCAAAAAGTCACTCCAACGTAGACAACTTGTTTACTTTGCCAAAGTTCTTGTCCTCTCCTTTATAAGGCTTTTATGTCTTTTCGTGCTTCTCAGTCAAGGATCTCCAACACAGGATTCAAGAATTACACAAGCTACGCATCATGAATCTGATGCTCACGCAGTAAAGACAAGCCTCTCCACAGCTTGTCATTATTATTAGTTCATTTTTACGTCCATTTATGCATATTCCTTTCGGGTCTGTCGGCTGATAACCTTATTCAATACTATAAATCAGCTGACCTAGACATTGGTTTGGAAGATGAGGCTAGGATAAACCATGGCTAGATACTCGACGCTATTGAACGCCTCACCAAGATGCTCTGGGATAATTGGTCCTGAGGACTCACAAGATGCATTTCAAAGATCCAACGAGATGAAATTAGCGAATAAATTCGTAATATCTAGGATAGTTTGTTATCAATTGCACACCAAACTCATCATGAGACGTCTAGATTTATACTCCCCCATATCGCAGCATGACAACCAAATTGTCCGTCACGGCTACATTGCTTTTCACAGCCGGCAGTTGTCATTTTTAAGACCAATCGGATCATGAATTCTTCATCGAATCAATGATGTGTGACAAGACACACTAAACCCAAAAAACGAGGCTGGTCTGGAATGGTCGGCGCAGATGATAGCGCCGTTTGCGGGAAAGTATGTCGTTTACCCTGAAACACGTACTCTAAAATTGGAAGAAGGCATGGATCTTCTGCTCAGCTAAGGCATTTTTGAACGTCTGTGTGTGGTGATCAAGACCCTGCGTCATTGCGCTTGTTACTATTGAAAGCCTCAACTCGTGGTATACGAGGTGGCGTATGCTCGTTCGTCTCGTGGACTAACGTTTTTGTTCAGCCGGATTCAGATTAATTAAGCTTAATGAAAGATTTATAAGGCCATGTTCCTCCGCATTATTTGATCTGGAATTACTCAACTTACTACCTACTCTCAACAGTATCAGTTAACTCATCGCTTGGAAAACATGCTGTTCCAAAATATCCTCTTCGCTGCTTCCATCGGCCTCGCTGCCGCAGCCTCTCAAGCTACAGGCCAAGAATGTGGCAAGAAAATTGCACCTTGCCCCAATGACTCCGTCTGCAAGCCTACCCTCGCCAATTGCAAAAACCTCAACAAGTGCCCCGGAACGTGCTACTTCAAGAACGAGTACCAATCATGCGGTGGCTTCCGCTCCAAGCCTCCACCACCATGCAAGAAGAACACATCTTGTGCGAACGACCCTCGAACACCTGGTGACTGCGGTATGGCTTGTGACAAGCCTGGTATTTGTGTACCCAAGAAGCCACAGAGTTGCGGTGGATTCACGGGTAAGAAATGCCCTAAGGGCCTGTACTGTTATGACGATCCTAAGGACAAATGTGATCCTAAGAAGGGTGGAGCTGATTGTTCTGGAATTTGTCTGTGAGCTTTTTTTTCGTCTGCAAGTTTTGATATTAGGATGAATATAGGAGTTGATGAAATGAAGAGAGTCCCAATACCACAAAGAACAGCCAAGACCTCGGAAGTAGCCGAGGACTGTCTTGGTGTAATTTGGGGAAGAACAAGCTGAAACATCTGATATCAGGTCGTAAAAACGGGTGATCGACGTGCATGAAATGTAGTCCGTGATTTGTTTCAAGAATAAAAGGTCAATTAAACCCAATCTATGCTCTATAACTAAACTCCAATCAATGTCTTCATTTTGTTTACTTCTCATCCCAGCTGAGAATATCCCTTGTCTTTTGTTTCTTTAGTTGAAACGATGCTGGATGACTTCCTAGAAAGAACCAGCCAATCATGATGCGTAGCACAGACCTTCAATTGTCAATGCCATACATGGCATGTTTCAACAGGCACTTCCAAATTAATTACCCAGTAAAACGTCAATTTGCTAGCGACAATCTCATCCATCGCGTGGTACCTGATCCTTTGGGCTAGTGTGCAATTTCACACAAACTGCCACAGAGCAGCGACAACACCAGCAATACCCAAGAATCCAGGGGCCATGATAGATCCAGCATTAATCTCAGCATCCGAAGACGCAGTTGCCGTCTCTCCACTTCCTGTGGCTGTACCAACAGGTCCATCCTCATCTGTAGTAATAGCTGTCCCTTCAGCTGTCGTGGCTTTGGCGAATGTGGTCTCAGTCTTGGTCATGGTTGTCTCCGTGGTGCAAGTCTCGGAAGTCTCGGAAGTCTTAGTTGGCAAAGCGGTCTCGATGGACGTTTCTTTGGCCTTGGAATCTGTCTTTTCAGCCTCGGTCACGGTGGTCTGCGCGGCGTCTGGAACAGTCGTCTCGGCCTGAGAAGTCTGCTTAGTTTCTTCGGCTGTACTAGCAGGTGCGTCAACAGCAGTAGTCACACCAACGGCAGTGGTTGCATCGGTCGTTGGAGCGTCCTCTCCAGGTCCAAGATCAACAGGCTTTCCAAGTTCTAATGCGCGTCAGCTTCGTCTATCATGTCCGAAATCACTAAGCTTACTAGCACAGAGATCGTTTGCCCAAGTCATGGCAGCACTCTTGTCTTCGCCGCAGCTCGTGTCGGCACACTTTGAGAAGTTTTCCTGGAGTGTAGGCATAGTACAGAAGCAGAGGTAGTTCGTGGCTTCTTTGCAATCTGCTGGAGGGCCATTTGTGATAAGGCCCTGGAAACAGTCGATCTGTTGTCTTTGTTAGCATTGATGATGTATAAACGGTTAAACAATCCACATACAGCGCATGTAGTCTCAGCCGCCGTAGCGACTGAAGCCATCAAAAGGGCCAGTTGAGCGGCGTTAGGTTTTCTCATTTTGTTAATGATAACGCTTTTACTAGAGAATTTGGTAGGTAAAATTGTTGGAAGGGTCACGTCGAGGTTATATGCGCAGGAAATCAATCATATCTTTGCCCTTAAGTGTGTTTCAAGGTCATCTATGCGAGACCCTGTCTGATCCTCTGTTTCATCCCTCAACCCTTGTAAGACCCCATGAAACATCCATTCCTTTCGTGAAAGAGAGCAATTTGATACCATTGGATGTTTCCTTAGTCCTTCATTAAATCATGAACGAAAACCCCGGGAAAGTGAATCGGAGACTCTAATCAAGAACTGCGGCGGGGCAAGTTCATAGACGCGGTTGCGGCGTCCATACTCTGATTCAGAATCAACCCAACAATGCGACAGCATAGATAGAGATAGTGAGCCATTACTTCTTTGATAGACCAACTTAGTGAATATCCGCCTTTCCTCGTACTATTGTTTACCAATGTTCTGGTCCGATCTCGACAGTGTTGACATCCACTCCATCCTTGAACCATCTCTCCTCCTCACTAATCTTGACGTTGTTTCCGCTCATTTGTCTCTTCTTCATCAGTCCATTGTTATCAAAGGTCCAATCTTCAAGTCCGTAGCATCTCCACCATTGTCCATCTTCATCGCGGAATTCATACCAGAACTGCACGGCGATCTGTAGTGCGTGTTAGCACATGATTTTAGAGTGTAAAGAGAAGAAAAGAGTTAAACTCGCCTTGTCATTGTCAAAAGCAAAGAGTTCTTTGCGCAGTTTGTACTCGTGCTCGCGATTCCACTTGTCAGTGAGAAAAGTCTCAATCTCATCACGGCCTTTGACAAAGGTGCCACGGTTCCGCCAGATTGAGTCGGGAGTATACGCCATCTTGACTTTGGATGGATTTCTTATACCAGAGTGGTCAGTCAACTTCATTTATGTCTGGATTGGGGATCATACTGGGTATTCCATGCATCTTGCGCAGCCTTGACCTTGACATGCGCAGTCTCGCGGCTGAAAGGTGGGACAGGTGGTCTCTGTTCGCTCATTGTGAAATACCTGGTGAAGGAAGTAAAGACCTGGAGTTGATCTCTTGAGAGAATAAATGTTGTGAGGGAGAATGTTTATAAGGATGATGTTGAGCTTGGCATGACAGACATGAGTCTTATATCTACCAGTGCGGGGACTTGCGGCGAAAGCGGCCTCGGGCTCTGCCTCACTTGTCCTACTTGTAAGCAGACGTAATGTCAATCGTAAGCAAATCTAATTATGAGGATTCTGACGCTACTTTTTTACAAAGATTTAGTAAGCATTCCCTAACTCTAGCACGTCACTAATGGATGGGAACCCAGGTATATAAATGAGTGACGCTCAGTACCTTCTGCCCGCCAGCAGCTCACTATGCCTTAATGGACTTGGTTGAATTTTTTAATCTTCAAGTCACCATGAACTCTAATTCTAGTGTTACTGTTTGGCTCCCAGCTATTAATATTCTTCTTTTTTTCTTTTTTGTAACTGATCTAAAATCTGCCTGGGCCTCACATACTCCTCCTACATGACTCTCTTCGTGATAGATACTCAATAGCTAGATAAAGGTTCGGACGCACTTTGATTGGTCGAATGGTTAACACGAATGCCCCATTAGTAACGTAACCTATCTTGGTAACTAACCCTCTTCTTCGGCAGCTAGGTGAAACTATGCAGTGGAGTATTCGTGGGGAGGCATATAAGTAGCGGTGGAGGGTCGACCCCATGATATCTTCAGCTGTAAACCGACCTTTGTCCTCCGATTACCAGAGTACTATTACAAACATCGACAGCATGCATAATCCTATTCCCATTTATGGACTCTTGGTCCTGATTTTCTTCTCGGCCAACAGTCCTGTCCATGCATCGTCACCTGAAATGGTTGTAAGTGGATAGCTGGCTTCGCGAGTCGCCCTGCTAAGTTACTATCAGATACCGCTCCTCGGCTCTAACCCTTGCACTTGGGGGGTAAGTTTTGGAGCCATGTGAGAGTATAATTATTTACTAAAGCAATATTCCAGCCATCGTTCTGGTGCGCGAGCGAAGAGAACATGAAAAGATGTGGTGTTACCGCAGAAGAGTGTGAGAAATATGCCAGCGATGTATACTAGTCGGCGGTACTGGGTGTTCTGGTGCTGTTGTATTGTCACTTCACCATGCCACTCATGCCTGGGGTGATCATGAGAATAAATCCCTCATCTCGGGTGGTGTACCAAATTCATATCTAGGGACTATGGTTTATGAGTAGAATCAACTTTTATCACTATCGCCTGGCCGCCATCACATCATGCGTAAACATGGTTTTTTTTTGTTCTTGCTAGTACCACGAACTCTAATGGTCATACTGTTCGATTACCAAGCATAAAATTTTAGAATTACTCTGTTGCGGCAGAGGTTAAGGGTTAATATAGCGAATTAGTACACTACATCAATGCCCGCCAGCAGCTCACCATGCCTTAACAGACTTGGTTGAATTTTTTTGATCTGGAAGTCACTATAAACTCTAATTCTGATGTCGCTGTTCGAATCCCGTCCGCTCCCCCCTTCTCTCCTGCTTCTTCCTTTTTATCCTTTTCTTTTTCTCATCAATCTCTACATCGCCCGCCAACAGCCAACGCAAGTTTCACCGCGATCCATGCCACGTGCCATCTTGGTGATATATTGGCCCACCAATTTTCGCAACTCACTCCTTTTTTCATTCCCACTCACTTTTCCCTTTTGCAAATGGCTAGGCACTCATAAGCTTTACTTGTTCATTTCGACGGCCATGTGTATGCTCATTCATGGCATCCTACAAGCTACAAGTGGCTGTCCACGTTTCACGTACACTCTACCCTCTACAACTCTGTGAAGGAAGGAGCAGCCATCACGACGCCCACCATACCCCTCCCCTTCCTAACATCGACATCTAGAGAGTCTTGTATACCAAAAAAATTGGACACGCCTCTAACAAGGATTTCGGCCGTAGCTGGGTGGTTAAAGCATGGCGAGCTGCCTTGGCGGGCCTCAACCAAGTCCGTCGGTTCGACGCCGACCCGCCTACACCTGGGAAGGGAGATGCAGGTGTGATCCTTGTCCCCTGAGCAAACTCGGGGGTTAATCTACTTCGTTCAGCGCTGTGGTGGGGATGTAGTAGGCATGCCCAGTACTGTGCGAACCTTTTTGCTGTTTGTGATGAAGATGCCTTGAAAGGGGCAGAGTCCAAGGCTGTGGCATTCTGTTTTTGATTCAATGAGACAGGAGATATAGTTGAGAACAATTCTTCCTACAATAGTGAACTATTTCTGAAGTCTTGGTGTCGGAATGTTGTGCTTTGGAAGCTGTTTTTGGAGTGTGAATAGGGGCTCGACAGATATACCAAACAACAGCAAGGGTACTGATCTGGCCACATCTTCTAAAATCTCAAAATTGAATATTTGAGATCCTTGCTAGAATATTTTCAGTGATTATTCTGTCAAACACAGCTTTAGAGTGTTGTTGATCGAGATCTTGACAATCCAAAGTGTACCCTTGGAAATATGTTTAGACAAGCCACAAGCCCAGCACATAATGAATGGGAAACGACTGAGCTTGAAACTATACTTCTAGTACTTCTTTAGCTATCAGTCAATTTATATAGAAGGAATTATCGAATATGATAAAAGAAACGTCGAGTTCTTCGTCTTATTACCTCTGACGGGGTATCTCCTCATAGGCAAGCTTGATGGATTTACCAAGATTCCCTGCAGACTAATTCTAATACTAGTCACCACTTATTGCGCTATTTATCAATAGTATACTCTCGATTAAACTAGTGGTGATGGTAACATCTAGTTAGAAAAGTCACCCAGGACATTGATCCATACTGTGTTAAGTGATTACTAAACGAGAATGGTCGTACATCACGAAGGGGAGTGATCACAAGGCATATTCATTGCTAATTGACTGAAATCGTAGTCCTTTAAGCATATCAGACGTACCTTCAATGTCAATCGCGGCTATTAGTGTTGGTGAACTAGTCTATCTAGACATTAAGCGCAAACCTACAACTTGTTTCCACAACAACAGCCGCGCTAATGATCAGCATATTAAACGATTGTTGTGATTCGTATACCTGCGAATGAACAAAAGCGAATGCGATTCCGACCACTCATCTGCAGCTCTCGTAGCTTGGAATGTTCGTGGCGTCTTTGGTGCCAGTCAGCGCTAAGATAATCCAGCCTTGTTGGCACTGGATTACTGCACATTGTCACGGAAAACACGGCATACAGGTCATAGGTCATAGCCTCGAATTAACTTTCGGTACGTGTTATTCAGAGATCTGCCCGATCAGATCATGAGGGGCAGCCTTGTGTCATTGGGGGAGGCATAGGTATAAATTCTCACTACTGCTCTGTGCTTTCCCTTGCTTTTCTTGTCGTGCAACTTCATACTTAATTATTTCAACAATGACGTCCTCAATTTTCCTCTCAATATTTCTTCTTCTACTTGTAGCTGTAGCTACAAATGCTGCAACACCAAAGATAAATTACGCAAAGTGCCCTTCCGCGATTCCCCCAGGTGTAGACTGTGGGCGGATCAACGTCCCTCTTGCATATCAAAGCGGGAATTCTACCTCTGCTAAGGGCAATGAAACAGTCGAACTTGTCTTCACTCGGTTAAACCACACGGGCAAAGGCGAAAAGCAAGGCGTCCTTTTCTTCAACACTGGTGGTCCCGGAGCATCTGGTGCGATCCTCGTCGCTGGAAGTCCCTACGTCCCCGCAATCGAATTCTCGTCTGATCTCCGAGACGCCTATGATATCATCGGTCTCGACCCCCGCGGTGTAGGCGTCAGCAGCCCTGTCGAGTGTGACCCCAAAGTGTTCAACCAACGCGTCAAGACTTATGTAACAACCGATGAGGAATACGATGCTCTTTACAACTACAGTCGCAAACTTGGCGAGAGCTGTGCAAAGTTGACCGGCCCCTTGATCGACCATCTCGACTCTGTCCACGTTGCAAAAGACCACCAGGTCGTGCTCGAAGCTCTCGGGGAATCCAAATTCAATTACCTTGGTCTTTCTTACGGTACCCTTCTCGGGTATACGTATGCATCCCTGTTTCCCAAGTCTGTCGGCCGAATGGCTCTCGATGCTATCGTGGACCACTCGCAATCCGAGATCGGAGCTCTCCTCGCAGAGTCTACAGGCTACGAATCTACTCTTAACGAGTTCTTCGATTGGTGTGACAGAAACTCTACCTGTGCTCTTCACGGCAAGAACTCAAGTAATGTATGGGACCAGGTGCTCTCGCGCGCAGACTCAAAGCCCATACCAGCACCAGGCTGCAACGGCACATGTCGCTCCAATGTGAACGGCGAAGAGATCCGTTACAACGCACAAAGCTTCCTGACATTCCAATATCTCACTTTCGGCCCTAACTGGCTCGATCTTGCAGACGCTCTCCTCCAGGCTAGCAGAGGCAACGCAACAGCTCTATCCACACCCACCCCTAATTCCCGGATTGTCCGAGACCCGAGCGGTTCGCCGTACAATTATCTCGCCATTGGATGTCAAGACTGGCTTCACAACTCTAAAAACTCCGTTGATTTACGCCAGAAGCTCATCAACGCTGTGACGTTTGCACCACGAACGCTTGGTATGTCGCAGACATACTATTACGAAAGCGCGTGTATAGGATGGCCTGCGCCGTTGACAAATCCACAAGGCCCCATCGCTAGCGGTATCAAAGATGCGCCGACAATTCTTATTGCGGCTTCTGTCTATGACCCTGAGACGAGTGTGACAAATGCAGAGGGACTCAGGGAGCAGTTGACAAGAAGGGTGAGCATCACAAGGAACGGGCCTGGACATACGAGTCATTACCTACAGGGAGAAACAAGCCAGGCAATGGACCGGTATCTGGCTACGGGAACACTGCCAAAGGACGGCACTGTATACAAGAATTAGGTCTGGTTTGGTTCTGATTTTAGCCACATTTCCTGGATTTGGTGTGTAATGCAGATTTAGTTAATAATATCTTGTGATGAATCTTGCTACGAATCATGTCCCCCTTGTAGTTGGCATACCCACAAAAGCACAAGAGAAAGCTTTAACATATCCATGTATGATATACTTGTAAGGCGGGATGATCTATTTATAACTACTGGTCGTTTTACGCTCGTTGTCTAGGGACACGGCCCCTGGTGTCATCCATGATCCGTCGAGCTGCATATCATAATGGGGCTATACCGTCTTATGCCATCGATCGTCACCCTAGTTCATCACTTCAGCCCTATGCATACGAACTACATCTTTAATTCAACTTCAAATTGACATCAACCGGTGACATGGGGTTTCTTTGACCTCTCTAGCACCATCTTGCGAGTCCCGAGATGGATCAAGGTCAGCCAAGGTAAAGAGTAACATCGCCACCGTGTAACTTGAAAAGGTTGTTAAATGCAAGCAAGTTGTATTTCTAAGCACGTCTCACAATGGTCGTATTGACAGCTTTGTGTCACTTCCAATATCCACTCCGGACCTCGGCATCCCACTGAGCCGACCCACCCCGAACAGGTGGAGTCAAATTACCGGCGTTGTAAGTGATTACGTGATCGAAGCGGCGATTTGCAAGCAGGATTGCACAAAAGCAAATGCCTTTATGTATAAGTCGAGAAGAATGCCGCCATTTCGACCTCTCATCACACTCCAGCAATCCCATTTCACCCCATCCTACATACCAACTCAATCAATATGACCAGGTTCAAGATCACAGTCACCTCGGACACCATCTGCCCATGGTGCTACGTTGGTCGCAGACAGCTCCAAGCCGCCCAGCGCCTGTGGGAGCAAAAGTACCCCAACTCCAATGACACCTTCGCCGTTAGCTACCAACCCTTCCAACTCAAGCCCGATTGGCCCCGAGGTCCTGGATCCAGCGTCTCCAAGGAAAAGGTTTACAATGAGAAGTTCGGCAAGGAGCGCGTGGCTATGATGCACAAGCACCTAAGCGGCGTCGGAGAGAGTCTGGGCATCAAGTTCAAGTATGGTGGACAGACTGGAAACACTAGGGACTCGCATCGGTTGGTTCAATTGGCCAAGAAGTATGGTGGGGAGACCGAGGGCAAGGCTCTCGATGGCCTCTTTGCCGCGTATTTCGAGGAGAACGAAGACATCACCAGCTACGACATCCTGAGGAAGGTGGCGGTTGAGGCGGGGATTCCGGAGGCCGAGTTCCAGAAGGCCATTGTCGACAGCGACGAGTTCGGCCCCGAAGTGGACAGGCTATCGGAAGAGGCGCACTACAGTGGTGTCAGTGGGGTGCCTGACTTTGTGATGCAGGATCGATTCCGACTTTCTGGCGCCAACGATCCATCGACGTTTGTCAGTGCTTGGGAAAAGATCAAAGCGGCTGAGGGTTCATGATCAGATCATTCTCTTAGGGTGGTCTGATTGAAACAAGACCTCTGTTCGCTTCTCAAGGACATCATTCCAGAGATGCTGGCCTTGGAAGCCAGGGACGTAGAACAATAGACCAATTTCTTGACTTGTCCACCAACTTGCTCTGTCCATATTACCAGAACCCAGTACCAGATACTCATCATCCACAAGAGTCATCTTAAAGTGGCTCACAACCGGTTCGTCATCTTGATCACGTCTGGCGTCGAGCTGTTTGTAGTAAAAGATCTCCAATTTGCCAGGCATGGGTGCTTGCGACTCTGGGTCTGATGATTGTGGCTGGTTGACAAGAGCGTTATATCTCTGGATGAACTTGCGCAAGCACCAGGCTGTCGTCGTGCCAGATGTGACAAGCTGTTCGATAAGCATCATGCCTTTGCTTGTCCTGATTTGAACATCGACTCCACGAGCGAGCGCATCCAACAGACTTTCGACAACGGGCCATGAAGTAACGTTTGGTGTGAGGATGGTGATTCGTCGCTGAGCGTTGTGGAATAGTGTAAGTAGAGCTGCGTTGAGCGGAGTCACCGGGGGATCCTTTTGTGATAAAAAGGGAAAGGAGAACGAGAGTCTGGGGTTGCGATGATGAGGCGACGGGAGAAAGATGGTTGGCACTAGGCCATTAGCAGGAAACTCGATTGACTGTGTTGCCGATACTGCATTGCTAGCTGGCAATCGAGGTGCATCGTCTCTATATATATCGTTTGGGGCGTCTGATATCTGTCGAGGTTCATCGCCCTGTGCCCAGACACGGTCGTAAAAGGCCAAGAGTCGATCAACGATGGCACCTTCAACCTCGACGCAGCCTTCAAACCATCGTTCCCAACTGACGTTACAGCTCGGGATCCAGGCCCTTTTCCCATCAACAATGACAAACTTGGGATGCATAACACTTAGAGGCGTGAAGAAGATGCTCTTGACGGTGAGATCAATACCCGCATGCTGTAGCAACAATTGATCCGGGAGACCCAGCTTGGACCATTTGGAGGGCTCGTAAATGTACCCATCACGGGATGCAGGATGTAATAGCTTCTGGAATAGCCCAAAGGACGAGAAGCCGATCGTAATCTGTAAACGAGTTTGGACCTTGGCCTCAACACGCGCTGTCGCAAGCTGTTCAAGAGTATCGCGAATAGCGTCGAGAGAAGGAGACGCAGCCCAATAGCATGTAATTAGCTGTACGCTATGTTTGGCGCTCAGAATAGCTGGAAGTAGAGCGCGTGTGTAGATGGAGTGGCCTGTTCCCACGTATAAAGACTTGGGCGAGCTGGTCGTGATGAGAGAGTCAACGTTGTTGACGTAGTAGCTCGGGAAGTCATCTTGTTGCTCGTCGCGACGCGATTGAAGTAGTTCTTTCCATGGCCGAACAAAAGATTGTGGAAATTCTGTATTTGCTTCCATATTTAGTATGATATGACGGGGGAAGAATGAGGACTCGGACGAAGGAGATCTAGTATAACATGATGAGAAAGTGAGAAGTGGCTGGCGGCGCAGTAGATGACGCGGAAGAGTAGACCGAGCCATCATCGCCAAGAAGCAACCCACTTTCATACATTCTCTACGAAAAGAGGAATTGATAGAATCAATTCAACTCCAAACACGAGCCAGAAACAATACAGTATATTTAATCTGTTTGAGATTCTAACGGTATTAACGGTGTTATTTGTCAAAGTATGTGCTGCTGCTGCACGTTCCAACTACTAAGTTCAGCAGAAGCAATGCTGGTGCGAAAAACTATAACACCATAATACTCCAAACGTTTTCCTTCAAAGTATCAACATTCAAACACTAATAATTGCTTTCATTATGGTTCAACAATCATCATCCGCAATGCCTTGTCTTCAATCACCAACGCCAGTTTAGTCATCCACGCGACTCGCTCACCGCTTTTGAGCTCCCTGGCAGAATCCCCCACTACGGCACCTCCACCTCCTATCTTGAGACCCTGGAGATTGGATTGACTTCTCATCGCATCGCAACAACAACACTCTCTCAATTCGCGATCATGTTGTCCGGCGTCCTCGTCTTCAATCAAAAGGGTGAGAACCTAATCTTCCGCGCCTTCCGAAACGACTGTCGTCCTCGTCTCGCAGACGTCTTTCGTATCCAGGTCATCTCCAACGCTCAAGTCCGATCGCCCATCCTCACCCTCGGAAGCACCACCTTTAGCCATGTCAAGCACGAGAATATTTACCTGGTCGCCATCACAAAGAGCAACGCCAATGCTGCTCTTGTCTTTGAGTTTCTCTACCGGCTAATTCAGCTTGGTAAGGGTTACTTTGGCAAATTTGACGAGGAAGCTGTCAAGAATAACTTTGTCTTGGTCTATGAGCTGCTCGATGGTATGTGTCCCAATTGCTGATATATGGCTCTGCTAATCTTCCACAGAAATCATCGACTTCGGATACCCTCAAAACACAGAAACCGACACCCTCAAGATGTACATCACTACCGAAGGCGTCAAGTCCGAGTCCCGAAAAGAAGACACATCCAAGATCACGATGCAAGCCACTGGTGCCCTCTCCTGGCGCAAGGCAGACGTAAAGTACCGTAAGAACGAGGCTTTCGTCGACGTGATCGAGGATGTCAACCTGCTCATGTCCGCCACCGGCGCTGTCCTGCGCGCAGACGTGACGGGTCAGATCATCATGCGCGCTTACCTCTCCGGCACTCCCGAGTGCAAGTTTGGTCTCAACGATCGCCTACTTCTCGATAATGACGGCCTTCTGAGCCTGCCGAGCGGAAACAAGATGGGAACCAAGGCTACAAAGGCCGCTGCTGGAAGTGTCACTCTCGAAGACTGTCAGTTCCATCAGTGTGTTAAGCTCGGCAAATTCGACGCCGATCGAATTATTAGCTTTGTCCCTCCCGACGGTGAATTTGAGCTGATGCGATACCGTGCCACCGAGAACGTTAATCTGCCTTTCAAGGTGCACGCCATCGTGAACGAGGTCGGACGATCAAAGGTGGAATACAGCATCGGTGTCAAGGCCAACTTTGGCTCCAAGCTATTTGCGACAAACGTTATTGTCAAGATCCCTACACCGCTCAACACCGCAAAGATTACCGAGCGCTGTACACAGGGCAAGGCCAAGTACGAGCCTAGCGAGAATGTTATCATCTGGAAGATTGGCCGCTTCACGGGCCAAAGCGAATACGTCCTCAGCGCTGAGGCTATACTGACGAGCATGACGGAGCAGCGCGCGTGGAGTCGACCGCCGCTGAGCATGAACTTTAGCTTGCTCATGTTTACAAGTTCCGGACTGCTGGTGCGCTATCTTAAGGTGTTTGAGAAGAGTAATTATTCGAGCGTCAAGTGGGTGCGGTACATGACGAGGGCAGGATCATACGAAATAAGGTGAGTATCCCAGCTCTTTTTCATCAGACTATGCTAACAAGCCAGATTTTAAATGCATATAAGTGGTAGAACATGTATGGCGTTATGGTATATCCCGGCAAAAGTCGAGCGGGCGGTTTCTTTAGCTTCACAACCCAAGTTTCCAATTACATTTGTTCCTCCGTGATTCACTCATCTTCTACCACCAACACCCTGACACCCTGAAACTTGCCTCTATCCGTGCCTTCTTGTTGGGTCTTGATAGCGGTGTCAATCAAACACGCAAAGAGATACGCTGGGTGCTCCTCGTCCCATCCCAGGGCGGCAAGGTTTGTTGCTTCAACGTAGCGTCTCGAGACGGCGTTGATGATGTCGCCTGGTCGATCTTCGTCGTCGGTGTTTTTCGTTCGTAGACCTTTCCACAGGGCGTCACGCTTCCGGATATCGTTCATTTTAACACTCTGCCTTCTGCACTGCTTGCACCGCCCGGCGCACTCATCTACCAAGTACAGCACCTCGAGATCTTTCTGGATTGTGCACGCAAAAAAGGCAATCTCTTCAAGACCCAACTCGCCGTACAAGCCCGTCGCCCATGTTTCGCCAACATCGATGGCTACCTTCTTCGCATTTCGCAGGGCTGACGCCAGCTCGGCTGACCACTGGTTCTCGAGGATATCCTTGATGGGTGGTGGACAGAGAAGTGTCTCGGTGGCTAGATCGGAATGGTCGGATGGATCTTGGCGAATGCGCAACATGAGGACATCCGACGCTGGGATGGAAAGCTTTTGACCACGGCCGGAAAGATAGATCTCGTTCATGTCCTCTCTCGTCTCTGTCTCTCTGACAGTCCGCTCCGTGAGACGACTGATCAGCTTTGACGTCGCGGTGGCATGATACATGCTTGGATCAAACACGCCCCTTGGGCTGATAGTGTCCATACGATCAAGAAACACCATATTTTTATACTCTTTCAACTTTTCCACTCCTTCTTTGCTATTCATTAATGACTGGAATGCTTTTTCGGTACGTTTGTCTCCTTTCCATGACGGATAGCATACATCAAATATGTGCATGGCCGGTCCGGGGCGCACATAGGTATGCCATATCTTGATCTGAAGTTCGAGCGGAAGACTTGTAAAGTGTCTGAATGCCATTTTGGATGTGGAAAGTTTGTTAGCATTCTGTATTTTCGCTCTCAGCACTATTACCTTATATATACTTGTCAAGTCTTAGCCTTATGGTGATGTATCCCACGTCAGCACGACAGCACTTCAAGACATCAGCACTAATATACTGATGTCTTTTGTCGGGCTCTATATGGATGACTATTTGTTGAAGCTGATATAATACGTTGGTGGAGGCTAACCAGGTATGTACATTCGAAATAACTACGTGTGTCGAGTTCCTATGCTCATCTGACTCCTTTGCTGATGTTGTCGAGATACCGCCCCTTAGTACGCAGTCATGTCAGCAATTACAGTTCCAAATTGGTGCTTCACAGCGCTTGTTCGACGGCTGTTGGATGATATCCATGGAGGCCTAACTGCTTCAGCCTGCTCGTGATGGTCAATTGAACGATGTTGGTTAGTCCTCAGCAGAGGATGCACCTGTTCTTCAAATGCATTGGTGGCATTTCAATTGTATCAACTCGCTGTACAATCGACGTGGTGGGCTTTGGAGTTATTTGTCCACATCGTGGTAAGACAGCAATGGAGCGAACGATGATGCGTGTGCGAGGGGCCATCCTAACCAGAGTTCATTTAATAAAAGGCTAAGCTTTCTGCAAAGCCTTGGCTCCATTACCTGTGGCAACAGAGGCCACTCAGCTCTACTCCGATACAGTCGTCTCTCGGTCAAGACGAGCTCCTTGCTTTCAGAACGATAAAACTGCAAGGAGCAAGGGGCAAGGTTAAGTTGTCGCTGTGATGGACGCCAAGAGCCTTGGTTGTGGTCCGATTCTTTAGGTAGGCGACCTTTCTTGATTCATTTGAGTTGCGTCATTCGGCCGGAGGCTAGTCCCTCAAGAGACGTCTTTTCATCTCCTATTGAGCGCAGGAAAAGCAGCGGTCATATCAACATGAAGCAAGATCCCAGTGGTCATCTAGCAATTATCCCTGCAAGACACAGGAACAACAATACATTCGGGTCAGTTTTACGGTTTGTCGAGAGCCGTTTCATTCCCAGAAATACCCGCGCACACTCGGAGGCCTCAGGTGGGATTGTAGTACATGCATATTCCAGATAAGTCGATACTAGAGGCCGATAGGTTTCGGTGTCTGCAGTATCTATTGACCAATATTGATTGGGTATGGCAGTATTGTGAGAGATTTGCTCGCAGATCGCCAGACACTTTGATGTCCCCGGGATGTCTTTGTTGAGGCGACCAATGCTGTTCTATCGAGACAGGGACTAGACTAGTCTAGAAGGATACAGACCGAAGATCAATCGTACGATGAGGCTCATAGCGTCTTCTTATCCGAACAATCTCTTACATACCATTGGATCATATTCAAGACAGCGGCGTTTTCGTTCTGGGGCTTAAGCGGGCCTCGACCAGGCCGTTGGACAACGACCAAGATTAATCAACAACACCAAGCCCTGGAAGCCACTCTGATTGAGCCCGTAGTCAAGATATACGGGCGTAAACTCGGGTATTTTGATCATGTTTCGTTTTTGGTGTAGTTGTGGCTTTCCAGTTCTCCATGTGGTTGTGTTACTTTCCCATGAGATGATCCCATGTTATACGCTGTACAAAGTAACAGTGGACTTTTTCTACCTCAAATGCAGAGACAATGCAGAGTAGGCTGGGCATCATTGCTATGACCGTCTATATGACAATCCCTATAGGTACATAACGTCCAAGCTCAATTGTCATAACTTAGTAACTTGCTCTTAGAATGATGGCCCTGCTAGTACATGCTCCATTCCTTCTTTTATGGATGCCCAACCACACATAATCTTCCGATTCCCATTCCAATTCCAATTCCCGGGACGGAATTCCGATCCAATCTAAGAGCCTCCAATGCCAAGCACCAACGTCTCCATAAGAAAAGCAACCGTGAAACAAAGTAGCGTCCCCACGAGAGAGCCATGTGTTTAGTGAGACCTGAGTAAGCAGACATTTACACCACTTAGTACAGGATGAAAATGGTAAACACATCATCAAATCACACAATCTCCGCGGCCTAGTTCCCCTTTCTCTCTTTTTTTCCCATGGGTTTTTTTTTCTCTCGGTTATGCTATACACGTTACATCGCTTTCCGTCCAGGTACTTGGGTTATGCAAAGCGAAAGCGAAAGCGAAAGTCCAAAGCCTGATCTTATTAGATGCAGCTTTACAAGCGAAAGGCTCTCAAAGGCTTGATTGATAAAGCCCCAACCCACCAGAACTCTCCACGATGTGAAAAATAGTCTTGTCCCTGCATGAATATGAGACCCGCCGTGTCACTCCAGTTTCAGCTCGGTCCATTGAGGAGAAGAAGAAGAACAAGACACGCCGTTGTGAACCTAGGGATGCGGTCAAGACCTTCCGCATTGACTCAACTCTGACATAGCGATGTTCTGAGCGAGATCGTATACTAGATCCCAGTCGGTTTCGTTTCCATGAATCGGGCGTTTTGTCCGGCTTATACCTCTCGAGAATCGTTTCCGCATCACCTATTGGACCACCACCTCTTCTAGGCAATGTTGCACCGTCCACGTTATTCGCTGGAAGGACCAGGCCTAGAAATTTGCTGGTTAGTAGTACTCCCGTTGCCAGCTTCAGCCTTACGGATATAGTGCAGTGTCTGGCTGGGCTGTGCTGTGCTTTGCTGTCTTATGGGTTGACCGGTCTGTCCATCTCTATCGTTGACGTGGGCTGTAATTTTGTGGTACTAGAAGAAGAAAACATAAAGAGGATCGTTACTCTCTTCTCAAATCTCCTGGTTGTTCTGAGTTTGGAGCCATTAGTCATTCTGTGGTCTAGCATACAGCTTTCACTATATCATCAAGTCCTCTCGACAGTCTTGACCCAAGATATTGGTGTCTTGGAAGACTAGCCCTAATATCATCCAGCACATCTATCGAAAAGAACACACATCACCTACTTACCCTGCCAATTCAGCTGCGGGCCAATAACAATATCTATAACCTCATTGTGATATCATACATCTGCTACCTCTGCAGAGGAGTCAGACCGTCTCCTTCAACATACTGCCGCATCTATCTTGTCTTGCAGCGACACAGCACAACTCCCAAAACCAGCAGCCCGTCCCGATTGCGCAGTTCAAATCGCACCTTTCCTCTTGCTCGATCGTATCCAGCTGAAGCACCCTCCCGAGACATACATATATACACACATCTGTACAATACGATGTGCATCGCTAACTACATCCACTACCATCACATACCCCCCTGTGACCGCCCCATCACCTACAGCTACCACTACACATTCTGCGCCGCAGCCCGCTACGACCCCATAACCAGTCAGCCCCTCGACCCTTGCGGCAGCGTCTCTAGCAGTTCCCCCTATGGCGATCTCAACGACCCGTGTTCTATGAGCCAGTGTATGGTCGACCGTCGTTGCAGCTCAGGAGAGTGTCGGCTCGAAGACCTGAACGGGAGGTGGGTGTGTTGCATGTGTGGTAGAGTAGGCAACTCGAGCGTCAAGTGCCTGAATGTTCGATCTGCAGAAACTATGACTGTCTGCACGCACCAAGTATGCGAGAACTGCACAGAGGACAAGACATGAACGGCGCCAGAGTCCGAAGAATATCGGGGTAATGCGTGGGGTTCGAGATTTAACTCGTAACTGATGTCTCAGCTTCGAGTATAGTCCGACGTTGTGGCATATGCAGGCAGGATGTAACCGCCGCGATGTATACATGTTCCCCTCGTGGCGTTCAATTATGGCAGGTCTATTATTATCTTTTTTTCCTACTATTACCACATCTGTTTTGCTGACTACATCCAGATTTGACCGCCCATGTTTCCATTCTTAGCTCTTTCGCGAGCCACTCGATGACTCTCAACATCCGCAAAGAAACGGGCTACATACAAGAGATGAAGAACAAAATACAATCCCAAGTAACACTCCTCGACCACAAAGTATGGTTAACCGATCGAGCGGTTTCACAGTGATGGACGTTTTTGCGACCTCGAAAGGAATTCTCTCTTTTCCACTGACGATATATCGACAACCCATAATGGTGGAAGCAATCGTCGTCAGCTATGCTACAAAACCCAAGCCAATGCGCCCAATAAATTCCGATCTTCAAGCTTGTCCGCCCGACTTCAGGCTTATTTGTGAGATATGGAAGCCATGTCCGCCCTCGGGATCTATCGCGGTTGGGGTTGCGCTGGTGGTTCATGGTTGTGCTGGTGAGATCAAGGAAAGGGTAAGGAGAGCCGGTTTGACATGTTGGATGGAAATTATGAAGGTTATTGGGATACATAAAGCCCATATACCTTCGATCTTTGCATGAATAAGGTGGATTTATCAGAAAAGTCATGTCAGCAGCCATATTATCAATCCTATCATCGCCCATCAATCCAGCAAACAATCCACCTGGCTTCAATCAGCATCTCAGAAAATGTGCCAGCAAATCACTTTCCGTCTCGCGTGCGAGCATGTCTCAACGCACATAAGATACTGCGTGGTCGGTCTCTTGCACCGCCGCACCTGCAGCAACACCACCAAGGAGTCCATCCCATACCCTCCCCCGTCTGGCTACACGCTTCCCAAGTGCCCGCTTGCAGACTGTCCCTTTGAGACCAAAAACCAGGCATGGGACTGCTGTTGGTGCGGCAAGACGTGGAATGTCGGCGGGCGATGCAGCTGTGTCATGATAGGAGAGGGGGGCACGTATCGGTGCGAGCATATCTGCTGCCAATCTTGTATGCCTTCTAGAGAGTATTTCTCCTAGGATGATATGCTATACAAGCAGAGCAGCGTGGAGGATGATACCCTTGATTACGTTTGCATTTGACAATTCGGATTAGTTCTGTACTTGTTGTTCTCACGAGATAGCCATCAATCTAATGACGCTCCTATGATATTGCAAGAATCAGTCCAATGCACTACAATGACCCTTACGAACACCTCCTCAATAGCTCGCGAACTCAACATCATGAATTACAAGCATTATCCCAGTCCTGAATCAATTTGGGGACTTGTCTTGTGACCATTGGCTTATTCCCAGGTGCTTCCCAGGCTGGCATGTCGCGTTGTACCAGATTGTGTTGCGAGCCAGGGGGTCTAAATCGAGATTGACCTAGGCAGTAAAGTAGATCATGTTGGTAGATGCACAAGATATGCTGTGATACGCTTGGCTAACCACACACGTATCCAAGGACACATTCTTATTGTCTTGGCCGTAATTCAATCATCACTTTCATCACACTTCAAGATCACTAATCTTGATATACCAGGCTGCCAGGTTCATCACATCTTGCCAACCACCGATCTCACAAAGTCCATCTTGTACCACCAAACTCCACCATTCCATCCCCGTACGACCCGCCTCACTTCTTGTGGCGTCCTATAAGCTTGTGTCGTACAGGAAAGTCATGGAATCCAACATCCAAGGATCCCGAGACAATAGGACTTTAGGGCATAATTCTGCCGGATCGAAGACTTGGGAAGATTAAAGGCTACAAACCCCGATGATGCAACGTTCAAAAAAGATGGGGAACACGATCGATGATTCTATCTGGGGTGATGCAATGCAGACGCCTCAGAGGGAGTATGCAAATTGTGTGGTTGGTATGTGAATGTGCATTTGTGAGGTCTCTAGTCATGAGAATTGCTTCGCTGAAGGGGAGACTAAGCCTGCGGTTGGCCTCGGCCATGATAGATGGCAATCTGTCGAGTTGGTAGTCAGGCTGGCTGCTGTCTGTGTATAAATAGGCTCAAGATGAAGCCGTCCAGAAGCAATCCAAACTTGAATAAACAGAGTCATTCACTTCTCATTCCTCAAGATAGTCAAAATGTGTCACGGTCATCCTCGACACCACCCCTGCGCCCATACATCCATCAACTGGCACTACTGCCCGTCGGCGCTCATCGATCTCGAGACAGGCTATGAGACGCCATGCAGCAAGATGTCCTTCGCGGCAGCCCAGCCCACAAAGTCGGACTGTCCTCTCCAGAACTGCCAGTTCAAGAGCAAAGGTGGCAGCTGGACATGCTGCGCATGCCAGCAGGGTCCCAACACTCAGGGCTGGTGCACCAAGCCCCTGAGCAGGCTGACCATGAATCCCGAGTCCTTTACACTTGAGACTGTAGAGACCACGTGTGACCACGGGTGTTGCAGCGAGTGTGTACGATACGGTAAGTACCAAAGCTTCAGATGGAGTGGTACGTGTGACTGATGCCTCTGTTCCTAGGCCCAAGCTGTGATACTTCTTCGCCAGAAATGGCCTTTTCAGAAATTCGAAGGGGTTCTGCGTCGCGCAAGTTCGGGTACGGCAGCGTCACCAAGTCCCATCGTCGAGGATCTGCCTTCTCGCCGCCTGTATCGGAGGAGGATTCTACGCCGTCGCCATCTTCGTCAAAGTCTAGCTCCGGTAGCTCGAGATATAAGCTTGATCTGGAGTATACATCGAGCAAGTTCAAGTCAAACAAGAAGAGACACAGAAGCAAGCGATAGGGGACATCTGCATTGTGATTTTTGGTGACGAGTATGATGATGATGATGTTGGTGAATGAATGTTTTGGTGAATAGATGGTTACCTATTTTGGTCAGCACGTGAAGATAGGTGCGGTCATGATCAAGTTACCAATATTGGTGGCAGTCGCACATTCAGCAAATATTTAGTTTTCAATCTTATCTCATATTTACAGACTCTACTAAGTCTAAGACTCAATCTCGACATAGATCTACGATCTAGTCTATACTTTATCTGTCTGGGCCCTCGCAAGCCAGACTCGAATAAACTTTTATAGTCAAAGCCACCGTCGAATCAGTCAGTCCACTCTGCGGCCCGAGAATGAGACACACCCGAGCGAAACGAATCTAGCTATTATCGGCTCTTTCCAACAGCCCATCTTGACGATAGCGTCGGGGCTTCTCGTTGCCGCCTTAAACTATTCATCTGAAAGATGGAAAGAGGAGCCGGGTGATGATGATCTGCGACGGGCTGAAACGTCAGCCAATAGTCCGAAGGTGTATTTACCTCGGTATATAGTCCGGTAAGTCAAAGACGAACAAGATGTGTTGAGGCCTGACACAAGAGTTGATAGTCATTTGTGCATTGGGCATTGGTGTTATTACTGGGAAGTGCTAGTAATATTTGCTTGCAATCTTGAGGCTCCATCAAGTAATCTTCAAGGTAGCCTAGAACCTGCAGCTAACCTAGATAGATAAATGGCTAGATGGCTTAGGTTTCATGTCGATTTAGGTAGTCGACGACAGTTTCGGCGACGCCTTTGATGAACCGACATTAATCTGGGCTTTTACTTGTCATAATAAGCTTCTGCCACCGAGTTTCATCAAAAGCCAAGCTCGATTGCAAAGTGATGTTGTAAACCTAAGAGCACATGGCGACAGTCACGGCTGAGCTGATCACCTCCAGGATGGGATAGAATGTGATATGTCCCTTTGCTGACAGCCATTGGGTTGCCATACGAGATAGTTCTCTTGAATGTGAGCACTGAATTCAGCTTACTTTATTGCTTATCTGCTGCGTAAAAGTTACAGATTGAACTTAATGCATGATATTAAGTTCATCCCCTCCAACCCAAACCACGTGTAATGCCAGGATCATTACATTAGCCATGTGCCTCTTCCCCCCCCTCTTCTCTCTCTTCTCTCTTGGTTGTCGTCGCCACCATGTCATGCCATGTGGAAATGACGATCAGTTTGTCCCTCTTTAGCTTGTCCGTTTCTGCTTCTACTAACACCATCGTCATCATCCCCCCAGAGAGAAAAAACACAAACGCCGTACCTACATGCCTACGTGGCTCCCACGCGAGTGGCGGATATTCCAAGGGTCTGCTGCCCTGATTATCACGAAAAAATACATTCCAGTGACGAAAAAAGGGCTTTGAGGTTCTCCGTGGGATAGCCTTTTGGTGTTTAGTAGTCCCTCCCCTACAGATTCAGGGCAAGTGGGTACTGTGATGGAGCCTGGGGTCTTGTACGAGTGTTTTGCTCCAGGGGCGCCATCTGGCTTGATCCCTGAATGTTTTGAAACGCCAACTTTTGCTTTAGCTCAGTTCAGCTTTTCAATTGATGAATGTTGCATGATGAATCAATTTGTTCTTTGCCAGCGAATTCATTAATATCTACAAGTGCAATAAAGTGTTAACCCCATCAAATTCGGGTCTCACCAGTCCAGTCGAGTCCAGTCCCCTAATCGAAACTGTGTCCCAGGCGGCTCTAAACTGTAGCGCATGTACACATGCTGTAGGTAGCACACCCCCCCTGTAATACGACCCATCCGCGGGGGGGGGACCAGGCGAGACAAGTCCAAACTAACCGCTGAGACTCGTGCCTGTGCCGTTTTGTTAGGTGGCTTTGGCTTTAATCTCCAACAAATCTTGTCCAATCCCCTTTCCCCTCTCCCTCCTCTCTTGGACCTTTGCTTTTTTATCCATTTCAATAACTACCTCTGTTTGTCCATTTCTTGTTTCTCGTTTTGAGTCGTGATTAAAAAGAAAAGGAAAAAGGAAATAAACCGCTGAACGGAAATCGACAGCAAAACGGTCAAAACCCACAACCCGCTCATCCGTTCTCTTTCTTTTTTAAATTACCTACATACATAGCTCGGTCGCTATTGTATCGGCTTACCTCTACTATTACGTCTCTATCCACTTTCTCAAAACCCACTATCTTCCCTCTCTTTCTTCATCTACGGTTTCGCTTCTCCTTTTCTCCTCTTTTGCTTGCTTGGGAATCCTCGTCGTCGCGAGTTTCATAAATCCCTCTATAGTACCCATATCCGCCCTCAACTCTCCATCGCATCATCACCATGCCTGCTTCTCTGGACTCTTCCCGGCCCATCATGGCCCCTTCTGTAAGTAATGACCGCTCGGATCTTCTCTTTTTTCATCCTCTCCTTTGTCCATCCACTTGGCTTGGAGCCCCCCTGGTCAAGTTCCGTACAGGACCGTCTAGTTCCGTCTCTAGTCTCGCCTGTTCTGCCGTCCGTCTGCCCACTTCGATGGATGATCGGTGCTGGCTGGAGAATGCAAGAGACGAAACCGAAACCACTGAAATGTGACTCTCTTACCTCACCGGCCGCTTGGTTCAGCCCATACAACCTTTACTGGCACATATGTACCTTGGCTTGGTTGTCATCCATCCGTCTTTGTCCACTACGCCCATCATTACCACCTTGACACATTCCCCTGTCGCATCCTTTCCTCTCTCTCTGTGACTCTTTTCTTTATTTTTTGTTTATCACTTCTTGTCCCGTCCGTGTGTCTGTGCCTACTTCAATCTTATTTACTTCCTGCCCATCATGGCTAAGCCTTGGATCTCATCGCACGCTCATACCCAACCTGATCGCCAAACTACCAAAGAAAAAGAAAAGGATCAACCGTCCACTGACTCTTCAAAGAACCGCAACTCTGTTCGCTTCAGCACTTACAGCATGGCTCCCTCACTGTCTCCCACCGTCGGAACCACCGACTCTGCCCACGCCGAGATTCGCGACATCGCTACCGGCCTCGACCGCATGGAGAACAAGGCCCTATCTTCCCAGCGCGTCATCCTCACCGACGAGAAGACAGACACCATGAGCAAGCTCGCCCTCGGCGCGAAGCTTGAGCGTGCTCTCGACAGGAGAATGAGCGGCCAGGACGCTGTCATGCGACCTCGTGGCCAGAGCCTCAACGAGAAGCTCAGCGAGAAGGAGTAGAACATACCTACAAGAAACCCACCAAAACAAACAACAAACGCAACAAAGCACATGTCTTGCGAACAAGATACCCCTCGCAAACGAGAAACTCTTCTTTTTAATTTTGATACAAAAATTATTTTGTTTTCGGCCTGGTCTTGACTCTCCTGAGTAGCGCATGGCATCTTGCTCCCATCGCATTGTTTTTTTTTTTCTAATTCGCAAGCGGAATAACGCATCACGCCAATGATCAACCAAGGGGGAAATTACATGGAAATGCGTGGGAACACGAGCCGCAATTCATTCAGCCTCTGATGTATGCTCGCAAAGCCCACAATCATGGATCTTGTTCAATGACTTCAAACGCATGCGAATTGGATCTGGGCGGCTGCTTGTTGACATCCAATTCCTTTTTCTCGATTTTCTTTTTATAGGCTTTTGTTTACTCTAATGGTATGCTGCGATGGAACATATAAAGTGGCAAAGACACAGGAATGGGGCATGAAATGCAATGCATGGAAGACGTCCTTTGGAATGGAATTTAGGGGACCAGGTGATTAAGGTTACGGTTAGGGAAAGGACGAACTGTTTCGCATTTCCTTAATCTGTTCTCAGGCGTAGCGAGTGCAGGACAGAAGAATTGACATTGTACGATTGAACTTTGAAAACTTATTCAATGGACCCCCACGTTTACACATCCGGGATGAGTGAACACTCGCATAACGCCACCACGATATGTCAATATGTCTAATGCTGCAGTTGAGATTGAATACTGGGGAGTCACATTGACCTGAAACATTCATGCAATCCATCAAATGCGTTGTGTTGATATTAAAACTCCTGATAGCCACGGCCGAGCAAACAATGCCGTTAAAACAAAAATTCCATGTGCCGCTATTACAGGCATCTCCTTACTGAGACCTCATAACTGCTATCGTTGCCTTGAAGCTTACACCCAACTATCATGTCTCGGGTGAATCCTCCCACTTCGTCTCAGCCTTCAGCAGCCCTGATTCTAACCACACTCAACCATTCTTCGTTAACTTAAGCCTGCTGCTTCTCAATCCTCTCTTCGATCTCCTTCAATAGCTGCACCAGCTCTCCCTCTTCACCCTCAACCTCCAATCCCCTCCTGATCCAGTCCCTAGCCTCTTCAAATCTGCCCATCTCGGCCAGACATCTTCCTCTTCTCCACCAAGCCTTTGCGTTTCCGACCCAGCGCGCCTCGACGCTCGCATGCGCATCCACGGCACCCTCAGCCCAGTTCTGCATCGCCATGTGCGCCTGCGCCCGGTTGGCAAGCAGTCCGCTGATCTCCTCCCGCACGAGCGCAGCAGGCTCCCACATAGGGCGCTGCATGGCCATCTGCACACCCAGCGTGTAGAACTTAACGGCCTCAGGGAACTTGCCCTTGCGATATTCGTTGTTACCAGAATCGCGCAGCTTGGTCACATTGGCAGTGCGCTTGGGGTTGACAGGCACAGGAGGAGGGGGTGCGCCTGAAGGGTGCTCGATGGTAAGGAGAGAGCGGTGGAGTGTGTTGAGAGCTTCGAGTTCGGCGGCCAGAGAGCGCGATGCGTTTTGCGAAGTGATGGCCTTGGACTCAGGGTCCATCTGAATGGGAAGAAGGTCGAAGTGATCAAGATCCGACATGTTGGCCGTTTTGGTATGTGTTCTCTTTTGCTTTTGTGTGTCGTTGCCTCTTCTCGATGGTATTATTTCTTTCTTTTTTTCGTAAGTCTTTTGATTGTAAAAGAGTGACTTGGTTTGGAGTGTAAAGTGACAAAGTGTTTCGATGTTGTCCCACTGCACCAGTGTAACGGAGTGGGTGAGGACACCTCACAAAAGGCTTATCTTATCAACACATGACACCCCAGAGAGCAACCACCATACCCTACAACGACAAGATGAAAGGAAACATTCTACATTAACAAGTGATTAAGTGCCTTAATATTGCATTTTTCATATTGAATTATATGTTTTTGGCGGACATTGGCGTGTGTCTAGTTCACACAACAAGCTAGAGTTGTACATTTAGTTGTGATATTTAGACCTATACGTATTCATTCTTCATGGCGACACAAGGAATGGCTCACTCCTCTGCTTCCACAAAGATTAATACTTGACGGGTGCACTCAGAAGAACACCAAACTTCAACATATCTAGCTTTGACTACAGCTAAAGAGCAACACACACACACACTACAAAACACATGAAGACAAGTGTGCTTTCGCATATCATGACTCTTAAGGGCTAATGTGCAATTAATTCGTATGATATCACTACACTAAATACAAGACAATCACTAAGTGCTTGAGTTTACGCACTGACGTCAACATGAACGGACACAAGACACAATGCATTCACATGAAATCATAATTGATCAAACAAGAGCCTTTCCTTTTCTACTCCTATTGTGCAAAATGCGAGACCCTGTCCCGTTCAAGGAAGCGTAACAAGATCACCTCCCATTGCCATCACTCATAAAACCCGTCCGCCGAACTCTGGCGTCCTTGGGTAAACACGGGATCAATGGCAATCTCCAACCTCCATCAAACGTTCACTAATGAAATATCCCTCCTCCACATCATCAAAAGCCTCATCACAAAACCCAAAGTTCGAAGAGGTATCCACACAAGAGTCTCGGTTATTCTCATGGAAATCATGTTGAATTGTCGGACCCCTGTGCTTTAGGTTCTTCTGGTCTCAGATGGTAAGTGCAAAAAGGAACAATCGACGATCGTGGTTGGGGACTTTTCATTTAGAACATTTCTTTTGGGGGGAATCGACATCTACTCCTCGAGCCACCCTTGCCATCACTCAGCAAATCAAGTAAATCCCTTTGAACCACCGCGCCATCTAATGAAACGCATGAGAAATGATAGACGTTGCCAAGCTGTATCTAGACCGGCAAGATTCCAGGTCGAGGGATATGAACAGCTTAGTAGCCGAAGTTGGCAAGAGCCTTTGAGGTCTCCTCCTTGACAGTGGCGTTCTTCTTGGCATCGGCCAGTTGTCGGGCAGCAATCTTCTTGCGCTCGTAGTAGGCGGCACCCTTAGCCTTTCTTCGCTCCTCCAATCTATGACAAGTTAGTTCGTGTCCAATGCAAAGGCACATATCGAGAAAACATACCGGGCAACGACATCCTGGTACTTCCAGCCAACCTCGTGGGACAGACGGCCGACAGTGCAGAACTTGCGGCCGGGCTGGAGTCGGAGAACGCGGAGAGCCTGGGGAACGACGACCTTCTTGGTCTTGTCGTAAGGAGGGGGGACACCCTCGAAGACCTTGAGGCGCTCGAGAGCAGCGGCACCACGGGCGGTCTTGTGGGGGATCATGCCACGGACGGCCTTGTAGAAGATTCTGGAAGGAGCGCGGAAGTGGAAGGGACCTATATCGAGTCAATGACTGTTGTCCAATGTTGAGGAAACGGCTTCGACTCACCACCGCGGGTGGGGTTGTATCGGGTGATCTTTCGGAGGTGGGCGTGGTACTTGACTGTTGTCATAATCAGCTTGGTTGTTCTTGTAATAGCATCGCTGTGGTGTTTGTTCCATAGATGCTCGGCCTCATATCGAGGTTCTGTGGTATCGTGGGGTAGACATACGCTTGGCGCGGAAGAACTCTCCAGAGATGTTAAGGGCCTCACAACGGACGATAACGATCTTCTGACCGCTAAGGAGCTGCTTGGCGACAATGGAGGCGAGTCGGCCAAGGAGATGGCCCTTGCCATCGATGACGACCTGTAAACGCACACAACGGTCAGCGAAATGCGTCTTCAAGACCAATATTCCCATATGAAAGGCGAGCGACGAGCAGCGTGAACAACAATTGTAGGCGCTGACTGCTGAGATCCCAAAACGTCTCCAATACCATCGCCAACGTATCCCAGTTGCCCGCAGCTCGTCTTGCACTTGCACATCAAGGCAATATTGATTTGGTGTTTTTTTCTGTCGGTGGCACTCACAACTTGCTCGAAGCTGGACATCGTAACCGTCTTTTCTGGGGGGATTAAAGAAAAGGAAAGAAAGGCAGCTCAGTCGACGGCTAGACAAACAAATCCTCAAACCGGTCGGCGAAGATTTGGATTTCCTGTGCTGCTGGGGTTAGTCGTCCCTCGAATTGTTGGGTGCAAGTGGTCGCGATACTGATTGACGGGCGAAAAATCCAAGGACCATTCGAGAGGGCTCGTTGTGCCTTGTGCGCTAACCGCTATTGGAAAAGACTCTTAGTAGAGCAAGCGACTCGCTGAGCTGCTTAGGGCTCAAAAGACCTATTGAATTCAGCCGAAGAAATTCCGAATCACTAGAACAAGGCGAAAGTAACTGACTGATGGTAAGATGACGGGGCCTCCACTATAATTCTCCATCTTCACGTGATT